TACTACGGTCGCCCAATACCACTTTCAGTTGATTACACTTGAGCTCGCTTTGCTTATACGAATTACGCGGTGTGATACTTGTCTCGATCGTTGAAGACGACGGACCTTTCCGTGAAACGCCTTATGAGAAGGATCATCGGCTACGTTTGTTTCGAGGACAAGTTGGCGCGATGTGACGGCAATTTAAAACCTAAGGCTGGTTCGTGAGCCCGTTGCAACGATACAATGCTGCTTTGCAGAAAGAAAAGTGGCGCCACGGGGGTTTAATGAAGCTTTTAGGACCTATGAAAGGCTGGCATGATGCTCGGCGGTTCTAGAATAGGAAGACCTAGTCGCTCTGGCAGAAGACCAAGGCATGTGGCGCGTATTAAGATCAGGGATATAGAGGGAATCAACCAGCACGCCAGGGAGTATTGCAACGTTGGGGATGATGTTTGATGTTTGCCGTTATTAGACAAGGTGACAGACAAGATCTAAGTCCATACAGACTCCAGGGCTGACAAGGACAAGACAGGTCGGCAAGCGGGAGATGAAGATCCCTTGTTGATCGTCGAGCCGAATGAAGTACGATTAAAGTTCCTGAAAGGGAACCCATTTACGTAGCGAGCTTCCAGAAACTGATACTGTTTATAAGCAAGTAATTACAGCACGTATTATGATATTAACGTGACTTAGGCGAAACGCTGCTCGCTACGTATAGGGAGGTATAGAGATATGGTACGTATTACCTTAGCATTTGATTGTATGCTTAAGCGAGAAGCACGTTAAGTTAGACACTGACAGTTAAGAGTCGGTTACAAGTTGTTTCCGTTGTCGTGACATGTTCCGGATCTCGACTTGGCAGGTTCAGAATCTGACGCAGGTACCGATGAGATGAGCATGAGCCACGGAACCAGGATTTTGTCACGTCAAACTCGAGTGAGATCAGATCAGGCCAAGTCAAACCAACCGAACCAAGTCTTTGTAACAAAAACCTGCTATGGTTGTGGACTCTTGCTGGCAATTACGGAAGATTTGGTAAGTAAGCCGACACAGGCTGTGGACCACGAGACAATTTTTCCATTACAAGGAAATTCGTAACGGCAATTTAGGCTGGGGGAGAACCCTCTGGTTGGGTTTCTGCACCTGTCTGGACTCGGCACTCAGTCTCCTGGCTCTGTGGGGAGAGGAAAGTGACGAGGCTGGATGACAACGCATCGTTGAAGCAAGCAAGGCCTGGTCTGGAATCAAGAACTCTAACAAGCATCTCATCCCTGGTATTAACAAGAGACTCTTATCAAAGGATATCGTTGCCGAGAGGGAGTCGGAGTTGTCAAGATCTTTGGGGGTGTGAGCAGAAGAGGAGGCAAGCCAAGTCAACACAAGACAAGTTCCCTGCAGTAGAAACATTCACTCACCTTAATCTCCCAAAATTCATGCGTCGCGGAGGCCATGCCGGATGGGGCCGGCCGGGGAGCAGGGTCCGGAGGAGGAGGAAACGTTGAGCGGGGCCGAAGGTTGATCACTGAATACTGTAACCGGCAGTACAGTACGTACAGAGGATAACTTAGTAATTAACTTATTACTTAAAACAGGGTGCACGTTTGTTCGGATGTACTTGACCGTTTCGGCCTTCGGTAGATACTCGCGGCAGTCACCTTTTTCGTGATAGCTTCGCCAAAGAGGGATATCAATTAAACAAAAAATACTCCACCAGACAATGCATCTGTGGGGTTGACACCAGCTCACGATGGAACTTCAAATCAATATACATATGCATCTGATAACACAATCCATAGTAGGAGCATGACATAAATTGCTGCATAACATCTTAGACTGACTTATGTACTGTAGGAATGTTAATTCTCAGCAGTGGAATGAGAGAATGCAAGCACTTAAAACCCCGGTCCAGAAGGGTCTATTTACAGAAGACTCCCACACTCGTCAATGGCGAATGGCCAATCATGAATCAGCGTGGTGCTTTACTTTATCTTGCTCTCTTTCACATGTTATAGTCTATTAGAATCAGCTGAATGTATCGTAGACTATTTGTCGTTGCTTATGGAAACATCTGTAAGATATAGTGGTGTCCTTAACTTCAATGTTGGTGTATATGATGAGACTACTAAAAGGAGCTGAAGAGCTTGTGAAACCTCTGAAACTATTATTGTTTCAGCAATGAGTGGTCTGTGTCTGTGTCTGTGTCCGTGTCTGTTGGTTATCGAGTTGCTATTCTTAACCGCCGTTCGACCCGTCCCGTTGAAACCTTATCTTGGATCAACTCCTGATGATAGCTTCATTGGCGAGTTGTTAATATGAGATGCACCTGACAATATTACTATTAAAGCTAATGCTCCTCACACTTGATATTAACCTCAAATGAGAGGCAAAACCGTGCTGCCTCCTGCACTCAGCTATGACCAACATTGCTTTTCAACTGTGATAGCTCAGAAACTGCTTCAAACCTATAGGTTAAGAGAAAGGCAAACTAACAAATCAGAAACCTCCAGAGATGACCGTATTCCATCATCACGTTATTGGAGGAATCACATCATGAGTGAGGCGAGCACTAATCCTCTCAAAAAAGCAATTACAAAAAGCAACCTCATTATGATTTACTCTAAAACCACCGGCTCCCCGACTAGCAAGATAGAGCCCGGACAACGGCCTAGCCCAAATACCTCGATGACGAGTGCAAAGTCCACCATATTATAACCCCTCGTTTTTTTTTGTTGACTGACGGAGTGTGATATTTATGTGACGTGATGCATCATCTGTTTCTCGAGCAACGTCTGTATCCAAGTCTTCATAGCTCGAGACAGTAAGGCTGAACCAGTCTGCGTCTGTACAGTATGACTGAGATGAGACAAGAGACAATAGCCGATAATGGCAAGTTGGTGAGCTGATTGTGGTTTCCGAGACTTGTTGGTTGGCTGTCAGCAGTCGGTGAGAGATGCATATGCAGGGGATAAAGTCCAAGTTGAGGTGGAAAGCTGCAGCTGTTATCCGTATACCTTCTTTAAAAGGGAAATTTGTCCTTGTCATGAGAACAATCTCCAGATCAAACCATTCTGCGAGACTTTCTCATGAAGCATTTTGAGACTGATCATGTTAGTTATGAGGATGCTGTTCTATAGTTAGATAGATATCTATGACGGGAGTCATAGCGGGCAACCATCATGAGATAGTTTTATTAAAGACGGTCCAGCCGCTCATAACTCTTCAGCGACCAGTCACAGCTGCTCGTTAAGAAAGTAACACGAGCTTAAGTTAACTAAGGTAAATCAACGGCTATCATGATGAACAGCCAAATAGTTAGTTGTAGTGTTATCTCCCCAGCGGTTCCATGACTTTTGGGCGGTGCCTCTTCTAGTCTAGATCTGTTCCAACGGTTGGCTAATGGAAAGTTAGCAGATGCTTGTAGGCCGTAGCGCACTGAGGCCCCTGAAGAGCTCCTTTCTCGGCGGTTGCCCAACAACGGGCTAAGTTCCATGATGAAGTTAGTGATGTGCTACCAAGCTTGCGATCTCAAAGTATGAGATCCATATCATATGTTTATAGCTTTTATTATTTTGTTTATTTTCTGAGTGTCCTCTATCTTGTACGCTCTATTCTTTTGTTTCGAGTTAACTGTATCGTCATCTAACCGAGTAAAGAGCTCCTGCAAGCAGCCGAGAGCCCGTTCAGCTCAACCAATTCAGTGCAGGTGTTGTAAATAGGAAGGTCGGGCACGGCACATACTGTACCTCTCCTCCCGTCTGTATCCACTGCATCCGTCCAGTTTCTTATCCTTATCCAACCTGGACCAACCTGTTCATTCTCTTCAAGAATTTACCGACTCGAAGCGAAGCGAACAGACCCTCTTCTGCCTAAAAAGAGAACTCGAACTCGACGTCGGCACCCGCAAGACCACAGCATCACCGTTCATAAGACGAGAAGATAACGGACGAAGAATAAGAAGAAGGGACGAAGACTCGAGGACTCGACAAACCCAAGAACCGACAGGATAATAAAGTGATAACTGGATGTCAAGGTACATATACTCTCTCTCTCTGTTTGCTTTCGCTTTGCTATATCAGCTTTTGGCCTCGGTATCGGTATCATTTTCTGTATCCCCATCAACATGCAGCAGAGTAGCCGGACCATCAAATCATCCCACTAAACAACCTCCATTTATCACCATTGACAACGAGACAAGTCCCAAGCCGGGTCTCAATATCAACACTTCAAACACTGAATTTCTCTATTTATCTTGCACATTCAGGCGTCATTTGGCGGGGGTTTCTCTTCTCCCTGCTTTTGCTCGTTCTCTCCCTTCTTTTTTAACCTTCCCAACACTGCCTGTAGCCTGTAGCCTGGCCTCGCTTCTCTCCTTCCCTGCCTGCCCCTCCTCTTTTTTTAATCGGGGCTTACTTACTTTGGGATCCATCCCGTATTCCATCCCGACTCCCGTCAACTTCATTCCTCCCTTTGCACCAGATTTCATCTTTTTATCATCAGCGGCTGATCAACATGCTTGCCCGAGCAAAGCTGTCTTAGACCTTAATGCTTTTCTTCCGTTCTTCTATGATCCTTTACGACTTTCAGTAATGAAAAACGACCACCGACCGACCTGCGACTTCACATCTAAATAGACTTTCGATCTCTACATAAACGAACGCAACTCAATTCAGCCTCTGCCCAAGCCGAGCTCGACTTTCACCGACCGAACTCCGTTCAACCATCTGCAATCTTTAAACATCTCTACTCGTTCCAAATATTTATCAAAAGCCATTTCTCAATCTTTTGCATGGACTTCAGCCCTTGCTAGTGCTTTTCAAAAGCCAAACGTGACCTGACCGGCCGTGCACATCATCAATCTCGAATTCGATACTTCGCTCGGTCTGTATCAGAACTGGCCTTTTATGACAAGATATTGGAGTTGCTATGAGTAGGGATCAACTGGCTACAAGGCAAGCACATCTGCAGCACTGTTTTTCTTTTTCTTCAACATCGATGACCACATTGTCAGCATCCTCCACATGCTACATTCACTGACTTCTTCACCGAGCAGTTTTGTCAATTCGAATCATCGCCCACCAGCATCTGAAGCAACACCGACTTCTGCCGCCTTTTCCAGTTCCGAATTCGATACTCCTAAGCCCAGGCAAGGTGCATTTACCGACGCCGGGGGCTGGACGCCGCATTACGCTGAAGACTATTCCGTATTCAACTCGACCCCTGGAAATCTTCGTGGTTCCCGAAACTCTTTCGTCGACATCGCTCCAGCCACGATTACAAGCAACCACAAAAGATTACTGTCTGCCGAAACCTTTGCCGCTCAAATCGCAACGCATGTAAACCACTTCTCTGCCAATAACAGCCTACCTCTGCCGCCGGTCGAGCCCTCACGCCGCTTGGCCTCATCCCCGAACTCAATAACCGTACCTCAGGAATATATAACCGATTCGACACCTTTGCCCAGTCCTGATCCGTCCACGTATCCTCAATTCTCCAAGAAGGCTAGGAAAGCCGGAGTCAAGGGTGAAGAGCCTTCACAGACGGCAACGCCCCCACCCACCGGACATAGGGAGGAACACAAGCTTGCCGACAAGCTCACCATGCAAAATGATCAGGTTTTCGGCCAGCCCGACTTCGCCGGCAGCTCCCAACAACAGCAGCATGAGCTCGCTGCCTTGATGGCTTCATCTGGTGATATGTTTGGATATCCTATGACAGCTCCTGCTGCCACCCCCACAACATTCTGGGACCCTTCAATGAGTATGGACTTTGACTTTAGTGCATCACCTTCCAATGTCTTCCAGACAACACCTGTTCAGCGTGGAGGTGGCCATCGCCACACAGGATCCTTTGACTGGAACAGCGAGGTGCCACTCTTCCAAGATCCTACCGCACCTTTTGCCCCAGTAGGTGCAGACCCTATGCAATCGATGCAACGTGACCGTGCTCTCGCCCCGAACCCTATGGGCTCGGCATCTGCTACAACTGCAGCAAGTGCCGCCATGTCCGCGGCCCTCTCTGCTCCTTTAGATGATTCTTTTGGATTTGGGCAGCCTATGCAAGGAGTTAATCCTGGTCTGCTTTTTGAACCCCCTCACACTTCTGTTATGGATAACCCTGCTCTCATTCCAGTGACACAAGCCGGCTCAGCTGAAGGCGCAATCTTCCAAACGAGATCTAGAACTCCTCTAGGAGATAGCATCCGGCAATCAACTAGCATGAAGGACTTGAGAGCTACCAAGGCTCCAGATCGTGCTCTTGCACCATCGCCCGTCAAGTCAAATTCTCGCCCTGGAATGGGTCGAAGTTTTAGCGAGAATCGTGGAAAGAGAGCTCAAACACAGAACAGACCAGTACTTCCCAAGCTTGCTCCAGCTCGACCCGTATCACAGGCTAGCAATGGTTCCAACAGTGACAGTGCACCTGTCGGCCGAGCTCTGGCCAAACCAACAGGAAGGCTGTCTCCCATGAAGAACCCGCATCGTCTGTCGAGCCTGGCCTCTATACCTGAGGGCCCGTCGCTTCAACACCCGCCGACTCGAACATCCGTGAAATTCACTATCGACTCCAGAGGAAGGGCCCGTGCCGAGACGACCATTGTACCGAATGAATGGGAATGGGAACCGAACATGGGCCAGAGAAAGGTGTCTCGGGATAGAAGCCGGACACGCGAGCTGGGACCCTCAGACGACGATGAATCTTCCTCTGACGATGAACCTATCATCATTCCTAGCCGAACCAACTCGTTCAATACTTCCTTTGCCCTGCCGGATCCCGTGAGACCAGTGGGATCCATCTTCCACTCTTCGAGGCGTAGCGTCAGCGATAGAAGCATCAGTAGTAATCACGACACAATGGGAGGGTCGCCCCATGATGGAGAGAGCGAGACTGAGACTGTTATGTATGAGCGCAAGGACAAGATCGGAGATGCTACAAGCGAACTTCGCAAAGTAATGGAAGACCGTAAGAAGCGGTCTAATCCCATGGGTCAGGGCGGACAACATCGCCCTTTCCAAGGCAGTAGCCTGGGACCTTATCGAGGTGATAGCAACTCGCCGTCGTCCCTCACTGAGTCAAGCCTTATTACAGACAGACAAGTCAAGTGTGTCTGTGGCCGAAAGGGGGCTGACGGGGGAGACGGCTTCATGATCCAATGGTAAGTTGCTCTGTTCAGCGATAAGTGATGGGCCTTGACTAACATCCGACATAGCGAGTCCTGTGAAATGTGGCTGCATGGAAAGTGTGTTAACATCAACCTCAGAGCTCATGCGCCGAGGGTGTATATCTGTGCATTCTGTGCCAACACGCCAAACATGCGAGGAGGCCGGCTGCGAGACACAGGACGAACAAATCTGGCTGGCGGTGTGCCAGTGGCATCTCCGTTAACGAGCAAATCATTTAGGGCGTTTCGATAATGAATAGGTTGGATAAGCATTTCTGAAGGAGTAGACTGGATGGACGGAGTACTGGATGACAACATGCTTTTGATCAGGTTCATATACAAACATTGTCGTTTTAGACAACACAAGACACATGCATTATTCCGGATGATCCCGTCGCAGTGTTGAGGTTGATAAGCAAAATCACATGCCATTAAGGTTGTGTTATCACGGTCATGACGGTTCACAGACTAGGTCTTATGTTTATCTGTACTTCAAGTGCAGTAGCAGCAAAGACGCAAACAAGGTGCTTCAGAGACGCCTAGCTCTAGAACATCCGATACTACCCAAAATGATCTTCATCTCGTCTCTCGTTGGCCAATGCCGTAGTCGCCCACTCTAGCTCTGCCGTAGGGCCCGAGTGGGCCAGTGAAGGAAGAGCCGGCTTGCGGAGCTCCAAACCCTCCGATTTCGGAATGGCGGGGAAGAATGGTGATGATGCGGGGCGGCAACGGAAGCTCAGAAAACCAATTCCAATCGCCGACTCTCTTCTTTCCTTCTTCTACTTCTCTCTATACCGATTAAACCAATCAATTAACATATAATCAATATGGCTGAACACAACATCGTCGTCCTGGCTGGTGATCACTGCGGTCCTGAGGTATGTAGCTCTGGAGGAAGTGTTTGTTTGAGCATGTGCTAACTTGTGGACAGGTCGTTGCTGAGGGTATTCGTGTAAGGAAGACATTGTGCAACGAGTGCAAAGGATGGAAACTGATTGTTTGACCAGGTCCTCAAGACTCTCGAGGAGAACAAGCCCAGTGTTGGCAAGTTCAACCTCAAGGATCACCTCATGGGTGGTGTAAGTCATGGACACGTTCCCTACACGGTCTCCAGCTGACCTTTTTTCTAGTGCTCGATCGACGCAAACGGTTCCCCTCTGACCGACGAGACCCTCTCTGCCGCCAAAGGAGCCGACGCCGTCCTCCTCGGTGCCATCGGAGGCCCCAAATGGGGTACTGGCGCTGTCCGCCCCGAGCAGGGTCTTCTGAAGCTGCGCAAGGAGATGGGTACATACGGAAACCTTCGACCTTGCTTCTTCGCCTCCGACTCCCTCGTCGACTCTTCTCCCCTCAAGGCTGAGGTCTGCCGCGGTACCGACATCGTCATCGTGCGCGAGCTCACAGGCGGCATCTACTTTGGCGAGCGCAAGGAAGATGACGGTTCTGGTTCAGCCTGGGACACTGAGCCTTACTCACGAGAGGAGATTGAGCGCATTGCTCGTCTGGCTGGATTCCTCGCCCGAGGCCGTGGTGACAAGAAGGTTTGGTCGCTCGACAAGGCTAACGTGTTGGCGACCAGCCGTCTGTGGCGAAAGGTCATGACCGAGACCTTCGAGAAGGAGTTCCCTGACCTCAAGGTTGAGCACCAGCTTATTGACAGCGCTGCTATGATTCTTGTCAAGAACCCCACTGGCCTTAACGGTGTTGTTGTGACTAGCAACCTGTTTGGCGACATCATCAGTGACGAGGCCAGTGTTATCCCTGGTAGCATTGGTCTGCTGCCCAGTGCCAGTCTGAGCGGTATTCCTGATGGCAATGGCAAGTGCAACGGTATCTACGAGCCCATCCACGGTAAGTTATACAACCCTCCTTGAAGCATTTACGATAGAGGAAGCTAATCATGCTATTAGGCTCCGCTCCTGATATCTCTGGCAAGGGCATTGTCAACCCCGTCGGTACGATCCTGTCGGTCGCCATGATGCTCCGATACTCTCTCAACCTGCCTGAGGAGGCCAAGGCTGTCGAGGCTGCTGTCCGCAATGCTCTGGACGGTGGTCTTCGCACCAAGGATATGGGCGGAAACGCTGGTACCAAGGAGGTTGGTGATGCCGTTGTTGAGGAGCTCAAGAAGATCCTCAAGGCTTAGATGAGTTGTGGTTGACTACTTTACGATTGGCGGTTATGATTCAAAAAGCGATCTGTTTGTGGTTGGGGGTGCTCAAAATTGCATCTGTCATGATATGGCTACAAGAAATAGTAAAATGATAAATCTTATGATCAAAAAAGGATGTCGACCGTTATACTGGTGTACTCTCACGGCAATGAGGCTCACCCAGCAACACGTCTTGAGCAACGATGAAGATGATAGACAGCCACCCAAAGCCGCACGAAACACAAACAATGAAAGGTACAATTACAACGCTGAAACCGTACACCTAATGGCAGCTTTCGAGAAAGAAGGACGCAACCAGAGTGAGGTATACAAGTCCTACAGGGTAATACCCGAGTCATGGATGCGAATGTTTGCTCTTTAGCCGGGCGACTTGTATATGACAAGTATCCCCGGTAGTGTAAGCTTATGTATGATTGGAAGTAATGCGAGAATCACGAGTTTTCCTTACACCGCACAATTGGAGGCCTTCAGATATGCATGTCGTGGTAGTAAAACCAGGGCATTTACAGCAATCACGATGACTCTACCCTGGAGGATTCCACGTTAAGAGGTTAGCTCTTATGACCATGTGGTAATTAATGCAGCAGCACGTTTCCACGTGCAGTGACCTACCATGCTTATAATCCTTGTTCTTAAGTCTACTACACACGTACAATACAATTACACGATAACATAGGACAGACAGGGTTTGTTTTGCTTGTTTGCTTTTCTGCCTTGGGGTCTGAAAGTGTAGTCTAGCTTAGGATGAAAATGCATCTACTTCTCGGAACGGAAACAGCCGAGTCAGGCAGAAAGGAATAAGGGCCTTGGTCTTACGAGAGACATGCATGACGGGCTGCTTGACTTTCTTCTCTGCTTACACACGAGTTGGTTGGGGCATTCGCATTACCCTTAGCAGCGAAGGGCAAAGGACGAAGGCGAGGGTGATGCATAACCGACAAAAGTAAAAATAAAAGTCATGACGTTGAGATTGGAGGAAAAAGAATAAGCTTGATAAAAAGGCTCGTGCACAACTATAACTCTAAAAGCCAATATTAAATCTGATTTGTTTCGTCTCAATTAAATTATATGGGGTCAATAACAGAATCAGAAAGTGAGGAGGTTGACCAGGGGTTGCACATGGAGAATGGGGATTGGTGGAGCTTGGAGTAAGATAGAGCTGTAAGCTCCATTGGCTTGCATGAGGAGGAGAAGAGGAGTCATGATACAGTATGGCTGGGTCTTTTTGTCTTTTTCTTTTTGTCTTGGGGCGGTAACTCTATTGTTTGAGGGTCTGTCTCTCCCTATACTAAGGGATGTGAATCAAAGTCACCCTAGAGCTTCAAATTGTCTCTAATTATTTCCCTGAGTCTTAGACAATGAGACATGATTGTCTATCACAGCACAGCAACGACTCATACTCAGTAGTCTGTGCTCTCCCTCTGCTGTAAGGTACAACACAACGCAGCTGTGCCTGATTTGCTAGTATGTATAGAGGGAGGGGAAAATGAAGCATGGCATAAGACATGGACCAATAATTTGTGCCGTCTATGCAGAAACACTGCCTTAGCTCTATCTACTACTGTAGTCTACTGCACACCCACTCTCAAGCAGCCAAGTTACTAGGTCATGTCATCAAAAAGATTAAACAAAAGGTCAAAGAGTTGGAAACAAGTGATTGACAAACTTGATAATGCTATTCTTGGCCATCTTTAGTTATGCTTGGCTTGCGTGATTATTTCTTCGGAAGCAACGGAATTGTGATCTCTATTTGCCTGTATGGGAATTGATAGACTACTAAGGTTGACAGACCATCGTGAAGAGAACCTTAGGGTATGTACAAGACAAGATGTGGCTGGAGGGAACTACAGCAGTCACCATACCATCAAGAAGCGATACGAACAGCGCCAATCTAGGTACCATTCAGAATAGCTTGCACCTTGGTAGCTGCACGTACAACCTGTCATGTCACTCTATGCCATGGCCTCTTTCGTATTCTGAATCAATTTTCGTTGATCTTTTCAGGCTTAAAGAGTATAGAGTCTCTTAGAAGCTGAAGCTCTAGCTCCCGATGGATATCACTCTTGTCTGATGTCATGGCGTTCTCACTCCTCGTGGCAACCATTCCTATATAGGACTTGTTACTAGAATTCCCAGCCTGTGCACTTTTTCAAACACTCCCATTCTTAGCGTCGTGCGACTCTAATCACATTCGAAGAAATAAAGAGAGAAAAAACTAGAAGCTGCAGATAATAGCATATCAGAGTATAACTCAATTCTGACCCATTGATTACTGGGGGCTGGTTCGTCAATGTTGGATCATGGCTGGATTGGCGTCATGCAGCTACGGGTTGAGAAGCTGCGAAATGCCGAGATTGTGGCTTATATGGCGTTGATATTGCAGCTATGAATTTTCAGTGAGTGGTTTTATTATGTACAGTCAATATGAATGCAATTGAGTGAAAAAAGAGCAGTTGATATTGAATAAAATCACTTACATGATGTTCAATTTAATATAGCAGGCACACGATCAAGTAGCTCTTGCCTGCCAATTCTGGTGGTGGTGTTTGGTTCCTCAGGCTCCCACAAACCGTTTCGTTACCCAAAAAGTCAATCCCTTGTCCACTGGAGCCACTGGAGCTTCAGGGAAGCATTCTCTCGTATTCAACGCCCTATTGCTACACACCACCACAGCCCAACCGAGACAACAAAGTCGGTATCTTAACCGCGCTTCAGCTTGGCATTGGCTGTTTCGTCTCTGTCTCTCCTCTAGACTACTGCGCTAACGAGACGGGACCGATACGCTAGGGATGCCGGGGTTACCATCCTGATCCTCCCTTGTTGACTTTACTCTCAAAACACAGTCTTCAAACTCCCTTTGCCTCTTTGCTTCCTCCTCTGCTCCCTGATGTACCACATCAGATCAGAGGATCACAGTAATTCTCTCTGACCCCGGTTCAGTACCGACTGGCCAAAACAGGCTTTCACAACCAAACACAAGGCGTGGTGGCTGCAGGTCTGAGTGCATACATGCTGTGCTATCAAAGTGGTGCTTGTCCTTGGCTAATGCTCCGACTTCTGTCAGACGTCGATTGGTTCCGTTCTGAAGTTCTCTCGTACCGTAATCCACTGGTCCCAGTCTAATTGACGAGAATGCCGTGCTCGTCTGCAAGTACGCCCGCGGCCGATACTCTCGCCGTCCTCTGGGTCTCTGGACCACATGGCCGCGGAGATCGGCTACAGCGAGACCAGTTCTAACTAACCTGTTCAACAGTACTTCTCAAGTGGCAGTAAATGCGGTATATCGAAACCACAACCCTTCGAGAAAGACCAGCCATAAATTTGTTTATCAACATGAACTCCCGGCCTCCGGAAGCCTCGATCGATATGGCAGCGCCATACACCAGAGCAACCATGCATGGCTTACATCAACACGGTTATTGATGGACAACATGCTTAAAGTTTATGCCCGGTGCTGTCCGTCAATTCCCATATTGGTAAAGAAGGCCCATGCAGCCCAGCCATATCCCGCCCGTCTCTTTGCTCGGCCCATTGAGCCGGCTGCCAAGTCTGGGCTGCCATGCCATACCAGGCCATGATGAACAAAAACATGGCTAGCAAACAAGCATAGCCTACAGTTACAACGGGAATTGTTCACATCAACAAATCCCCCGAGACTTCTAGCATTGGCTCTCTCTCGTACTGGAGTGGCCCCACTCCTCCGAAACCATACAATAGCGCACCTTGGCGTTGTCTATCACGAGCAAATCGTCGATTGGCGACATGATATGGGGAGAAGATCCTCACTAGCCGTCTCAAGAAAAGCGCCTCTTCTAAGTTAAGCGAAAAGCCGCCTTGAGAGGCTTACTGCCCAGCACCTAACCTCGCGTTTATCTCTACGGTTACAATGCCAATCGCAACCACCTCTTTTTCTCTGCTTTGTTAGAGTATCATGACAAGCAGGTTTCTGCGTCTTTGTTGTGTCATGCCTGGGCTGGGATGGCGCCAAGTCTCTCGGTCCACGTAGCGCTGCTGGGTTCCTGGACTCTCACGTCGTCAGCTTGCCTAGTTCCAAGAGGCTCGAGAGTTTGTTGGCTGCCCGGGCACTAAACACCTGCGATGCTGATGCTGCTGCATCTCAAGTTCCAGCGGAGTGACCGGGCCTGCATTCTGCATCAACAACAAAACCGCTCATACCATGGAGTGGGTATACTTCAGCCTCGGTTACAGTATACTTTGACTAGGTGCATGTTAGCAGAAGAAGTCGACTGAATCGCCAGAGCTGGCTGATGCTGTCATCAAGCCCGAGTTGCATTGTTTCCGCCTCTTGTGTTTACGAGTTGACCAGCTCGTTGTTCCTGCTGTCATAGGTTACCAATGGCTATGCGGTTCTGTTGAGACGTGGGCACAGTTCCCGTTCTTTGCTGGCTTCTACGCAGAGAGATTGCATGTTTCCTCGTATCCAAATCTACTTGTAGCTGCTCATGCCGTCTCCCGTCTTACTGGGTTCCCCAGACTGGATGCGGGTTGATCCAGTGATCAACTGATTAACTGAATGTCCAACCAAACGGGTCAGCAAGGACTGGCCTTACACAACCTGAGTCCCTGGCAGCCTTGTCCTCTTAGAAGGGCAGGATCTTTTGTTGGGGTTGGAGGGAGGCCGATATCTTGGCCCTTCTGTTGCGGGTTTCCCTAGCTAGGGCGAGCACTTAGAAGCATTAGGCAAAGGAGCTCCGATTGTCTTGGCCGTTGACTAACAGAGTCTTCGCTGACCTCCGTGCATGATATTGACATCACGCCTTGGTACTGAGGCTCACTTTCTCAGTCGATTGCCAGCTACCTAGTCGTCTCGATATGCATCCCTCGTGCATCGCGGTTGCTCCAGTGAGCTCCAGCCACATCCTTTGAGCTCGTTGATGGTTGGACTCACGATGCCCGTATCACATCTTGCCAATATTCACACCCCTCCCTCTTGATGATTATCGTCTCCTCGCAGTAAGAGTTAGTCTAATACAATTTATGGTGGGGTTGGTACAAGCGAAGCCAGTTGGGCGATCTTGCACGAAGGTTTGAAGTTGTCAAGGCCAACTTCGCCAACCTCCCTCATGTGAGGCTGGATTGGTTCATGGACTTACAGATATAAGGCTGCAACCCTTCCTGGCTTTTGCATTCATCTCATCTCATCCATCTCATCTCAGCCTCTCTCACCTTCCAATCGCTCCGATCTGGTTTCGTATCTACCCAAGTATCCAACTCGTTCAGGTTACTTGATACCTTCGCTCAACCACCACTGTCGCTTGCTCACAGCTCGCACTCGCTCTCAACACCTTCGTTCATATCACGAAACCACCCTCACCACTCTCATCATGAAGTTCGGTGCTGCCCTTCTTGTCATGGCCACCTCGGCCTTGGCTAACAACCTTCGACGAGGAGACTATGAAGACTCCGGAGACTACGACAACGGTGGTCACTACGAGGCTCCCGAGAACAACTACGGACATGAAGACTATGGCAACAAGCACGAGGTCACCGAGGTTGCTGTCACTTACACGACTACAACCGTCTGCCCCATCACCTACACACACCACGAGGAGGGACAGTAAGTTATTCAGCCTCATTCGAAAGCTTCCAGAACACTAACATGAAACAGCACCTACTACGAGACTAAGCTTACAACCTCTACACTTGTCGTCGCTGAGACCAAGACCGTTGATGTGACAGTCAAGCAGCCTGATGTTACCAAGCACTACACTGATGTCGAATATGTCACCCACACCACTCTGTGCCCTGTGACCAGGACCAAGACCGTTGCTGGAGAGGTCATCACTGAGGTTTACACGACCACTAGCTACATCTACGATGTTGTCAAGACCACCGACTACGAGCACGTCAAGCAGCCTGATGTGACCAAGCACGAGACCGATGTTGTCTACAAGACCCGAACCACTGTCTGCCCTGTCACTGTCACCAAGACCATTGCTGGTGAGGTTGTCACCCAGACCTACACTACTACCAGTGTGATCGAGGAGGTCGTCCAGTCTACCGACTATGAGCACGTCAAGCAACCCGATGTCACCAAGCACGAGACAGACGTTGTCTACACCACTCGCACCACTGTCTGCCCCGTCACTGTTACCAAGACCATCGCCGGTGAGGTCGTCACTCAGACATACACCACCACCAGTGTCATCGAGGAGGTTGTTAAGACCACCGACTACGAACATGTCAAGCAGCCCGACGTTACCAAGTATGAGACCGATGTTGTCTACAAGACCAAGACCAACGTTCACCCCGTCACTGTCACCAAGACTATTGCCGGCGAGGTCATCACCAGCGTCTACACCTCCACTGACTACGAGGTCGTCAAGGTCCACAGCACCGTCTACGACCAGGTTAAGCAGCCCGATGTCACCAAGCACGAGACCGACATTGTCTACCAGACCAAGTACGAGGTTTACCCCGTTACTGTCACCAAGACTGTTGAGGGCGAGGTTGTCACCAACGTCTACACCTCCACCTCCGTCGTTGTCGAGAAGGTTGCAACTACCATCCCCGCCTACGAGACCATCGTCAAGACCATGGGCAAGGGCGTCGTCGTTACCCAGTACTCCAAGATCATCCACACCGTCGGTGGTGGCACCGTCTACCAGACCGTCGCTCCTGAGCCCACCACTGTCCAGCTTCCTGAGACCGAGGTTGTCACTCAGCCTGAGGTCACTGTCCCTGCCACTCCCACTCCCACTGCTGAGCCCGAGCCTGTTGTTAACGGCGCTGCTGTCGCCGCCAACAAGGCCCCCGTCTTCGCCTTCGTGGCTGGTATCCTCGGTGCCTTCGCTCTCCTCTAAGCAAATCGAATTGTTTAGACACCAATCCAACATCACCGCCGGATGGGTTCTTTCTCCCTTCTCTGTTTATTCTTCTTTACATCCTTCAATTCATCTCTTGGTAAAAAGCAAGTTGTGTCCCTGGGAAAGGGCACTCTATTTTTAATTCATGGCGGGCATCGGTATCGCATTACATACACTCCTTTCAGACAGCGAAACAAGACGCATGGTAGAAATGGGAGGATGGTTCTTGCTTTTGTTGATTGGCACTTAATGTCGCGGAAGAGGGTGTTTGCCATTTCTTTCTATTCTTTTAATGTATATATTAATCTCACGGTATTCGGGTATAGGATATTATGGAAGGATTTGGAAACGGTTTACGATAGTATGAGTATGAGTAGGTAGTTAATCTGACGATGTGTTGTTGGAATATCTTTCACTGTTTCCCATTGTGATACTTGACTCTCAAAATCTATGACAATTAACTAAGATGGCTGGTGAAGTATAAGATTGGACTTAAGAATCTTTAAGTTCAAGGCCAAGCTTTGGTAGCTCGTGTTGGAATAAAGTGGCTGGGAAGAGGCGTGAAGGCGTTTGTATGACCTATTAATGGCTCTCTAGTGGAGTGATCAGAAGACCCTTAGGGATCCTTTGAACTTTCTGAGCTTGTTGACGAACTTTATTTACTTTTGAATTAGCTGTCTTGTTTACTTGGCCACCGGTAGCTATCTTCGAGAAGTAAATCGTTGAAAGGTAAACGCCAGTCCAGCCTTGTCTTTTGGGAGAAGATACCAGCTCATGGTCAATTCAAGATGACTCAACTGCTTCAGTTAGTACAAAACGACATCCGTGGTTGTTTCTACACTAAGTAACCTATTGACTTCTAGTGTTAATAAGTTGATTTGTGAGCTTGCGTTGGAGCTTGGGTATAAGTGGCGTCAACTGTGTAACCGGGCAAGCTTGAGCTCATAGGCCAGATCTAAACGTAATGGTTCGTTACAAAAAGGAAATATATGCAATGGGGCTATCATTTTTATTTGCTTGAAGTGTAGAAGAGCGGTAAGAATGTGAAGCTCTTTCTTTGTTGTTAAAGGGGTGATGACTGGACTCTTGCGGGCTGCAGAATGGCAGACTAAGGATAAGGAGATTCAGTTGAGCTTATGGATTAAGCTCTTATGTTTGAAGAAAATCGATAGCAGCTTCTGGTATGAACTCACAAAACAAATAGCAGGTTTCTTGCTGCAAAAGCCGTTCAGTATGTTCTGCAGATGTGAGTGACTGCCAGCACATACACGAGCCTTTGAGCTCCCACCAACTTTACTACCCATGCAGAAACCCGACTTTGGTGTATGTGTATCCCTAAACGTTCCTTCTTCTAGCAATCGGTTTTCTTTGTAGTATATGGAAACTACTGCAGTTCCTATCAATGCTTGGCGGTTCTGCACATATTTGTTGGCATTAAGAACGAACTGTCTCGTCAAATATCACTTTCAAGGAGACGCCGAGCTTGAGCAAACAGTCATCCGTCTTTGATCAATCCCCTTGACTCATCAGAAGGCTTAAGGAAGACGTAGTTGGAGGCTTTGATGTATGAAAATGTATTGGATATTGTAACTTGGGAGAACTGTCAAAGAGTCTAATGGAGATCAACTGGCTTCAGCAGAAGAGTATAAAGAGGACCGGTTTATCATGTCGAACTTGTTTTTCACCTCAACTTCTTCCCAACTAATCTACAACTTACTATTTATTCATCTTTCTATCTATTCATCTTTCTATCTACTCTACGTCTTACTATCTATCGCCTTACACAGTCTTATCAAAGATGCCGCCTTCTTCCACCTCTCATTCCCTGGTCTCCGAGGTCATATTTGCTTCGTCTTACCGAGAAGGTGCAGCAAAGTGTATAGGACATGCCAAAAGCAAGTCACGGTGTTGTAAAAGATCCATCAGCCAGGCCAATGTGAAAGAGCACGACAACCACATGGTAAGGCTAAACAGCCTGCCCCTTTGGGAGCGGGCTGAAAGTTCGATCCTTGAGGGAGCCGCAAGGCTTCTGCTCTGTCATGATCACGGGGAAGATTTATCCCGTGAACTTGAGAAAGCGAGGTAGAAGTTTCGCCACGCGGTTTCGGAAGAGGCTAGGAAGAAGAAAGAGGAGGAAACCGAGAAGGTATGTGGTAGTGTTATACAACTGGCTATAGTTGAAGTACTAATATGGGATAGTTTATTCAAGACCAGCGAGAGGCTGGCAAGAATGAGGATGGAGTAATTCGATCTCCCACTCCTTGCGCTCCTCACTCTCCTTACTCTCCTCCCACCCTTCCCACCTCTCAGTCTCCTTACGGTCATCCGGCTCTTCAAGCTCACCCAGCTCCTGCCACTCCTCCCGCAACTCCTCCCGCCACTCTCCGTATCACGGATGAGTGTCCCTCAGAGTCGGATTCAGACTCTGACTCTGACTCTGACTCTGAAGAGCAAGGGACTGGTACGGTCGACCCATGGACGGCCTACCAGGCGAGGTGGAAGGATATAATAGACAATGGTGTTAAGAACGGTATTGTAAGTATCAACGAAGGCATACCTAATCCCGGCATATAAATAACACGATAAACAGCCCTTGGAATACCAGATGCCATGGCCGGTCGTCTCAGGCCATTTTGCAGATGTTAATCATCTGCAGATCCGGGCCTTCTTTGAAAGAATTTCTGCCGACATGGACAGTCTGCAGATCGGTAGAATGCTTTACCATGAACTTATGCGTTGGGAACGTTCTGGCATAAGAAAGCGGTTTGGGAGGTCCTTTTATATGGGATATAAATCTGAGCTGAAGGTTATCCAGGCCGTTGTACACGAGTGCGCAGCAGACTTTTGGATTTAATGCTAGCGGCCAAAGGTTACTTTATTTTCCTTTTGTCAAGTTGGGTATCGGCACTTGTTAGACGAGTATGACTACGGACGACTTACGATTACATGAGGTGGTGTTTGGGTGGCTTCGAATAGATAGGAGGACGGAACTGGAGTTATGTTATTGTTTTATTTCTCTATCGGATGAAAAGAGTTTGTTTTCCTGCCTGCCACTGATAGAATATCTTTTTGGTGTTTGAGCAAGAAGTCGAAATATCTTAACTCTTACCTCATGAATCGACATTGGATGTTTCTATAGAAGCATGGTATCTGAGAAGCTCCCCGTGTAATTGATAAGATACCCCACCACTATCAATATATATCCCCCACTTCCCGCCCGCCTGGACCCGGAGTAGCATTAGTCCGCTAAATCCAATCCCGTTCATGAAGCTTAGACAAAGCATCGCATGTAAACATCCAACATCTCGTTATCAATCCTTACGACAACGTCAAGATGGCGCCTGTTGATCGCGTAGACCATAATGCTCTTGAGCGTGAGTTTATTTCCATATCAATTTTCGGTCATGCACTAACATACCCAAAGAACAGCTCAAGGACATCATCCAGGATCTCTACCAAATAATGGTCCAGGTCTCAACTTACGACTCAGTTGGCTGCTCAAGTAGAGAAGTCCTCATCAACGAAATGTACCACGCTCGAATCTCACTTCAATATTCTCAAAGAAGTAAACTGACAAGTCTTCAGCAAAACACTCTCCGAGTCCCTCCGCACACTTCACACGTCAGCTTCACCACCACATAACCTCCCCTCGGTACCCCCAGAACTCCTCGAATATGTCGAACATGGCCGTAACCCAGATATCTACACACGAGAATTCGTCGAGCTTGTGCGTCGCGGTAACCAGCTCATGCGAGGAAAACTCAACGCCTTTGGATCTTTCCGCGATATTCTGGCCGAGAATATGACGACTGCTATGCCTGAGCTGCGCGACGATGTGGCTCAGGTTGTTGAGGCTACAGGAGGTGTGCCGCCGGGCAGAAGGAACGGAGAGCAGTCGCAATCGCAATCACAGCCGCAGCAAAATGGTGCCAGTAACCATGCATCTTCATCGGCTGCTTGAGAGTAAGCTGAGGACGATAGACGGTTTTGATGTTTCTTTTTCTCACGCGGTAGTTATTTTTGGGCCGCGGACTTATGATACCCTAGGCGCGTATGATACCGCGCAACTTAATGCATTGTCTTTCGTGTAAACGCTGCGTAAACTTGTGCAGCATGATTATATTGTTTAAGACTTCAAATTCGGCCAAGAGACGATTTTGTTCTTAACGAGATGCTTAGCGAATGTCAAAATACGATTAGATCAATAGTCGTGATTAGCATTGACAATTGGGTATCGAAATCTGATACGTAATCTCTAAGAGGACGACTATCATTTTCAGTCATATTGATGTTGTATGCATAAACACAAATTCCAAGGAACCGTTCTAAAAGAATTCGTGATCATATCCTAGGTCCCTTCGACCCTGTATAAGCAATCCATTATCCTTGTGCATTGCCATGCCTATCATTGATGTCTATGCCTGAAACAAACGCCGAACAATGGTATGTTATGTAGCATATACAAAGTTCCCTTGTATGCAGTCGGAACGTTCTACAACCTCAACGGGGGTTTCCTTCCAAAGACCGGAATGTGTTTCATGCAAATGTATGCGGATCCAACAAGTGCCAGAACCAAGATCACCGCTTGCCATGGAAGCAAGACAGCTGCCGCCATAAATAAAGTGCCGTATCGTCGCACAGAATCGACCAACCGATCATGGGCTTCTTGGTCTTGTCCCTGACCCGCGGGTTTGCTTTCCTTGGCTTGTGGGTAGAAACCCTCTCCGCTGAGGGGTATTGTGTAGTCGTCGTCCTCTCCATCTTCCTCTTCATCCTCATCATCCTCGTAGTAATAAAACGAGTCCTCATCCTCACTATCCTCGAGGTCGTCATCATCATCATCAGCGCCATGTGGTCATGAGAAGTTGAAACCACCGGGGTATCCACCACCACGCTGTCTAGGATCACCCCCAAAGTTGAAGTGGGCACCACCACCGCCGGGGAAGCCCCCAGCTGATCGGAAACCGCCGCCGCCACCACCGAAACCTTGCTGGCCCATCATGCTGAAGAGAATCTCGGGGTCGATGCCACCCATGCCTCCGCCCATACCGCCCATACCGCCACCGCCGAACATATCGTTAGGGTCCATCAGGTCATCACCATTGTCATAAGCGGCACGCTTCCTAAAAGTCGGGTCAGTAATGCGTTCACTTCAATGCATGTAGGGAGTCTCTTACTGAGGGTCGCTCAAGGTCTCGTAAGCTTCCTGCAAGTCCTTGAACTTCTCCTCGGCGTGGGCATCGCCGGGGTTCTTGTCAGGGTGAAGCTTGACGGCCATCTTGCGGTATGCCTTCTTAATCTCGTTGTCTGTAGCCGTCTTTTCAACGCCAACAATCTTGTAATAATCCTTTCGCTGGGCCTTCTTGAGTTCAAGTTCTGCCCTGCGAATCTCCTTGGCGATGTTGCGGTCTTCCGGCTCGAGCTCTTGGATTTCCTTCCATTCCTTGACGGCATCATCCCACCTTTCGGCACCACCCAAAGCATTGGCCTTGGTCTTGCGGGCCTTTGTGTAACCAGGGTCGAGGCTGATAGCTCGTTCACAGTCGGCGATGGCATCATCGTACTGCTTGAGCTTAATCTTGCATTGTGCTCTGTTCTGCAACAGCTTTGAGTTCATGCTCTTGTTGGAGGGATCAATTTCCAAAGCATTGGTATATTTCTCAATAGCAGGCTGTAGGCGACCAGCCTTGAAGTCGGCGTTACCCTCCTCCTTCATGCGGTCAAGTCTCTGAACAATTCTCAACCACTTAACAGCGTCGCGGAAGTCTGGGTCACAGTTAATGGCCATGCGGAAGCACTGGATAGCCTTGTCGTTCTCGCCCTGGCCGTACAGAACACGTCCGCGGAGAACAAGGGCCTCAGGGTCCTGGTTGTTGTGTCGGAGAAGGTTCATAGCAATGTTCTGTGCCTCTCCCAAGGAGTTCTCTCGTCCCATCAATAGATAAGCTTCTCCACGCATAAGCTGCCACTTACGAGGCTTGGTAACACGATAACCAAGGCCTCGCTCAGCCAGGTCAAGAGCATGAAGCACCATAGACGTACCAGACCCGTTGCCCTGCTGGAGGATATCACGGGCAGACTGAATGTGGTGCAGCATTTCCTTGGCCGGGCTTACATCCTTAGCGGATGGTTGGGGATCCATGCGGTTGAAAGTTGTCATGGCTTCCTCTGGTCGGCCCAGAGCAGTATAGATACGGGCCAATCGTAGAAGAATCTTGGCGTTCTGGGGATCAGAGTCGGCAGCTCTGGAGCAGTCTTCCAGAGCCTTCTCATATTGACCGTTGGACATATAAGCAGCAGCTCGGTTGCCTAGATAAGTAGCGGAGAAGGGGAACAAGTCGACAGCTGCGATTGGATGTCAGCATTTGGAGATACTTTATGTAGAGCTGAAAAGGTATGGAAATAAGAGCCTCTTGGCAAGTGGCAATACATACCTTTGCTGTACTGCTCGATGGCCTTATGGTAGTTTTTGTCCTTAAAAAAGCGGTTGCCCGCATTCTTGTAGGACTCAGCATCCTCCTCGGGTGTGATGGTTGGGCTTCCAGGGTTGGACTTGTGAGGAGGAGGTGGAGGGGCGCCGTCATCATGACTTGAGCCGTTGGGGATAGGAACGGAGAAGTTGGCCTGGGCGTTGGCCTTTTGGTTGGGAGGAGTCGTAGAGCGAGCGCCATTAACAGGCTCGCTATCGACGTCCATCGAGTTACCGTTCATGGCTGCGGCGAGAGCGGATAATCGCTTGCGCTCTTCGGGAGGAAGGTTAAGAGGGTGCGTATCAGGCTCGTACTTGGGTCGACGAGAGGAAGAATGAGAGTGGGAGGAGTGACTAGGGTCGGTAGAATGCCTCGATAGCCTTGAAGAGCGGGTCTTGGATGGTTCGGCGAAAGATGAGGGCCGAGATGATTTCCTTGAAGACTTTGAAGGCGACTTCTCGCGGGCGGGCGATGAAGGTTCGGAGGAGTAGGGCGGTGGTTGTTCAGAAGCGTCGTGCTCACGGTCGCGCTCCTCGAAAGTGGCGGATTTCCTTGAAGAGGAAGGGGGAGGAGTGGAGGAGGAGGAATTTGGCTTCTTGCCGCTACCGAAGAAGTTCTTCATTTGAAATTGGACCAAAGAAAGTTCCGTTCCGATGCCAGAATAACTTTAGTTGGGATGGAAGAATCCCCAAGAATCCCCGTAACAAGCTTATGCCGGTTACTTGAGTCGATGCCCTAAACGGGCGTTAAGAAAAAAACCGATTTTTTTTCCGGGGCCTTGTCCCTCTCAAGTGGCTCCTTGGGACTGGGACGGGACAAAAACAGGTCGTGCGGCTCTGAGCCTAAAAGGGGTGAGGAGCGGGCGAGGTAGACTATGGACTTCTGTACGGGCAGTACTGGACCGGTACTTAGAAGACCGTAGAAGATAGCTGAGAGGTAAGTAGCGAGTCTGTTGGAGCCCAAGTTAGAATTAAAAGATGAAGAGAGAATTAAAAAAGTACACACAAAGAGTCCGAATATGACACCTAGATCATCAATAGTCAAGAAGATCCAGATTCAGAAGAAAGGAAAGAAAGAAAGAAGAAAACAAAATCGGGGGCAGGGAAGGAAGAGACGAGATGATGAAGGAGAAAATGATGACCCTTGTTGAGCCAATACAAGTCCTAAGTTTGGTACGGATACTCTCTAGGTAACTGACTGACTGATGTTAATGAGATGGGCGAACCGGGCTGTGACAGTGACGAGTGACAAGCCAAACGACATGGAAACTCAGCCCAGCCGATTTATCAGCCCCAGGGCATTTTCCCTACCTATCCTATCCATTTCCTCCCCAACATCCCATGGGCCATGGGATGGGAGAGACATCCATACTAAAACTAGGTGTGAAAATGAAAGATCAAACTGCTGGACTTCCTATCCGAGTAATCCGTCACTCCAACTTGTGACTCTCATTAGCCTGTCGGATCATTGCAAAAGACACCCATATCCATATCCATCCATCCTTTGAAAGAGAAGGCTGGGCTCTGCAGGTATCCCCAGTTACCGACGGCGGCTCACAGCGGAAGCCTACCGTAGGCACATACATACGCCAGTCTGGTCTAAGCGATTTGTTGTTTGATTTCTACCTGACCTTGAGGACCAGTGACTTGTATTGCTTTTCCTAGAACATATTAAATGATATTTATCCTCGAATCTATTACGGCTATCCATTTCGAGACTTGGGCAACACACGGTAGATATGTTTGTCTGCTGTGCGAGTATCTTTCTTGTACCTCGTTCCCCAGGCCAGATATCCTTGGCCTTGTCACCACGCGCTTCAGCTTCAAAACTCCCCACTACGGACCCCCAGCTATGGAGTTTATGACAACCTACCAATTAAGCAAGGACCATGTGCAATGACAATGAAGTTTAGCGACCAAATCCGATGGACGAGAAAAAAGCATAGTTAGGTCTTGTCCATTTAGTCTGCATATGCAGTGAGTTGTCCTCAGACCTTGAGCCAACCAAAATAGTCCAGACAATAGGTTGGAGGTTGGGATAGTCTGGTCTATCAAACTCGAGACGGGCCTATGGCAGCACTTCGAAAACAAAAGACTTGTAATTACAGCATAGCCATAATGACGACAAGATCAAGTATCCATCGCCTGCCAAGGCACAATACAGAAGACAGATGGAGAGAGAAATCTGTCAACTCAGATAATTACATACAATCCCGACTCCTCTAACCCCGCGAGCAACTAACAACTTTTAGTGCCCGTAGCCCGTACCTAACTCACCGTTCATCGGCCCGCATAGAACTAACCTACTATCGAGGCTTTGCACTTAACAAGACGTCATGTTTCTAGAAGGTTCAGTGGGGCCGAACTCGGGACCCTGGAATAACACATTCTCACCAGCCATCCTCGATTCTTACAGGCTGCTCTTAGGCGCCCTCACAACGCTTTCCTTGTTGTGTCTAAACGGCTCAACGGGTGGCGGGTTGGATCCATGCCCTGCTCGTTCTCGTTGTCTGGTGAAATTGAAATTTTGGGATCTTCAAGGGGCTTGCGTTTCGCTTGGCTGCAAATCATTGCAATCCACGGCTGCCCCGGATTGTTTTTCTACGCCTATCAGCATAACCCAGAGCCATTATCCAGCCTGTTCATTAACGTCGCTGTGTATACTATCTATGACCTGAGTTGGTGGCTTTATCAGCACATGTGCTGTTAATGAACAGATATCATAATTAAAGTTATGTCCTAGCTCTGTGACGTCGAAACGGGTATCATAAATACCACGTGCAACAATATCCGTGCATTCATTGAATTGCTGTACCACACTGGCAAACATCTCTACGTCGTACAGTCGGAAGAAAGGGCAATACGTGCTGCTGATAGACATATTAAACTATACTACATGGTATATCTGGAACAAGCTAATACTAGTTGCTCAGCCGCAGCGTCTGAATAATACATAGACGAGATAGTTTCAGGCATCACAAACATCCATGTATCATTCCCCTTGCGTCCTAGTTGCGGGCCGCTATCGGGTTCAACTTAACACAGCAGTTATATAGGTACTACAACACGTACCTCTCCCTGATCTCTTCACGTCCATACAGTCCTTTGAATCCATGATGGCTTTAATCAAGACCAGAGCCACAAGATTCATTGTTATAACAGGTTCAATGAACTTTGGTGCTGTCGAGTGACCAATATGCTTCTGATCGCAGCGGAAGTCGGTGTTGAATCGCAGTGTTTTTGCATGTCGTTTATACATGTTGATCTATGTGACACATCCTACCCTCCACGATCAGAGCAATCATCATTCACCCGATAACAATAAGACGACTAGCCCAATATGCCCAGGGCCATTTGTCCCAATAATAGGAATTAATCGTATTCTCATCCGATAACCTATGCTGTTCCCAAGCGTTACCCAACCCATGAACCATACCCAAGTGCCGGCACCCTTTACATAACAAATCCACCATAATTTGATATCAAATGAAACAAAAAGCAAGACAAGACTGTTTCCCAGTCATTTCACAAACCGCGCCGCAAGAAATGATGCCTCAGCTTCGACAACCATGTCATTGCCAGCATGCCAATACTCCGTACCTTCTAGCCGTAGAAACAACGCATGATGCCACAAGGTCTCTTAGTCATCGTGTTCATTAGAATTCTTATCAGAACCATTGTTAGACCCCATGATGGAGCCGACAAACTCTTGGTACTTGAACACCTCGCCTCTCTTGGCTCCAAGGTGGGCGTTCATGTTGCGGTTGAAGGCTCGTCGCCCAGTGAATCCATTCATGATCTTATCAATCTCACTGGCAGTCAACGCCTTCTCGCCAGGCTCGGGTTCTGTGTTGAGAAGAGCATTACGTAGCTCAACCACGTCCACCTGACCGCTGTCGTCGTTATCGAAAGCCGAAAAGGCGGAGAGCAGGTCGGCACTATCCGATAGAGCTGCGAGTGCGTCGGCAAGCGAGTTCAGAAACACTGCTAGGCTGATGGTTTGAGGAGCTGATGGAGGAAAGAAATGGGATACATCGGCTGGGCTAGAGGGAAGACCTGTTTCGTGACGTTAGTTACTGATGTAGTATCTTCTGGCTATGCGGTTCATACCTAGCTGGTTAAGCATATCCGTAACGTCTTCTCGGTTCACAACACCATCGCAGTCCTGATCCATGATCTGGAATGCATCTCGGAGTGTTCGAACTTGGGTCGCTTGCAATTGCGATAGCGCATTGCCGTTACCAAGTGACTTTGATACAGGAGTTCGAGGAGCCGACAATCGCGAGGGTGATGGAGAAGCCATTTCGTCTTTCACGGGTGTCTTGGGCTTTGGTGTCCAGCTATTTTGTGTACTTGTAGGAGTGGTAGCTCTAGCGAAGCGCGAGGTAGAGCCAAGAGGTCCGGCCTTTGTTGGGGATCCAGTCGGTGTGGTATGTCGGAGGGGAGACGGTGAAGCAGGAGATTCGGCTCGACGAAAGGGTGAACTACGAGTAGGAGAAGAGCCATAGCCTAGAGGCGAAGGCTTGTATGCCGCCGGTACAGACTGAAAAAGAAGGCGTTAGCTGGGCCGGGCGTCACTGGTCAGGGATTGTTCGTCATGGAAGGAGTACCATTGTCTTGTACGTGGGTCCGTCCGTGTTTGACGAGCGGAGATGGGAAAATAAACAGGTTTGGAAGGGGACGAGGAAGAAAAAGCGAATGGTTTGAGGTTAATTGGTGGTAATAAGAGTGAGATACAGTATAAGACAGGCTATGGATTTGTGGGATGGTTATGGGCAGCCGTTGTCGTCAATTGGGGAAGAATTGAGGTTGTAATGCGGTTTAACGAGGCTCGCCAAAGTAAACAAGAAAGTGGTTCCCAGGGAGATGCATTGAGAATGAACATTGGACGCCACAAAGTGCGCCACAACGTGAGCCACATGTGAAAAGCCAAGACCCGTGTCATGGCACTCGCATGGCGCTAAAAAGGGAGCATGGATGCATTAACCTTGGGAGGGGAGCCTACCACAAGCTGAAGGTTGCGATTTCAGGGGACGCAGGGGGATGAGAGCGACCCTTTTTCTTAGTGGGGACGAGTTTTGAGTGGTCGGGTCTTTTTTTCCTTGACGATGTATCTCTAAAGACGTTTAGTTGGTTGCAGTGATTCAAGATTTGAGCGGCTGATTGATTAACGAAATAGGCCCAATTGGAGACTAATAGACGGAACCGGTCTTGCGACACGTAGAGAACCGTTTTCAGGGGTTAAGTTAATCTATTAAATGGGAATGAGGGGGAAAAGCCTGGACCCGACGTTGTGGATATGGCATCGTAAATGGTCTTTAACCCTTTATCGAGACTCTCAACTACTGTACTTGTGATTATCTTTTTGATTATTTTTAACGAGACAAGAACATTCTGTCACATTGACTGTCGTTTGTTGAATCAATCTTGTCCCACCAATACATCCATCCTCTCTATCCCTACAAGCGACGCAAGTCAAGCCTTCGCCCAGGTTGCGTTGCGCCCACATTCATTCACCCTGTGGCGGACTAGACTATGTCTCAGCTACAAGACTGTCTTTAAATCTGTTTCTGTTGCATATCCGATAGCAGAGCAACTGGCAGTGTTACTGTACCGGCTGTACTCTGCTCTAATTATACCAACCCACTTCAACTGTTTCAATTCACAGCCGTTCGACTGAAGAGAATATTACAGTAGGTGACGCTCAAAGTGGAACATACAAGCGTCGATCCCACTGCTGCATTGCATTGCAGTAACAGTACACCGCATCCTTCAACCACAGCGCAGGCCTAGTCAAGGTACCGTACACTCTTCAATCGGACCTCCCGAGTCGAAACGCAAGAAATCACATCACCCAATCCGGTCCATACGAGGGTGTCGTGTTTCGTGTCTCGGAACCCCGGTCTGATCCCGTCTTCGGCCTTGTCTCGTCTCCGCCTCCGCCTCCATCTCCATCATGGCTTCCTCGTTTCAGTCGACGCTGCCATTCTTATCCAAGACGTCAAACAGCACCGCGAATACCCACGGTCATAAGCACAGCATCAGTAACTTCTCCAATGCTTCATTGCCCAATCGACGAACTTCCTTGGCCTCGTTTCACTCTTCGCGCCCAGAATCGCAAATGTCACAGGCCTCGCCGCCGCCTTCGAGGTCACCCCTGCCTCCAGGGCCCGAAGCTGATCGCATATCGGATCCCAATTCTCGATCAAAGACGCCCTCGACAGGATTGTCCTCTCAGCATTCTTCTCTGTCTGCCCCTCGACGAACCAACCCTCATGGTCGACCTTCCAGAAAACTACGCTCCCAGTACCCACGAAGCTCTACCGAGAACCATGTCGAATACATTCTTGTCGCATCGTTCGATATTGATCGAGGACCTGTCATGGAGCATCAGTATCCAGTTGCGATCACAGGCGACGAGAATATGTTAGCTGAGCTCATGTTGCCGGATCAAGCCCATGCCCGTAACCAGGATTGGACAATATTCTTCCTTCACAAGGACACCAGCGAAGAGGATGAAGATAAAGAACGCAAGAATAAAGAAGGTCGAAAGAAGAGGCGTAAAAGAAGACGTGACAAGGCGGCTGGTGTAATCGATGAAGAGGGCGAAGAAAACGAAGAGGACCTGCCAGAAGAGGAATGGGACGACGATGAAGAAGATGGCGACGAATCTACCGATAGCGAACCTGAGGGCGGCGAGGGCCCTCCATTAATTTATGTGCTGAATCTAGTCAACACAAAACATGACAAGTCGGTCAAGCGAGGGGCCATTGTCAAGGCCATGGCCATCTGCACGCGACATCCCTTCTTGCATATATACAAGGCAAGTAGCCTTCACACACATACTGTGCCTACGCGCATCAGCTAACCGTATCTAGCCTTTACTACTACTGGCTTTGGAGGAATACTTCAAAGCACCCGTTCCAGAGACATTGGCCATGCTATATGACTCAGTCAACGCCATGGATTTGTCCCTAATGCCCAGGCTTAGTCTTTTGGAGCGCCATTTATTACAAGCCAGCGATAATAGGGATCTCTTTGTGGAGAAGTTCGAGCAGATGATTCAGATGCGGATAGCCGAAGACCAACGCGAGGAGGCGACAGATGCTTCGCTGGATGCGACAAGGAGCCCAACAAAAATGACCGGTATTTCAAGAGCTGGTACAAAGGCCCATGTTGAAGGTGGCCAGTCGATTTACTCGGTTCCCCGCGACACACATGAGTTTGAGAGCAAGGTCATGTACAAGGGCATACCGATCCCCATCAAAGTGCCTGTTGCTGTCATGCCGGAAACCGTCGGTGACTTTTCACTCATTAAACTCATTCAGAACTTCTCAGATGTTCATCAGAAATCGCCACAACCGTTTGCGCTACATCCTCATCTCACAAGCAATGGAGTGAACACACATCCGGTTATTGTGCTAGCGAATGCGCTACTGACACAAAAGAGAATCATCTTTATGGGTTATAACATGCCCTCAGGCGAGGTTGCCGAAGCTGTCTTGGCCGCGTGTGCGTTGGCCTCGGGCGGCATTCTTCGTGGGTTTACACGACATGCTTTCCCTTACACCGATCTAACAAAGATCGATGATTTGCTCAACGTACCCGGCTTTATCGCTGGTGTAACAAACCCAACATTTGAACTTCACCCGGAATGGTGGGACGTCTTGTGCGATCTGCCCAGTGGAAGGGTCAAGATCAGTACAAAGATCGACCCTGCGCCTGTGACAGAAGGCCTGCTGTATTTCCAGCAGCAGAATGCAGCTTTTGCAACCATTGCAAGTGGTACGACAAACACGAGCCAGGATTACACGGGTGATAATGCCTTCATGGCCGATGTTTTGCGAAGCATTGCTGCAAGACATGGTGAGCGTGTAATTCGAGCTAAGTGGAGAGACTGGGTTGCGAAATTCACACAGATCGCGGCCAAGTTCGAGGAAAGCGTGTACGGAGCTAGTGCCCTGTACATCGGAGGCGAAGACCAAGACTTGATGCCGCAAGGGGCCAACGGGCATGGATACGTCTGGCCAGATGATACAGCTAAGAATAAGGAGCTTGCTGGTAATGTAACAAGAATCGAAGGATGGCGCAACACTCGAAGCTACTACAGCTTCATCCAGGTAAGAACATATCGAGAAGAATACAATTCTCAACTAACACCTTTCAGGATTTGGCACAGATCTATACCATCAGACCCTTGAAAGGTCTTGATCTCGCCCATCTTCACGACCGTCTACGAATGCAGCGCTTAACACCTGCACAGAGCAGAGATATCTACCTTACGATCTCCAAACATGTACATACATATGACGAGATTTGCTTACTCCTCAGCGTCGCTCCTGAATCTCACGCAGGACTGTTTTATCTCGGTCTCGGCCTTTTCCACAAGGACCGCGAGGTCCGCCTTAGAACAGCGGATCTCTTAGAACGCATCGCCGACCACGAAGCAGGTCAGCACTGGTGGAGAAGTCTCAGTCGCTTCGAGAAGCTAGCATATATGCGCCTCCGTCGGGAAGTGGATGCAGAGATGCAAGCAAAGCTAGAAAAGGAGGGTATAAGCCCAGAGATGGAGCGAGTGGCGAGCTAATTGTTCCAAACGGAGTTGACATGCGGGCTTAAGGATGTTATTTATGGGCTAGAGAAATGTTGAAGGGTGATTCTTCTAGAGGTGTTATGACATGGATTTGCATTAGATACCTTTCAAGACACATCTAGGCGGCGTTTCGATCAAATATATGGGAGGGAGACGACAGTCATTGTTCACAATCATCAATGGTTGCGTATAAGTGAACCGTTACAGAATATTATCATTTTACTTGCTTTTTGCGTCCTTTGATCGGAAGGGTCACGACCCATTCTCAGCTACCTATAATCCAGTGTCATGTATCATCATAACCAATAAAACCGAAAGCCTTAGCTTCTCATGAGCAGACCATGCTGCTTTGTTTTTCCCAAGATGGCGCCGTAAATAAACCCAACCGAATTTTGTCAAAGAACTGTTGGCTTTTCACCTATCTTACAGCGCACTGCGTGGTAGTCACAAGAGACCGAGAGCCTTGGCGGCGTGCTTGACGTGGTCCTCGCCGAAGGTGGAGATGAAGAAGTAGGAGTGGTCGTAACCCTGCGATGTGTTAGTCGAGTCGTTTTAAGGGTTGTATAGTAGGTTACTCACGTCCTGGTAGCGGAGGTTCAGACCGTCGATGCCGTTGTCCTTGACAACCTTCTCGAGGTTTTCGGGAAGAAGCTGGCTCTGCTTGTAGAAGTTGTCACCAGTGCCCTGGTTTTGTTAGTGAGATCTTATCATAGGATTGAAGGCAATGATTCAAACTTACAACATCGATGAGAGCGGGGAAGTTGCCCTTGTAGCTCTTGAGGAGCTCAGTGGCGTCGTGCTTCTTCCACTCCTCCTTGTCCTCACCAAGGTAGCCCTTGAAGGCCTTCTCACCCCAGGGGCACTGAGAAGGGTTGCAGATGGGAGCCCAGGCGCTGACACTCTTGTACTTGCCAGGGTTCTTGAGGAACAGAGTCAAAGCACCGTGACCACCCATGGAGTGACCAGAGATAGAGACGCGCGATGAGTCAACCTCCTTGAACTCCTTGAAGATGAGGTCAGGCAGCTCGTTGGCGATGTATGTCTCCATCTTGTAGTGCTGGCTGTAGGGGTCCTTCTTGGCGTCGATGTAGAAACCGGCGCCGCTGCCAAAGTCATATGAGTCGTGCTCACCGGGCAGGTCGGTCTCGCGAGGAGAAGTGTCTGGGTAGAGAAGGGCGAGGCCGAGCTTGGAGGCGTGGGCTTGAAGGAAGCCCTTCTCTGTGACGTTATCGGGAGTGCATGTGAGACCGGAGAGGTAGATGAGGAGAGGCGCGGGCTTGGAGGATGAAGCGGAACCGGGGAGCCAGAGGGTTGCGTTCATGGGAGTTCCAGTGACGGCAGACTTGTGAGAGAGCTTCAGAAAGCGTCCGCCGAAGCTGTTGATGGTGGCATTTGTGGTGAAGGCCATGATGGGCTGTTTGATGTGAGATGAGATAAAAGACAATTGCTGTACAAGGTCAATTGAGGGGGTATCAAGTTGATGTTAGTTTCAAGAATGAAAAGAAGAAGAGTGAAAGACGTCAGGTAGTTTATTATGAAATACTTGAGCTGTCTCCAAGGAGGGGAAGCTTCCAGTTAAGGCGTGGTCCGGGGTAACCTTTAACCCCACTATCATCATCGTTACCGGGATGCCCACTACCCAAACATGACGAATGCCGAATTATCTCCCCGATTTGATCTCATTCCCCGCTCCGGAGTCCGGAACCTCGTCCGTGTCACGGGTCGGCGACAAGATACTGCCGGTATATTGGTATTATAGATATCACTGATGTACTGCACTCATTGATGGTATTTCTTATTATTATATGCAATCCCTTCGCTATCTTATGAGTTTCATGACTATCCATTCGTATTGATTCACGTCTGCTCGATGCGAATCAGTGTCGAAATGCTAATAAACAATCACCACCATTGCTAACAAGTGCAGAGATCTCCATCCGGCGTTCTAGTCCATTACTCCGTACCCAGTTTGGTGGATCAGCAACTCGCAATAACATTTCCTTACCATTGACACGCAGATGACAACAACAGACAGGCTGTGTTTGGTGTGAGAATCGGACTTATATTCCTCTGTGTTGTAAAAGCCAATTCCAAGCTACCTGCCAGTCAACCATATTCACGCCTTAACGCCGATCGCTTCCAACAAACTCCAAATTTTGAAAGTCAAGGGACAACGCCCAGCTCATAAGAAACATCTTCTTCATAGATACCCGACCGAAGATGCAAAGCCCCTCAATCATGACTTGTCCTTGCGCTTGCACCTGAAACTGCTGATAAGGGTGTTCCACTCAATAGCAGTCAAGTTAGCCTTGTTTTCATACTCGTAGTCGACTGGACCGAATGTACACCCTGTAGGGCTCTTGCAGATGCCGTCGCAATCGACCGTGCGAGGGTAGCAGAAGAAGTCCTCTCCGTCTGGCGAAAATGTGCTCGTGTTATGGTAGAAAGGCGCTTTGAGCTGATGGCATACATCGAACTCATATACTTCGTGGGTGCATGTACCTGTTGAGTTGGCACCTGTGCATAGCAAGACCTGGGTGACAAAAAGTCAGTACGGCTTAAGCTATAGACAAAAGATGTAAGGGGACCACTTACACCTCCAAGTTCTCTCTTATACAAAGATAATAGAGGAAAGGCAGAAATGCTGGTGGCCGAAGCAAAGGCAGCGACGATCTGAGAGAACTTCATTGTGGTCGTAAGCTTATGTTGTTGAATACCTAGAGGTAGGTCGGTAGTGGAAATGGAATTGTCAGACAGTGACTATCTGAGAAAAGATCGATAGTAAGATACGTTGAATCAGAGATATTTAGCAGAGGTTAGACTTGAGTTGTTTATATGTTGACAATGCTCGAGGTAGGCAAGTTGGTGTGAGTCGATCCTTCTCATTGTTTGTCACTGCCAACCACCTCCTTCACTACACGGCAGGTGCGACCAACCGGTTTTATAACAAACTTCCACTACGGACAAGTTTATCCAAATCGCCTACTTTTCTTTTGCATTGACTCGCTCGACTAAACTAGACGCAACCTTTCATCATCGCTCAATTCACGTTCTGTAGGGTCAAAGAACTCCCCACCGACGTCATGTCGAGTGAATGCGCCGTCTCTTTGGAGACGATGATCATTTGGTCATCCACAACGTCTGTACCACCCTTCGACTACACTCTTCTCGAACAAAACCAACAAGAGGAACCAAACTCAGCAGGGCTACCCTAAGGTCATCCTGAAGTTTACTCGCATGATCTGCGAAGCTACGGGTGTCACGGCTCTCGTTCTAGGCTTGGCCCGTTTCCGGATCAAAGTGACACAAAATTCGGAGGCTAGGAAGAACATTCTAGACCTATGGTTGGACAATTCAATTCAAGGTAATGAGACGCTCTTCAATGTGCAACGAGCCACTGAAGCTGCAGGGTCCAAGTCCTTATTTTCTTTTGGCTTAAAAAGACGTCTGGTCTGTCAAGTCGAAATTGAATGGTATGGGGGATTACTCCCTTGCTTAGAGATTGGCCGTCTATCAGACCTTGTGACGTATATGAGGAGAGTGCGCATTCGCCGTCCAAGAACAGAACATGCCGTCATGTCTCGCGCCGTTGTTTCAGTGAAACACAATTTGGCCGAGCCTATCTGGACCATGATACCCCAAACAAGTCGTCTTCGCTTGACATCATTCCCGCGTGCACTTCCGCCAAGCATATCCACGCTGGGCCAGATGTGACGTGAAAACCTTCATCAACGGGACATACTCCAGGGGCTACTGTTTCCGTCTTCCTCGACAGGTTCGGCGGAGTCAATCAACACACTCGTGCAAGGAGACACAGAAGCAATGTGATTTCCTTCTTTTGTTTTTTCTAGTTCCTGTGTAAACCAATCTCAAACGCCGCGCTTATACATAATTAATTAACCTCCTGATACACTGGGTACTCAATATGCCAAGCCAGAAGGGAGCGCACGACGTTCCAGCTCGATTGTGGTCTAAAGAAGGTCGCATGGGTATATGCGCCCGCAGGCAATCGTTTTGTTTCGTTTCGTGCTAATTCTTATCTCGCTTACTGCAACAGTTCCTCGCAGGTCCAGTCCTCATAGCTGTACCACACGCGTTAACAAAGAACATTCCGACCACTGTAGGAGCAATCATCACTTACTAGCCATCAGGCATGTACCGCCGCACGATCAAAGGGATCTTCTTCTCCCGCATCTCCTTGATAGCAATCTGCAGGGGATCAGTCTCACCCTCGAGATCGACAAGGACAGGCGCATTCATGCTGCAAAGAGTTAGTCTTTCAGTACTGCTGCAGTTCATCAAGACTTTGCGAACCTGATCTGCAATGCGCGCGTGCCGAGAATACGCGCTCTCTCGTACTTGGTCATATAGGGTGTTGTGGTTCGCTCGCTCTCGGGGATCTTCTTGTCTTTCAGGAGCTTGTCACCGCCCTTAAGCGCGTTGGCGGCAGCAGAAGGATCTCCAGAAACGACAACGTTATCATCCGGACCGTCTTGTTGCTGCTCATCACCCTCCTCGGGCTCGGGGTCGTAGTAGTCATTGATCTCCTCATCCTCGTACATAGGCTCGTCGCTGCCTAGGAGTTAGAATCGCGTGCGCTTCCACGGGGTTGCCAAGAAACTTACCCTCCAGCGCCGCCCATATCATCATCGCCGAAGTCAGACATGATGGTTATTATTGACAGAGGTAAATTGAGAGCGAAAGTGTTGTCAACAAAGGTTGTCTTTGCAATGAATGGTTTTTAGAAACGACCAGTGCAACCGCGTAAAAAAGTTCTAGAGAAGAACAAAGTAAAATCCGTTTCTGCCGGCGATTATCCGGCGCAGCTTTAGACAAAGGTTCCGGCGCGGAAGCTGTAGAGTGGGTCGCGCCTGCTTCTAATCCCTGTCAATGTAAGTCGTCCCCCACCAAAAAAATCAAGGGACACCGCCTTAAAATCATCTTGATTCTGCCACTTGCAAGCTCGATTTGCCCTTCACAATCCAAGTCGCCCTCGGCATGATACCATCATGAGCAAAAGAGATGCTGCCGAGGCAGCGCCTGAAGCGCCGCCAGCCAAAAAGCCCAATTGCGGCGGTCCTGATGGTATATGTAGGAAACTACAGCAATGGTCAATTCAAGATATTTGGCTAATACAAACCTAGACATTGATGATGCCGAAGACGACGTGACTAGTGCTCATACTCCATATTCTGTCCAGGGACCCGACTCGCCTCAAACTGTCAACACGGCTGCTACGACTCCACGGGCCAAGTTTCCCTCGGATTTGAAAACCCTCGCTTGTACATGGCCTGGTTGCCCCAAAACGTTCAATCGACCTGCGAGACTCCGAGATCACCTAAATTCCCACACCAACTCCCGACCATTCAAGTGTCCCTACGATGGCTGCGACAAGGACTATATCGAAGATAAGCATCTGAAACAGCATATCAAAGCTGTTCATACTCTCGAGCGAAAACATGTTTGTCCGAAGGAAGGATGCGGCAAGAGCTTCGTTACAGGTACTCGTCTGAAGCGTCACCAGGCAGTTCACGAAGGCGAGGAGAGATTCCGCTGCCAAGATTGTGGACAGAGCTTCAGGAAGAAGGAAACATTGAGCAAGCACGTCCGAAAGGACCACCAAGGATTGCCTGCACTTCAGTGTTCTGAGCAGGGATGTACACAGGCTTTTGACTCGAAGGCAGCTCTCAAACGGCATCGGGAGAAAGACCATGGTGAAGCAAAGTTCTGGTGTGGTGAATGCGGCCTGCAAAAAATGCCCGATGGTACAGAACAGCGTATTGGATTCACGACAGAAGTGCTACTTCAGGCACATATTCGCCAAGAACATCAGAACTGCATCTTCTGCGAATTCAAGCCAGCTTCACGCTGGGATCTTGAGAGGCATATTGAAATGCACCACTCTGGCCAATCTGTTGAGGACCGCAAGAATATTCCTTGCCCCTTCATTGACTGCGACAAGAAGTTCACCAAGAAGTCGAATGTGAACGCGCATATTCGTACGGCACACGAAAAAGTTCGATTCGTCTGTGGCGAGGTCGATCTAAGCAGTTCCGGCCTACAGGGTTGGACGAATGATCAAGGATGTGGTGACAAGTTCAGCACAAAGAGTCGATTGGAAGATCACATTCGCTACAGCCTCAAGCACCTTGCCGAGGAGCGTCCGAAACTCTCTAAGCCAGAGCCATCTCAAGAAGTCAATCTCATCGATGAGCTTTCCGGCGCCGCCAACCAAGCAGACCGAACTATCTCATGCCCTCACTGTCACGAAGCCTTTATTCGTTATCACGACAGAGATACACACGTCGAGTTGTATCACCCACCGAACCCCGACCCCTCTTTGCTATTGTCTGGGGATTACTTTGATCCCTCTCAGTTCTCCTTTGATAACAGCTATCCCAACACGCCCTCTTGGCCCATCATGTCGGAGGATGAGATATTCGCTGCATCCATGGACTACCGTCCTCTTCAGGATGACTGGCCTGAAGACGAGGCCAACATGCTTCTTTTGGCACGCGATCCAACATTTCAGGACCCTCTTGTCGATCCAGCTCTTGGTGCCATATGATAGGGGAAAGAACTATGTAAATGAAAAAGGAAATGGCGTTTTCACTTGATGATGGAACGGAAAAGCAAATAGATACCCTGCCGCAAGGCCCTGGTGGAAGTTTCCTCATGAGGACATATTAACCCCACCTGATGAATGGAATGTTTTAATCACAAAAAGCGGGATATGATTCACTGAAACAATGAAAGTCCTTGTTGTATCTAGTACCTATAATATGTGCTTCCCGGATGCATGGTATCCGTCCATTCTATAAATAATCCCCAGGTCCCAAGATATTTTTTTCAGTCCACGCCCAATGAATCAAATAAAGGTACGGAAAGCCAACCCAACACCGCGCAGAAAAGACTCGAGGAACGCATAAAAAAGAGAAACGGTGTATAAGTTCGTGTAACATGAATGGTGCTTTTGTAAGCTGTGTATATCTCATGAAGTCGAACACTCTAGTGAGAACCGACAAGAGCGTTGCTGAATCCGAGCAAAGCCATGCCGAGGAAACCAAAGAAGATACACAAGTTGCGACTGTGGTTGAGGCTCAGACTCTCCACGAACAACTGCAACGCTACACTAACCATGATGCCAGATGTGACAGCAAAGAGGCAGGCGTAAGCAACCGCACTAGGCTGCATGTTTGTTCTATCAGCAACCTTGAACCAAAGTGCAGCAATGCCTGCACCAATAGGCTGAGAGAGACCACCGAGAAAGGCTGACCAGGCCATGGCACGCCAGCGAGAACCCAAAGCCATGTACAGTGGCAGACACATGGCAAAGCCTTCGGTAATATTATGGACGAAAAGAGCCATGAAAACATTGAAGCCTAGAGAGGGGTTCACATGGTTGGTTGCATATGTGATGAAACCTTCGGGGAACTTATGCAAAGCAATAGCGATAGAAGTCTGAAGACCAATGGACAAGAAGGCGTTGGTTGGAACGTGGTGATGGTGCTGGGCCTCAACATCCTCATCATCCGACACAGACGAGCATGAGGAGTCGTGTTCGGGGTCTTCTTCCGGGACGATGGGTTCCAATGGCTCGCGTGACTTGGCTCGGCTGGTGCGGTATGTTGGTCTGACAAAAGGCTCGATGGATTCTTCGCTTTCATGGTCATGGTCATGGTCATGGTCATGGTCATGATCGTGTTGAGGAGCATGTGAGTTCTCGTGCCCGCGACCTAAGAATGAGCCTGTGGTAGTGCGAAGAATCTGAGCTTGTCGTCCAGGTCTGCTAGGTAAGCTGGTACGACTGCTGAGATGCTTGAAACATTCCTGACCGCAGGGATCTGAGAATCCGTAGCATGAGTTCGACTCGTCGCAATTGCACTTTGTATCTTGAACAAAGGACATGACGCGTTTGTGGACCTCTCGCATTGACTTTCTCCTCTCGGGAAAAGCGTCTGAAAGTACTGTAGTTGTGCGGCTGCGGGTTGGACTAGCGGGTCGTCGCAGGTCGTCGCGGGCGGATGCTTGGCGCTTGAGAGGACTGGTCGGGCTATCCAACGTCGACTCGAGCAGAGGCGTGGACTCGGTGGCGGCATTGTGCGTATGTCCGTTGGCAAGTCCAGACAGCGACTTATCAACAGGTACTTGGGACGATCGAGGACGAGAAGATTGGCGACGGGTAGCCCTGGACTGTCGCCGCTCATGTTGGCATGACGTATCTTTGTTCGCGTTCGCATTCTCATCATGGGAATGATCGCATTCGACGACGTGAGTCGGCATGAACTGGTGAAGTATTCGCGAAACACCCTGGATACCAATGAAACCACCAACGAAACAGGCCATCATGACGAGGCCAGCAGCTTGCTGAGACCATTTGGCCTGCTCGAAGTAGTCCTTGGATTCGGGCAGCATACTATACAATGCGGAAAAGAGCTGTATGCGCATTAGCAGTGATGACAGGCGCATATGATCAGGGGCATTACCATAACACCGAAACTCAGGCTGAGGGAGCAAGCTAGGAAGACATTGCTATCTTGAATGCGAAAGTTCTTCTTGCCAGGGAACAAGCGTACGATCACGTCAACACATACTATGGAGGCGCCAACAACGCAAGCTGTATTTGATTGTTAAATATTGTATCTTGAGGCGCACTGGGGTAAATAGAAGAGTGCGACTTACCAATTCCGCTCACAACACACATGATCCAACCGCGGGTATCATTGTCTAATCCGCTCGAGGCCACCGCCGTGGCCATGATGTTAATAGTGTACCGCCTTTTGTAAAGGAGATGCGCTCTCTATGGTGATGGGCCTGGGGGATGATATTGCAGATTGTGCAATTAGCTGGTTCTCCCAGATGTTGTTCTGTGCTTTATTAGACAGTGTAGTGATGAGCGCAAGAGAGCGTAAAGAGCTTGTCGATCTTTTTTTGGTTGATGTCTGACGTAGCGAAGGAGCAGGGGCAAGGTCCGATGCGATTTTGTCTAGCGCAGGTGCGGTAGACTACGGGAGCGGGGACGAGACGGAAACGGGACCTTTTTAATCGAGTAATGCAATGGCATTCAATCAATGACAGCGAGAACCTCTATGAGCTAGGCGCTGTAACTCGAAATAGAGACAAAGAGAGTCGAGGTTTCGAGGAAAGAAAGGAAAGGTAGAAGAATGGGCTTTGTCATAAGGAAGCCAGGGTCTATTTCAAATGGATCACTATGGAAACTGCTTCGAAACTCTTGCCCTTTCTTTCAAGTCAGAAGACGAATGCAGACAGACCCTAGGTTATCTAGTCCTCTCCTTGGTCCCTTTCTGTCTTTTTAGAGGCATCGAGACGGGGGTCATCTTGCCCGTGCACCTCCATCAAAGTGTCCCTCAAGGTTCTCACGTCTCAGCATCCGCGCACCATTGGACGATACGGCCTTTTTGTTGGCCTTTGGCTTACGAATAGTCGCGCCTTATTGTGATTGTACAGTAGCAGTAGTAAGACATTTAAGAGGGGAAAGTGCGTTATTAACGAGGATTCACAGCAGATGTCCATTTCTGAATCGTGGTGGGTTGGGCAGCTATTCACATACAATCCCATACTTTACCATGTCAGATTTACACTGTAACTAATTCCAAACTGTCTGGCTTACTCTATGACTGGTTCTTTATGCATGGCCGTTGTGTAACATGACTTGCAGATGATCTAGCACTCCCAGCTTTTTCATCATGACAGCCCAAGTCGAGTTCGATTTACTTTGAATTGAAAGCGATCTAATGCGACGAATCAATTTACTGGGTTTGTCATCCCCCACCATCTTAGCCAGGCATAGATACCGGTGGAATTGATTGTGACCAGCCATGCACCATCATGTATCGAAGTTTACGGTAAGTAGATGAACCTTTGAATTGAAACTCCAGCTACTTCAATCACCTATTTTAAGCAAACCCAAGATGTAACTGCATTATTATGGATAAAACTGGAGGCCAGCATGCACTCGTTGCACAATGGCCATGCACATTCCCATCTCCAATAAGGCGGATGTGCATTCGCCTGAGGGTCATACTCAAGCTTCAAGATAATACTATTCGATTGTAGTACTGTTGTTATAATGAGGCTAAACAGAGCCCCGAATCAATGATCGACTGAGACTGAATTGCTTGGGTTGTCTAAGATCGAATACTGACCAATGACGTCAAGTTCTACCGGGCATCAAAGACCCCTAAATCCACTGATAACGATAACCTACAGTACGGCACAACACCGGTCCCCGTCCCCCACGTTCCGTCCCGAGCTGCAACCCAAAAATTCTACGGGTCCCGTCCGTCCATCTCCAACTCCGATCTCACTTGTGACCGACCTCAGACATCACGGGGCTCTGCAACTCAACACCATTGGGCATAGATCACGCGTGATCTTGCTACTAGCTGTTGATATCCTCATATTTAGTACAATCTTCGCTCATTAAGACTAAACTCTATTTCTCGTTCTTTTTCACCGTTCGCTTCAAGGAACAACCATGTCCAAGACTACACTCGCTACTATGGCCTGCCTGGGCGCAGGCGGTGGTGCCGCCATCACCGCTACTCTCTTTGCCCTCCGAGGTGGTAAGCGCGTCGAGGAGACCAACACTCTAGCTACACCTCCTCCATCGACATCAAACTCATTCGCTGCCCTTTCAGCTCCTACCGCCTCGCCCTCCATTCCTCCCGCCCAGGTCTTTGGCCCACCCGCCTCTGCCCCGCCTCCCAACTTTCCCGTCGACATCAACGCTATCGTCAACCCCGCCGGTCTCTTCGAATATGGCTTCCCTGGTCCTGTCGCCGATGTCGCCAACCGCTCTGGCCTTGTCTCCGCCTACGACCGCCGTCTGCGAAACCCCCACTGGGTCGTCGAACATATCACACGTGAATCTCTTGCTATCCGCGAGGGTGACCGAAAGCACAGCCATTTCGTCGAAGATGAGTCTGTGCCCGCAAAGTTCCGCGCTGGCTTGAAGGACTATTATCGCAGTGGCTTTGACCGTGGTCATCAGGTTCCTGCTGCTGACTGCAAATGGTCCCAGAAGGCTATGGACGATACCTTTTACCTTTCAAACATGTGCCCTCAGGTTGGCGATGGCTTTAACCGTGACTACTGGGCGCACTTTGAGGATTTCTGCCGTCGCTTGACTGTCAGGTACCCTTCCGTTCGCATCGTCACAGGCCCTCTTTACCTGCCCAAGAAGGAAGCCGATGGCAAGTGGTATGTCAAGTATGAGATGATCGGAAACCCTCCTTCTGTCGCTGTGCCCACACACTTCTACAAGGTGATTTTCGCCGAGGATGGTCGTGCTGGTGGAAATGTTGCCCTGGGCGCTTTCGTCCTTCCTAACGCACCTATCCCCAACTCCAAGCCTATTACCGACTTCGAGGTTCCTCTCGAGGCTGTCGAGCGTGCTAGTGGACTCGAGTTCGCCGACAAGCTTCCTCCTCAGCGAAGACGCCGTTTATGTGCTGACCACACATGTGCTCTGGTGATCAAGGAGTACGCGGATAAGCAAAAGGCCTTCCCTAAGAAGTAAACAATTGAAGTTTGGACCAAGCATGATGTACAGTAGGAAAGGAGCATTACATATAGGGACCAATGGGTACGGGATATCTTAGCGATCAATTCCCGGTGAATATTTCACAGGTACCTGCATACAGAGGCGTCAATGATATCGTAGCATATAGAATCAGTCATGCATAGCATAGTTTGCGCATATCGACAGGTCCGGATGAATTAATGAATCATGGGTAGTATTCAAGAATACCTTGGTTTATATAATATTAGACTACTACCAAAACCATGCCTGACACCGCGCCAAGTATACACAGGATGGCAGCTTAATTATAGCCACCCTCAATCACTTTCACACCACTAATAACGACTGGGACACGTCGTTATTTTTGTTTTTTCTTTCGACTCTGAATGCGGAGTTTGCGCTTCTATCTCGCCCTCGTATATTTGCCCTGTCGTTGCTCATGGCGTAAGCTATCCTCCTGACTGGGTAAAGGAGCCCTTCGTCGAACGTTCTCTGCCTTCTCAGCCTCAAGAGCAGACATGGGAGGTGGTGGAACTGGCATAGTGAAACCACCGGGCGGCGGAGGTATACTGCCAGGGGGTGGTAGAAGACCAGGAGGTAGCGCTCCTGGTGGTGGAAGGGGTACACCAGCCTTCTTCATCAATTCGAGCAGTTGGGCAGGGTCTGGAGGATTGTTAGGGTCCAGACCTGGCAGAGGTGGCGGCGGTATGCCCCCATTAAGGCCAGGCAATGGGAATGGTAGAGGGGGTGGAGGAGCACCCGAACCAGCACCAACACCGGGGATAGGGGGAGGTGGAACAGCAGATCCAAGGCCAGGCAAGCCTCCACCAAGAGGGAGACCAGGAATGCCAGGTAGGCCAGGAACGCCGGCTTTCGGGGCGTCTTGATCAACCAAAGCGTCCATCTCGTCCTCCATCTCCTGCTGCTCTTCTTCCTGTCGCTGTCGGCGATTACCACGACGATCCCATGTTCCTTGGGCTTCAGCAGCCGCTTCACCAATATGGTAGCGATCTTGGAATACATCTGTATCGCCTGGCCGAGCCCGACTCCAGAAGCGTGTAATGCGATCGTTTGAGCCTGACGCTAGAATATGACCAAGAGGGTGCCAGTCGAGTGACCAAATAGCAAAATCGTGTGCATGCTGTACCTTGTGCATCGGCCACACTGACTGCGCAGATACTGTAGTCGGGTCGGGGCTATCGTAAGGTGCCACTGTGAAGGGCTGACCTGGTGGTGGATTGGGAGAATCGAGGAGGTAGTGGTACAGCGAGCCGTCCATACCGCCAGTGCTGAGAAGGTTGGGGTGAACAGGATGCCAGGCAAGAGTGGTAATGTCCTTCTCGTGACCCTTGACAAGACAGATATCTCGCATCATGCGAAGATCAAATACACGAGCAGTTTGATCTCTAGCAGATGTTGCCAGACAAGCGCCGCGGACCTTTTCGAAAAGGACTTTGGTGATCGTGCTCTTGTGACCGTGCAGAGTTGTTAGACAACGACTTGTTCGAGGATCCCATAGCTTGACCAGATGATCCTTTGAACCTGACACAAGCAATCCCTTGGAAGGATGCCAATCCACACTCTTTGCATCCCAACCATGTCCCTCAAGCTTCGATTCCATTTGTCCCAAGGCAAAATCGAAGATTTTGAGGCTTTGGTCGTCACTAGCGGTGACAAATTTCGAGTCACTAGGGCTGAAGGCAAGGTCTCGAATGGGATCTGTATGCGCATTGATACTCTGGACGTTGTTGAAATTTGGTTGCCAGTATTTGACAACTCCATCATGATCGGCTGAAATCAGCCAGTCGTCACTATGGGAGTACTCCAGGGCTCGGATAGCGGAATCGTGAGCCTGCATAATAGTTTCGAAATTGAAGCCCGTGCCGTTCCATAGCGTAAACTCGCCACTCGTTGATGCTGTTAATAACCTTCGACCTTCTGGTGTCCATCGCACAACGTTGATAGGGTGTTTGATCTTGTTAAGAGAGGAGTGAAGGTGTTTGATTGGAATGCTGTCGGCGGCTTTGGTCACTCTGGCTGCAGGGGGGAGCATCTGTCTTCATGTCAATCACAAATGTCTGTCAGTGTGTAAGAGGATTGCTTACATCAACGATATAACTGACGCTAGGCCTTTCGGCTTCGCCAGTATATCCTCCCTTGTAGCTAGGGGCACGATCATGTTGCCAATGTGTGATGGTAGCGCCATAATCAGTCACAGGTCCTATATGTCGATGGTCAGTTTATGAATAGTCTGAATGTATATTATAACCACGATGAAGAGATATCAGGAGGCCTTTTGATGGCCTCAAGAGATTCTGCCTCTACGATAGAAGAGCGTGAGTCTCCATACTAGAACCAGAGTAAAGAGCCCATCCAAATCTCATCACAGCCACACCTGATGCATCCGTACACTCCCTGAAACTTTTGCAACATGATTGGATATTTCGATATTTTGTTCAATCGCTGTCACTAAACAGCATGATGAAAAGAACACAATAGGGAGGGCCTTGAAAGAAAATGCATGTCAATAGATATGGATTTACTTACGCCGACCCCTAACTTTGACAAAGGCTCCATCCTGGCCCTGACCACCGCCTCCATGATCACCACGAGGCTCATAGGCCATCGTGATAGTTTCTCTTTGAAGCTTCAAGCATGCGCTGTAGGGATAATGAGAAGCGCGTCGTTGCAAGTGGGTCTTTGAATATTAAAATAACACCCAATGAATTAAATGAGAACTTTTTAAATAGTCGATGGAGTAGCAATCGTAGGCTTGAGAAAACAAAGTCTCTGGGGGTATCAATGATGAATGTTTGATGAAATCGAATTTGATAGAGAATAAAGACGATGCTGGTCTCTCAGGCGCGTGAGAGCTCTGAAGTCCAAGCTAACAAGCTTCAGTGCAAGCGACGATTAGCCGGGGCATCTGAGCTGTTGGAGTAGGTCATGTGACTCTTGGAATTTGGAGAAAGATGAGTCCGCGCGGTCTAAACTTAGATTCTCAACGGTTAGATCTGATGAGATCAAAATGCCTCTCATGGAGGTTCATGCAGCAAAACAAAAGCACTTCGTAAACCGAGTTGTTGGGGTGCAGAGACTGCAACTCCACGCTTCTACCCGAGCTAGGGATTTACATGCATGTATGGATATTGTTGGAAGGTACTGTTGCTGTAGTATGCAATACAACCGCACTTTCACATGCTTTTCTCACTCACTGTCACCATGCTATGCGCAGAGATACGTAAAATCACAAGCCATCTGGGGGGGCCAGCAGCGTATTAATGATTAATGCCCCTGTAGCGCCACAAGACAGTGGCTCGAGGGGCCCAAGACGTAGCGGATGTCAGGGGGGTGAAGTTCCCGGGACCCCCTTTTAGCGTTGATGAATTTAAAAGTCCCTTCCATTGTCTGGTAAGAAATGCCCTGATGGGATGGAAAGCCCCGCCATTGAGACGAGACTGCGACAGAAAGTTAACGTTTTTTTGCGTGGCTGCATCCAATGGATGGGAACGAACGACTTGGCGAGATGGACGAGGAGAGGAGACGAGGTCATTGCGGGACAAGGAAGTCAAATAAGTCGTTATATTAATTACATATTGTTCTAGATTCTCTTTCACCTCCTTTTTGTTTTTGAGTTGACCCTCTATCTCCTCACATTCCAATCCTCTGATAATCTCAATCAACATTGTTGGTCGTGCTCTATCTTGAGGCTCTCTCTGGTCCATAGGTTCGCTGCAGCTGCGACAGTGGCGCCCTCGGTATCTTATCATCCTTGCAGCCGCCACCCTTGGCTTGGACTTGGACTTTGGACTGTTTGTTCTACTTTGTCGTATCTCCGTCGGCTACCTACTTAATTCAACTCAACTCAACTCAATTCCTCCTTTACTTTCTCCTCATTTATAGTTTATTCTCTTGCGACTAGTCTGCCGTCTCGGCAAGGCTTGTACAATATGAATTCGGCTACAGCGACAAGTACTGAGACGTCGAATGGCTCTGCCTCTGCCTCTGTTTCCAGGCGGACCGGCCACGACGTCACCCATGAACAGCAGAATCGCACCAACGGAACAGCTACCACAGGCCCTCCAAAGAAGCCTGGACAGAAGTACAGACACGTCGCTGCGGTTCACAAAAAGACGAGACCTTCATGCTTGAGTCACGATTCAGATGCTGCTCCCAGCTTTATTGGCTTTCGCAATCTCATGGTGATTGTGCTTGGTATGTTCTCACTTTAAAGCCCCTCATCATGATGTTATGGCTTGGTTGGTTAACGCTTGGCAGTGGTTGGAAACTTGCGATTGATGATTGAGAACATCCAAAAGGTATTAATCTCATAAGCACTCTTTGAACAATCCATTAACTCATTCTCATAGTACGGTGTCTTGATCTGCGTGAGGTGTCATGATTACAGTCGTCAAGATGTTTACTTGGGTCTTCTCCTTTACTTCCTCATCCCATGCCATCTTCTCGCCGCCTACTTGATTGAGCTGGCTGCTGCCCAGCAGGCGCGAGGATCCCTCAAGCGTGTCAATGATAGCTCTCCCGGTGGTCCTTCAGAGCAAGAACGCAAAAAGTTTCACAAGACCTGGGTCATTGTCGCATGGGCTCATCTCTTCAACATCACGCTTGCTCTGCTCCTCACGACCTGGGTCGTCTACTTCAAGATCCACCATCCTCTCATTGGTACCTTGACCGAGATGCACGCTATTGTTGTCTGGCTCAAAACTGCATCATACGCTTTCACCAACCGTGATTTGAGGCATGCTTACCTGCATCCTGTGGAAGGAGAGCGCGAACTTGTACCTGAGCTGTACACACAATGTCCTTACCCGCAAAACATCACATTTACCAACCTTGTCTATTTCTGGTGGGCGCCCACGCTCGTCTACCAGCCCGTGTATCCTCGTACGGACAAAATCAGATGGGTCTTTGTTGCCAAGCGTGTTGGAGAGATCTTTGGTCTCAGTGTCTTCATGTGGGTTGCGAGTGCCCAGTACGCTGCACCTGTCCTTCGAAACTCTCTCGACAAGATTGCTTCTCTCGACCTTATGTCCATCCTTGAGCGGTTGCTTAAGCTTTCGACCATCTCTCTGGCCATCTGGCTCGCTGGCTTCTTTGCGCTATTCCAGTCTTTCTTGAACGGTCTGGCCGAGATCCTGAGATTCGGTGACCGATCGTTCTATGACGACTGGTGGAACAGTGAGAGTTTGGGAGCTTACTGGCGCACGTGGAACAAGCCTGTTTACACATACTTCAAACGTCACTTGTACATGCCCATGATTGGTCGTGGTTGGAGTCCTTCAGTGGCCAGTTTTGTCGTTTTCCTAGTATCAGCCATTCTCCATGAGATCCTCGTCGGTGTTCCTACGCACAACATCATTGGTAAGCATAAACCTAGACTTCTTAATCGCGTATACTGACCTCCGCAGGCGTTGCTTTCCTGGGAATGTTTCTCCAACTTCCACTTATTCACCTTACCAAGCCTCTCGAGAACATGAAGCTTGGCCACACTGGTAAAATTATCGGAAACACTATCTTCTGGGTCTCGTTCACTATCTTTGGACAGCCTTTTGCCGCCTTAATGTACTTTTACGCTTGGCAAGCAAAGTATGGCAGTGTCAGCAAGCAGATGATAGTAGCGCCCCATTAATGTATATAGCAGTGGCTAGAGGCTTCAGTATGCCTCGACATTGTTCAGCTAGCTTGTATAGTTTATTGGCTAAATGTTTATTCGGTGGAGTCGTGTCGATACACCATCCGTATTCCTGGCTACACTGAAACGTGATTATATCTTGATGCATCTACCCGATAAAGGGCATCTTTGTTCCGACCCTCTTGCGATACTCCACATAATCATCCTTGAAGAACTCGACCAGCTTAGCCTCCTCATGCCTGATTCTGGCACTGAAAAACTTCCAAAGCACGAAGCCATAAGCAAAGAAGCACAGAACGTTTCCAAGGACCAACTGCGTTCCCAAACCCCAGTAGAAGAACCCAAAATAACTTGGATGACGGAACACAGAGTAAATGCCTGTGGTAACGAGCTCATGAGAATCCTTCTTCCTCGTTTGCACATGATGGTTAAAACTGGCTCCAGCTTCCAGCATGGCCACTGAACGAACAACCTGTCCGACAATGACCATGGCAAGACCGACAGCCAGAAGCAGATGGCCAGTGCCGAAGGGTGCCCAACTGCGCTCAGGGAAGAAAACATTGACGATGGCACATTCAGTGAACGCAGCTGAGTGAGCGATAGCATAGCCTGGCCAGTTCGCAGTCAAAAGAAAGCTGCCGATGCTAGCAACAAGAGTGTTCCTCTCAGCCGTAGTCCAAAATTCAAGGAAGTGGAAAGCCGAAAGAGCAAAGAGGAAGAACGGTACCCGCCAAGCAGGACTCGACGTCATGGCCAGAATGGTCACCATGGCGATGCCACTCGAAGCCAAAGCGATACCCAGACAAAAGGCTCGCATGGCAATACCGGAGAGTGACTTTTCCTGGCCTGCGAAGTAAGGCCTCAGGGTCATGAGTTCATTGATAGAGTGTGAGTTGCCAGGAAAGGAGTCATGATGAGAAGGCGTAGATTGATAATGAGCAGTTGAGGGGCTAAAGTCGAAAGGCCGACCGCCAGCGGGTCGAGAAGTTTCTACCATGGTCCTTTTTGATGAAAAGTCAGAGAATAATCTATACGATCTCATGAGGGTTTCTAGGGGTTGCTTCAAGTTCTGTATGTGTGAAATAAGGGGAGAACGTACAGTTTGTGGAAACAGCAGCGCAAGGTACTATATATAATAAGGAAGAAGTAGTTTGTAGTTATGAAATATTAGAATAAAGAAAAAGTAGTCGAATAGTAAAGAGGCTTGTTGGCCCTCGTCCCTTGGAGCGGCGTCTGCAGTTTTGGATTGTGAGGCAGAGAACAATATCAAGATTGTTGGTCTTAGCTTGGGTTTGGGGGTATCCACATGAGCTATGGCTCCAGGGTGAGCAGACGACGATATGGAAGTACTCCTCATCTTGAGGTACTTCAAGCTCTAGGAGGCGATTCTTGTTGTGAGCTCCCAGGCAACTACAAATGGATTAATAAAAAAAAGAATATGCTGAACACATTTTTTATACTTCTAGCAACCATTCTGCATGCTTTTCGGTATGATTTATCGTGCTGTGGTCGATTTCGTCTTCTCGTTGGCGTGATTTTGCCTGTGCTTGCCTCGTATACCTAATTTTAAGTATTTCAGCAAAATGGGTACCTGCAGTCGCCAGTTCTTTTTGTCTCAAACAATGTGACAGCTGATCCCCCTGAAGACGATACCAAAACTGAGAATCACATGGTCATTGGAAAGATTGTTTTCTCCCTGAAGTTAAAGAAGTCGATATTAAAATTCATATATCTGCCTGAACAACCATTTCTCTCTAAAGTTGATGATTTATGATCAACTTCAATCAAAGCCTGATATGGATCCTGAATTCCCACTTATGAGCAAGAAGTCTATGGAGAACACCAACCATGATAGTCAACCGAGAAAGTCAAGTTCTTTATTTGCAATTCAGGGTATTTTATAAGCAACGCTGTACGCCGGTTCCCTGCCTTTCTAAACCATATTCTAGTCTCCATCGGTTTCCTTGTCGTTTATCGCCATTCCAATATTTGATAGCGATCTTTGTGTCCTGAGCCGGAATATCATGTTCCCTGAACCATCGGCCGGTGACATAGGCCTTGGGATTTCAGAAGAACTGACTCCCGAAAGCATAAGAGATAAAGTAATTTGGTCACTTTATGTCATCCTAGAGGAGCTCTTAGACTACTTTATCTTGGTAGCCTAAGCCCTAGAAGACCATTCCTCTGTTACCTGCCTGATAGGCTATCGTGGCGTGAGAGATCCAGTGGCAGTATTTGAAGTAGTTTCAAACATAAAGTATACTAGAGGCCACCCTGAATCGAGAAAGACGAAATAATGAGGGTCAAAACGTTAATAAACCCCCAAGTACAAGGGATCCACGTATTCATCTCGTAGTATCCCGCAGAGTAGACAGCACCCAGCCTGATGGGTTGTTAGCATGAACGAAACCTCAAGGGAGGGAAAACAGGGAAAACTAACACTAATCCAACAATACTTCCTGCCATGACTGCCTGAAGCCCGGCTACAACAAGATATATGACAGGCAGGGCCCATAGGTATCGCCATGATGACTTCTTCCAGCCGTGGGTGAAAAAGGCTACCAGGACCGCTCCCATATGGAAGATCGCATACAGGATGAGAGTCCATAGCAGGGTGAACCACCAAACGTCGATGACATAATAGAGGGTGTATTGTTTGTTTGAGGTTGTGTCGTATAATGTTTGGACATTCAGAGACGGGAAGCGCGGCGTCTGATAGCTCTCTGGAGGTGTGTTTGGGAGCGCCATCTACAATCAAAGTCGTTAGAATGGACATTAGTGACTAGCTTGGCTAAACATACCGTGTCATATCATCATATCAAATGGAACAGCTATGCTGATGTTGAAGCTATTTCGATATCGCGATGGATATGATTATGGGGCTGTTGAATTGGCGTCGACAGGGGGCAGGTAACAGGGATGCTCTGATAGAGCTGGAGAAGTCCCCCGGAACGTCATCCGCAGCGCAGTAAAGGGCCTCGGCAAAAGCCCGTGAAACCGATGGGCACCCTCAGCGCAACCGCGACCTCGGAACGTTAACCTCCAACTTAAATCTCAAAATCATCCAATCCTCATCATCGACGACAAATTCGATTCATCGAATAATCCGAGTGCGTCGATTCGATATGTCTACCGATAGACTACTCAGAACAGTCTTGCAACTCTATCAAGACGTCCACGATGCTGCCAAGACGGAGCAGATAATCGGCTCGACGACACATCTCCTAACAGAGCTCACCAACCCTCTGAACCTCGGTCTTCTCACATCGCAACTATTGACAGCGCCGGCGGTATGGTTTCAACCGGGCGGTATTCGAACTTCTGTTCGGGTGATAAGCATATACAATACTGCCGCCGCGCGCATTCACAACTATGAAGTCGCCAGCCGCGATCGGAACGAACCACACGAGGGCAGTGGACTGTCATGCGAAGAATGGACGCGCTCTGTTGTGAAGGGAGCCGACGACCGGTCGAAGAGATGGCAACATCTTTTAGTTTTGACTGGCGTTCTCATGGGAATGGAGTCCAGCAATCGGCAATCTTTGTCGCGTGGATTGAGGAATACCCTTGAAGAGGCAGTTGTGATGGCGGCGAACCTGGCGCTCGAGAGACGCGAGGAGGACGGGCCAGTTGCAGGCGCATCGATCGTCATGGCTTTGAACTTCGCCTTCCCCATGCTATCCGAATACCATAGGAGCCTCATCAACTGTAACGCGCTGCTACCCATGATTGTTTGGACAGTCACTGCCGAGGAGGGTCTCGCCCATGGTCAGTTCCTGGCTCCGATCAGCGCCGAAACTGTCGAATCACCAAACCATCTTCTTGCTTGGTCACCAAGCACACCGTCGTTCCACTTTATCCAAGAATTGGACAGGCGACCTACATTGGCGAATATGGGCCCGTTGGCTAGACTTGCTGGTTATGCTGTTCAGCAAGCAACCGATACACAGGCGGTGATCGCTGCACAAGATGCTCTTGTCGCATTTACCAACAATGTACTGGACATCTGGCGATCGAACCGCTTAAGCGATATCGACCCAGCGCTGGAGGGCAACGTTCTCACACAAGAAACATTGACCAGCACCTGGCCGGTTCTCTGGAACCTGCTCAGGAAGCTCATGTTTGGGACAGTCGCTATCCTACAAGCAATTGTGTCGCGAAGTCTCCTTGACCCGCGAATGCTTAACGACATAGCCGCTCCTATTATCGCGGCAAAGTCCCTCCGCATATTACGCAACATCTTCTTCATTTCTTCAAGAAACGGTAACAACGCGTTTCAAGTTTATAATTTCACTTACTTGACATCAATCGACTCTATCTCTAGAAGTGCGGCTGCTTGTCAGCTTTTCCTTCAAGAGTTTCGACCCGCAGAGGATGCATCGACATCTAGTACATACCTGCAAAGATCGCTCGACCTGTTCTACCTCAACCTTTCTGAACATTTACCACTCACTTTATCAACCGATGCTTGCGATACACTCATAATTAAGCCAGCGATTGCATACATTTCTCATGAAGGACCAACAACACAAAATATGGTCGAGATCTTCGAGTCCGCTCACAGCGCTATTCTCTCGACTATCTCTTGTCCTCAACACAGCCCTCTCACCATCGAACTTACACCATTCTATATCGCCCTACTCTTCAACTCTTTCCCGCAGCACATCTCGTCTCGTCAATTCCGAGTGGCTTTCAAGACTGTCATGCAGATTGTATCGCCCCCATTCCCGATTGCAGAGTTGGAACCATTCCTTTCAGAGACATTGTTGGAGATGCTTCGAGGTTCGATATCGACGGCGTCGACGGGTCTTCTTCCACCAACCGCAGACATTGTATCGCAAGCCGCGATGGAGGAGACACAGGAAGTACGCTTTTCTCAGCAAAGCTCTCTTTGTTTAGCTCTAGTCGATTCTTTGCCATATCTTCCGCTTCCCTTGGTAGAAGAATGGTTTACAATTGCGGCTCAGGCCATGAATGAGATTGAGGACCCTGCATTGCGGGAACCTGTCAAGGAACGATTCTTGGAGATTCTTGTTAGTGGAGAGTTAGACGTGGAGCGAGCAGCCACTGGAGTAGCATGGTGGGGAACTCGAGGTGGCCGAGAACTTATTCTTGGTGCAAGCGCGGAACCTGCCATGATGAGTGGTGCATTGCCTGGACCTGAAAGAACCAGCCGACTGTGAAGATGGCATACACTGGTACATTGTTGCCATTGAGCCATTGCACTGTCCTGGAATGCTTCTTGAACTTGTCGTGTCAGCAAGTGCTCCTTCACTGCAGAGCTCAGAATGAGCTTGTTCCACGTTGCTTCAACAACCCAGGGTAACCCGGACGGCAGTTATTTGAGACCGCAATCATGTATTGGAATGGGCGACATGGTGAAACAACCCAAGCGGTCTTAATCCTCTTGGTTGGATCACCTGGGTATCGTGGGAAACCCCGCGGCGGACAAACGGACATCGGGGTTGATGGCCGCGAGCCTTATGCACCTGTGTCACTTGTGCTTGAATCTCTAGCCACAATAGGCGATGCGTGCTTGGAGGAGATCGAGATTGACCGGAAATTGAGTGTCTCGACATTCAAGAAGCCGGACACGCCGAACGACGGTAGTTTGCTCAGAGTCGGTAAACACCACACGTGCAGCCATGAACTATCAGACAGGCCACGAAGTGCCTGCCCAGAAATTTAGTTTAGCTTGGATATGCATGGTGTGATCGTCTGAGAGACAGCGGTGATCTACCACCATCCCAGACACGTCTACGTCTACTCTGAGATAATTTTGGAATATGGAGTTATACCCGGTTATTACAAGTTACTACGACCTTAATATACATTGAAATCTGGGAATTGGTTCCCCAGTATCAGGGAAGAAGCTACAGAAGCCAGAAAATTGCAACGGTGAATTGCCAAGGTAGGGGTCCTCAGGTGAAGCGGGGTCATCATCGTCACTATCGAGAAGCCAAAACATGGACAAGAGCTGTTCTGTTCTGGAACCTGAACAAGCGGGGAGTTGAGACAAGGTTGCTAGGCCCGATTCCGATTCTTAGACCCCGGCTTGGCAAAGGAGGGAGATGTCACTCGTACAATTCGATCCCTCTCTCCTCTCTCCAATGCCGTCTCTTCCTTGTGCGGGGTGCCAACCTGTTGCTTCAGCTTGTGTTGGTGAAGCTTACGGGCACAGTTAATGTCCGGTATTCTTCGGCATGATTGTGAGAGATCTGGACTTCTCTTATGATGATCTAGTTGACCGTAACTTGACGGTCCATAACTCCATATCGATAGCTTGTTATGTTATGTTAGCTAGAAGCTGGCATAGCCACAGTCCGTGGAGCTCTAGGTCAGCTCGTCCAGGTTCGGGACCTGATTTTGGACCCTGTCGAGCTGGGCCGCGGGGTTCCATCGATTGCTTGTTTGGCTTAGCGTTATCCCAAGTCACTTTAGATCAAGGCCAATGCCGCCAATGCAGCTTTCAGGCAGATCGACAGTTCGAGGTACGTACCTCGACCCTGAGCTTGAGGTACATCCAGATATCGGTATCCTGTCGCATCACGACCAGCCAACATGACGACACCAGACCAAGACAGGACAAGACGAGACAAACTGAGACGTCGAGGCCGAGCCAATTGCTTACAGAAGAGGCTGATTCGTGGGAACGTAACACCTGGTTACTAAACAATGCACCAACAACAGGTTTTTGATCCAAAGTATGTAACTACTGTATGCCAAACATAATGAGCGATAGAGGGGTTGAACAAGGCATGCATTGGAGGGGTATCAAGGGACCCAAGTATCGTCCCAGGTATCTGCACTCGGTACCTTGGCATAGCCTGTCACCGAGAGCTTATCCAAGTATATCCACAACCATGGTTACATGAATCTCCAAGAATTTGATCAACAACTTCAGAATTCCAAGTCTAAACTTAGAACATCTAGGTATAGGCAGGACAACGACAGCATGTAACTCTGTCAACGCGCGTTTCCTGTGGGGCATGGTCGTATCTGTCTCAGGACTTCAAGAGAAGTGAGGGTCTCGCAGCTTGACAGGGTAAAGGTACGGAGTACGTACAGATACATTACTTTCCAACGTGGACCTCTTTGAACTAAGCTACCTTAGTTAGCTGTGCAGCTTCAGCTATCCAAGACAAGGTCCATGCCACAATGAAACTGCGGCACGTCATTCCTCTCCATGATGGAGGGGAGGGAGCTCGATCCACATGATGAAGCTTGAGCTAGCTAGAGTGAAGCTCTCACTCACATATTAAACCGAAGCTATGCCCTCTTCCATTCAGATTATTCTCATTCACGCATCTCACACTATCCCTTCAACAACTCTCAAAACCAACACACTATAATCAACATGTCTGACAGCTACGGAGGCAACGACAGCTACGTACGCTCACTTCCCTCCATGCATAGTCTACCATGAAGCTAACTATCCTACCAGGGCTCCAGCCGTCGCGACAATGACAACACCTACGGCTCTAGCAACAATGACTCTTACGGTTCCAGCCGCCGTGACAATGACAATGACAACTCCTACGGCTCCTCTCGTCGTGATAATGACAACGACAACTCTTACGGTTCTAGCCGTAACGACAACACCTATGGCTCGTCTGGCACTTCTGGTCTGAGCGGCGGCAATGACAGCTATGTAAGTTCATAAGACTATTTTATTGTTGAAGCATACTAACAAAATACAGGGCTCCTCTAACAGAAACGACAACGATTCCTATGGATCTAGCCGCCGTGACAATGACAACACCTTTGGCTCCAGCAACACTGACTCTTACGGCTCAAGCCGCCGTGACAACGACAACGACAACTCCTACGGTTCCAGTCGTCGCGATAATGACAACGACAACACCTACGGCTCGACCGGCACTTCTGGTCTCAGCGGCGGCAGTGACAGCTATGTAAGCTAAGCTCCATATCTGATAGAATGTTCACAGCTAACAGCTTTATAGGGTTCCAGCCGTCGTGACAATGACAACACCTTTGGCTCCAGCAACAATGACTCTTACGGTTCTAGCCGCCGTGACAATGATAACGATAACTCTTATGGCTCCAGCCGACGTGACAACGATGACAACACTTATGGCTCCAGCAACACCGGCAGCGACAGCTACGGATCCAGCCGCAAGGACAATGACACCTACGGCTCCAGCACCACTGGCAACACATACGGTTCCTCCACCTCGAACACCTACGGCTCTGGTCGCAATGACAACGACTCGTATGGCTCCGGCAACAATGACTCTTATGGATCAAGCAACTACGACCGTGATGATGATAAGAAGAAGGGCGGCCTCATGGACAAGATCAAGGACAAGGTCGAGGAGAAGGTCAAGGGCCACAAGAACCGTGATGACAACGACAATGAGTACTGATTGTAATATGGGAATTGGGATTCTAGCGTATTAGTAACTGAGTAAGATGAGGTATTCCTTGCTCTTGAATTAACCCTTCATTTGTTTTCATCTTTATCGTCTAAAGTGACCTACATGAGTTTCTTAGAATTTAGCTTCAAGGGATAAGTTATCGCCTTATGAAGCTGATCTGAGTTAAGGATTGGTTGGTGGGTTCGTGACAGTTAAAGTCTCATTGACATGCCGAATCTCATCTTCAAAATGAATGCTCTCATCCTATTTACACTCTGTTCTCAGTATGCATATGCCAAATAAAATAGACAATCATTTTCCATCATACGCCCCAAGTCACCTCAACTAAACCAACTTCTTATCAACCTTGATCAAGATCGCTCCATTCGTAATACGCCCCTCACAGTCCATAAGATGCACAAAGCGGTATCCATGACCTAGACGGTCAACTCTCATACAAGCCCAGGCTGCCATATCGTCCCTTCCAATCTCATCATCACGTACAGTAAAGCGCACCCATGACAGCTCGTCTACAACGTGTGGCACAGGAGGGAACTCAAGAGGCTCGCCAGCGAAATCAACAGTGTCACCACGTTGCGTATGTGTGCGAGCTTTGTACTCACCCTCACGCTCGTGACCATCGTTGGGAATGGGACCGCCATGGTACTCGTCGGGGCCTTCAACATGGAGCTCTACCTTGACGTAGGGCTCGAAACCGCGGGCAGATTTGTCACCGGGAGGGAGAGGAATGTTCTGGGCGGCGAGGACAGTAATGGTGAGATGGAGGGTTTTGCGGGGAATGGTGTTGACAACTTCTTCGTCGTTGCGGTTAGGTCGATAGCCTGGACCAGGTTAGTAACATGCAATATGAGTGCAGACAAGATGATTCATACCTGGTGGTTTAAGGACATATCCTCCTGTACCCGCAAACAGGCCCTCGTTAAGCATCATGCCCTCATCCCATCTCTGCCAGTTGAGTGCAACAATCTGGATACCCTTTCTCCAGAAAACTGAAGGGTCCAGGTTCGAGGATCCTATTCGTAGACCCCATGGATAAGTCCTCATGAGGAAGTGTCGGTTGTGGTTAAATAGCTCATCTGCTTGCCCATCGTGCACATCAACAACCTTCTTCTCTGAAAGCGAGAAGATATGTGTAGGCATACCGGCCTCAGGCTGTGACAAGCTCTTAAAAGATACACCACGACAATGAAAACCCATTCGGCTAAGCTCCTGTATAACCTTAGCCTTCTTCTTCTTGGGAGCATCGCCGGACTCAGAGCCTGGAGGTGGTGCTCGATCGTCTTCCTCGCTTTCTGCTTGTGAAGAATCTGCATCGGGCGGCGCATACTTGACCTTGACGATGAGCTTGCGACGCAGTTGGTCAGGGCTTGGAAGAGCATCTGGTTCGTTCTCGGGTTCAGGCACAAGAAGTCCCTCCCAAACTTCTTTCATAATGCGTACCATGGCGAGCTGCTGATCCGCATTGCAGTGGACTTCCAAGGAGACGATGACAGGCAGTTCGCTAACAACGAATGCGCTGGCTCGAATAGCCTCACAGACAGCACGGAAAGAGATCTCTTTCGTGAGAGTATAACCGTGGAGGACTCGAGGCTCAACTATAGCGGCTTCGGGTTCCTCTGTTGTTTCAGGAGCGGCCACCTGCTGATGAGAGGCGGGGTCGGAAGCGGAAGTAGACTCATTCTTATCGCTAATGCTCGTCTTCTTCAACTTATCCTTCAGCTTTCCAAAGGTACTTCTCTTCTTCTTTTTGACGAGCTTCTTCACACCTCTTTCTTCATCGCTGCTGGAAGGGCTGCTTGTACCTTCTGGATCAGATTCATCTCCATCCCAGACGTCAATCTCAATGCATCGTCCACCACGCAGCAAAGTTTCGGTGTAAGGCTTGGTGGAACTGTCGCTCGAGAGTTGATTTCCAGTAAGATATGTATTATGGCTGGAGCTGATGAAGTAAGAGGCAAGAGGATATGAGAGATCCTGAGGTTTGGGCGGGATTGTAGCAGCTGCATGAGAAGACGTCATCCAGGCCTGGAAGCCATCAAGATCAAGCGAGTCTCGGGCAAGGAGCTCCTCGACAGCAGGTGAAGATTCGTCCTTTTGTGTCTCTTTGATAAACGATGCAATCCTCTCCTTGCTCCAAGTTTTATCCGGCCGGTCTGCCAGAGATTCAAAGAGCTTGACAAGATGACTGCTGACGACTGGGTGAAGCTTAGAGATGGAGCGGGTTACTTCGCTGGCACCTCCGCCAGCCTTGAGTTCCTCCGCCATATTTCGTTGTATTGTGATACTGTTTTTGCGGTGTTTATGTCGAATTTGGGTGTTTGAAGAAGTTAAATAGCGGAGAGAGCGGAGAAAGGAGAGGACGATCTTGAGACGGGATGTTGAATTCGTGAGGTTATTCGCTGTCGTTGCTGGCTCTTGCACTTGCTCTTGCACTTGTGCAGCCCCTGCATGTTCTGGACCTCTACTAGAACCCCTACTAATCACTGAAACAGGAGTTTAGGGGATAACAAACAAGTAATTTTTACTTATATACCTGATACATCCTCTGCAATACCTTCATGTTTATTACTTGAATTACCACCGACAATGATGTTCTTTTCCCTTCTCATCTGGACCGTATCGTTCCCCCTCATGTCGAAGCTCAAGCTCAAGACAAGCTCATGAGAGCTTCAGCGCTTGACCCGCTAAAAAGACCCTAGAACCCCTGAGCTTTACCCCACTGACAACACAGCCTGGACACTCCGTATGACGCGGTTCCAAATAAACATGCACTGTAACAGGTATATGGATGGCTTGGCAGACATACTCATGCAGGTTGAATGGTCGTCATATTCAGTCTCGCTTACTGCAGAGAATCTATAATGATAAGTCGCTGAAGATAGGTAGTGTCTGTACGCAGGCGCAAAGTATGCTATTTTTAGGTTGCCTCTGAACAAGGGACATTCTGCAAAGCAAACCTTATTTGACTCCACGGATCACGTTCATACCCTAAGGTCACCATACCATTGAAGAGATAGCCCATTTATGAGATATAAACATAGCCATATAGTCGACTGCTCCGTGTCGGTAGGACGGTATTGACTAATAAGCTGTTCTTACATCTATACAATTGTTGCTTTCTTGACCTTTTCATCGTCTACTCTTCTTCGCCTTCCGCTCAACTCTTCTCTTGTCCAAAAACTCCTCCAAATCAACATGCACTCGTAAGCCCTTTGAAGTCATAGTGTCAAAGATCCCCTTCAGCTCCGAAGAATCCATATCCCGGTTCACTGTAAGGAAGGCCTCCATCATGACATCCTTCGACCAAGGGCAATGCCTCAACGCTCTGAAGAGAATATCCTTAGCTTTCGGTCGCAGTTCTCTTTGCGAGCTGCAAAATTGAATGAACTTGATCCACAAGGCTGTGTTGTACTTGCAGGCGTCACTCGATACGGCGTGCTCGAAGGCTGCTTTTGTTGTGTTGACGTTCCCACGTTCCATCTCGTGATGAATGGCGAATATACGACTGCTCAGACAGTCCTGGTCCAGAGTGAGGACAGTTTCGTGCATAAGAGTTCTTGTTTCGTCGATGATACGAAGCCCAGAATCAGCCCATTCAAACAATGACAAGAACATGGTGTTCTTAGGGAAGTACACCAGGAAGTGCTTTAATTGCTCGAGGAGGTATGCGCGACGGAAAGGCCTAATGATGTCAGTAGATTCTTGACAATTCCAGAACATAAGACTCACCCTCTAGTTGCGTGCCAATATAGTAACATTGACGCAAACTGCAAGATCTTCTCATGAGCTCGTGACGTATGGTAGTTTCGAGATTTGAGCTCATGAGACACTTTGTTAACTGTGTCTATAGCAGCCGAGATGCTTCCCTGAGAGTTTGACATTGGTTCCGTAGACCCCTCAGCGGTCAAATAAGATAGCAGAACTAGGCATTCGGAAAGGATTTCGGCATGGTCAATATTGCCCCCAGAGATCAAATCGTTCATGGTAGAAGTAAAGATCTGGTGGGCTTTGAGGATGTGCATTGACGATATATCAAGATTCCCAGCAGATTTGCGCAAAACCTCATCCACAGAAGAGCAAAGTCTTCGAATAGCTGAAGCTTTGTTGTTTTCTTCAAGTTCCATCCAAGCCCATGTTCTCCAAAGAGCAAAAGCATCTGTTGCAGAGTTCTACAAAGAAGAGTCAGTAATTTGATCAGTTCAGGTACTGAGGAGACTTTGTACTCACCGATGCAAGCTCGGTCGAAGACGACACCACCTTTTGAGCAACCTCCCGATTGCCATTAGCGTACTCGGCAAGCGCGTATGCTTTATATAGGCCAAGATTGATCGGAAATCGTTTCAACAAAGCCTTTGCTATTTTTTTGACATCAGAACGATCTTGCGCTGCACATAGAGCTAGATGATATATAGCTAAATCCGGCAAGTTCGCATTGTGAACCAAGTGTTTTGTTGCGCTGGTAAGGAATCCAAGCTCAACATCGTTCTCCCTCGTCTTCGAAGGTAAATAAGAGAACCAGTCTTGCTTCGAGAAGAGAAGTTCAGGGGTTATAGAAACACAGAGGGGCTTCTGGTCAAAAGCAGGAGGCTTCCTCTGTATTTCTGTGGGATCCTCGTCTCCTGAAAGTGGTAGAGGAGGGTTAAACTCCAACTTCGAGGTAGGGCGAGCCAAGAATTGATCATGGTACGCCTCGTCCGTCCATCTGTCAGACCAGAAGGTAGGGGGAACTCCAAAGAAGATCAAGAAAGCGTCGAGCAGCTGCTCCTGCACGGCTGGCAAAACATGCCTGGGGACCATGAATAGCAATGGCTCTATGTCAGAGAACATAACCACTCTGAAAGGATCATCTTCTGTCCCCTCATCCATAGTCCTTGCCGGTACTCTTGCTTTCTCAGCTTGAAAGCTCTCTAAGCTCGCCCAACGCTTGTAGTCATCCCTAGACTGGTACTCAGGCTGCTTGTTATCTGGCAGAGGCTCAGGGGCATCGCCCATTCCATCATTTTCCACAAACTTTGCCCAGCCTTGAGCCTCTGGCTCTCCTATTCTAGGAACTTCGCTCTCCCAAAAGTCACGAAGCGACTCAAGGGCTGAATTATGCTCTTCCAGCTGTGGAGGTCGAAAGAAGTTGAGCTCCATAAAAGCTTGCCATGCTGCAACAGCAAGTTCCTTGTACCCAGAATCATGTATAAACCTCGTCAGTCTGAGGAAGATATAGATAGCTTCTCTGAAACTCTCATACTCGTCATTCGATCGAGATCGAGATATGACACGGCGCAGTCGATCAAGATGCATTTGTTTGACAGTATCAAACTGGAAGACGGAAATGTTGGACATGTCAAAATCAAGATGTGTCTTCCACAACGTGAAACTTTTGTCTTCATCTTCACTCAAGTCATTCCACTTTTTGGCTGTTGCTTTACTGTTCCATACCTTGACTCCTTCACGCATCAGTGGAACCAGCACTCTGATACGATCTTCAGGATTAGTAACATTGGACAAAGCCGATTCGAGCATATGGAGTTTGATCTCAGCGAAACTATGCACTTCTGCTTCTAGTGCCTTACGGTCGACATCCTCTCCAGCTCTCAGAAGTGCATCCTGGTGATTTGCCAGCTCAAGCCATGCATCTATGTCATCTGGCTGATCTTTCACTCTTCTTGAAAGCTGAATCGATTTCCACTTCAGGGGGTTATTCTGATCAAGATCAACACGGTCTGCAGGCACATCGCTTTCAGATTCCAAGTCGCTGTCGTCGTATTGTCGCGGCTTTGCTTTGCCCTCTATTGAGCGATAAGATGGCTGTTCCTCATCGTCTGAAGATTCGGATGCACCACGGTCATGCTTGCGCTTTTTCGATGAGCCGACTGCCAAAAAGTCACTTTCTTCTCCGTCCTGCGCAGAACTCTCCTGCAATTTGACTCTTAATGGTGTTGACCTTATGCGCCATGTTTTTGAGCGCAGTCCGTCCTTGTCTTTGAAGGCATACGAGCCCTCGCCTGGCATTCGGAGGCTAAACTGATCCCTAGGTCCATCGCGATGAATCACGAGGCGACCTCGTGTACCAAGAACCCTGCCATAGCCATCACGATAGTAAGCGGGAATCTGAGAACGATCAAGATTTCCATATCGAATGATTAGTGGGTCGCCTTTGGTGTCGATAACATACAGACGCGATGCGCCATCATTGCTGTCGCGTGGAAGTTTAGTAAGCGGGCGATGTTCTGGCTTTTCTGAATGGCTAGATCTTCGTGAAATTTCTCGGTGCCGGTGATGAGATTCTGTGCGATGTCTTTTGGAGTGATGATGGTCGCGATGTGAGTCTGAATGATGATGGCTTCTTTTCCTCCGTGAGTCGCGGTCTCGTTCTCCGGCTGAATCTTTGTGGCTGGAGCCTTCTTTTGCACTGTGATCCTTGTCCTTGTCTTTGGGCTTAAAAGAAGAGAATTTAGGTGCTTTCAACTCGGAACTCTCGGATTTCGACTTGAATGATGAAAACTTGGGTACTGTAAGCTTGGTGTCTTCATCCTTATTGGACATCGTGCTGATTATGATGCTGAGTGAAGAGACCTTTTCTCATCAACCAGGTATCATGCTTGAGAGCTCAGTATAGCTTGAGGATCTTTCTCCCGATTATCAAAAGCGACTGTGTGATAAATCGAAGATGTATCACTGGAAAAAAAGTGACAGAGATCGTGTAAGTTGAGATCAGATAGGAAAGGGAAAGAAGCTCCAGCCTCAATCCACAGCCACATACGGGGATGGACAGTGTATATGTGTTTCATAATACTGTGCTTTCACATCAGTACTTCTCCAAAACGCTGCCACTAAGACCACATCAAGACATATCAAGCGCATTCTATTTCTATCAAGATCGTATTTCTTTTACTTACAAAAAATTGGAGCAGTCATCATTATAGGCCCTCAAGATGATGTGTCAAGGACCTGGGATCCATCATCCGGCAATCCAAATAATCCAATCGCATAGACAAGTCGATCTCGAATAGGCTACATTGGTCCTCAGCGTCAGCACTTGACCAGGAGAAGTCGGTAAGCCAGGGGCAGTAGCACACCATCCATTGATTTCTAATGCCGCCGAATCGCACAATCTTTCCATTCTTATCTACTCGCTTTTTGCAATGCGAGAAGCGACACATAATGGGGTTGAAATAAGACGCCTCTACAAGCTAGCACTTGTCCGGCCATATGAATTGCTGTCGCACTGTGTGTCCACCTAAGCTTCGGGGACCTGGCTCTAATTTTGTGGAGGGTGAGAGGAACGCTGTAAATTGCTGGTTTGCCTGCATGTTTAAAACTCCCAACTCTGCCCCTCCACCAATACGTATTTGGTCCCCTTTTCTCACCATGGACCTCTCCGCGAGAACAATCGCTACTTACACTGCTATATCCATTGCGACTCTCATTCTCGGTCGTGTCGTCATGGGTTTCTTCGGTAGCAACAAGTTCCCTGTTGAGGGCAAGGTATGCTTCTCTTAAGCTCCTCATGAGACCTCTCATGATGCATGTCTACACAACATCATAGCTGACAATTCCTCCAGACGGTTCTTATTACCGGTGCTTCCGAAGGATTGGGCCTCAGCGCAGCTACCCAACTCTCTGGCAAGGGTGCAAACGTCGTTCTTGTCTCTCGTAGCGAGAGCAAACTCGAAGCTGCTCTCTACACCGTCAAGGTTCGCTGTTCTTACCACGTCTTCCGATACCTTTATGCTAATTCGATAACTCCAGGCCGCAGCTAAGAACCCCGAAACACAACGCTTCCATTACATCGCCGCCGATGTCTCCAAGGAATCCTATGCCAAGCCTCTCCTCGACCAAGTCATCGCCTGGAACAATGGAAACGCTCCCGATATCGTCTGGACATGCGCTGGACTGTCCTTCCCCGAATTGTTTGTCGACATGGAGATGAAGTCAATGCGAAACCATATGGACGTCAACTACTGGGGCACAGCTGAGATGGCACACGCTATCATGCGCGAGTGGCTCGACGTCGCCAAGCCTGTTGAGAAGGAGCCCAAGCATCTCATCATGACTGGAAGCATTGCCGCTTCCTACTCTCCTCCCGGATACACGCCGTACACCCCCTCCAAGTATGCCATGCGAGGTCTTGCAGAGTGCATTCAGCAAGAAGTACTTCTTTACCCCCAAAACGTCAAAGTCCACCTACTCTTGCCCGGTACCATTCTTTCGCCCGGCAACGTCCGCGAAAACGAAATCAAACCTGAGATCACGAAGATCATTGAAAAAGACGACCCTAAGCAAACACCTGAGGAGGTCGCTGCTTTGTCCATCAGGGGTCTGGAGGCTGGACAGCATAACATCACTGTGAACTTCCTTGGTCATCTGATGAAGTGGGCGTCTTTCGGCGGCACGCCCAAGAACAGTTTTGTTGATATTCTTGGTGCTTTTCTTGCTACATTTGTTTGGATCTTTGCTCGACCTATCTTGGATTCACAAATTAGGGGTCATGGCAAGAAACATGGTCACCCCAGCCTGTATAAGAAGACCCGGGATGCTTGATCATGTGTAGCCATCTTGTGCTAGTTCGAAGTAATTGTATAAGATACCCAATGTAATAATAATAAAAATCAAGCCTGCTACCCTTTTCCAATGACTTTTTATGTGGTATCTATATATATCTATAATCTTCAACTATACGCCACTCCATTTACCAAACTTGGTGTATCTCTTGAACATTTCCTTCAGAATGGCACGTCCACTCTTATCCATGGCATCGTTCAGGATCTTGCGCACCTCGGGAGGTGTAACATCAAAGATAGAGTTCATCGCTGGCTCAAGAGCGTCGTTTACTCGGCGTGGTACGTCAGCTTCAAGCTGCAGCTTGACATACTGCATCATAATCAGATACATGTGTCTTCCAGCCGAACGCTTCGCCGCATCCGTGGCCGAGTCCAAAGCGCTTTGATGCTGAGATCGAGACACCGCGCCAGCAGTTGGCTCACAAATGAGAGTAATAAGACGAGCATATAGATGAGCCTTGGACTCTTGTAGAGTTTGTCCCAAGGTATCAGTAGCGCCGTGGTTAATAATTAGGTTGCGGAGGAGGGCCTGCATCGTTGACAATAGCAGGTGATGATGACCCTCAAGCCTGAGGCGGTGCTTCTTGATGATGATCTCTAAAAGCCCGCATAGCGACGAGTATGGGACTATCTCGTTGGGCAATTCCTCGTCAAGTGGCTGAGTAAAAAGGCTCAGGTCGGAAACGGTGTTAAGAACAAGCTCAATATTCCACTGGGTCATGGATTGAGGCTTCTTCTCCAACAAAGCACGAAGGATTCGACACACATGAGTGGATACGGATTGGCTCTTTAGTGTCAAGAGTGTTGAGGTCAGTTCGCTGTGAGCAGTGGCTAGGTCAAAGCTAGATCCCTCAGCCTGGAGGTCGGAAGATGCTGTAATTTGTTAGTTGGCAGAACTCGATAGACTTTTGGTTGACTTACCTAGAAGTTGGTTTACAACGGTATGAATAGCTGATGCTTGACCATCCGTTCTTGAACCTTGCACAAACGCTTGAACAAGTTCCCTCAAATAATCCATCTTTGCGGAGGTGTCCATCGACTTGATGATTGAAACAACATTGCTCTTGAAATAGGGCTCGCGAAGTTTATGAGGGACTTGGCTAAGACTGTAGAATGTCGTTGGTCGAGGTTCCTCGAGAAGTGGTGTGAAGAATGTTCTGAGGAACGTTTCCACCTTCCATCCTCTCAAATCACCCGATTCCATAGCCGCATGGCTTCGCTTCTCAGCCTTTCGCACATCTGATTGCTTGAGCTTGGTGGCTCCTGTGAGGCTCTCCAATGACTCAGCAGCGTCAACTGCTGCAAATAATCGAAGGTCGGCAGCAACATTGTAGCTCTCAAACGCCTTCTTCTCTGTCAGGAAGTACCCAGTCGCAGCAATCACACACTTTCCAAGTGCATCCTTTGCAACCCCTGGCAATGAGCTCAACTCAGGATGGCTGGAACAGTTTGCTGACTTAGAAACTTCGGTGATCAATGCCTTCAATAATGTCAGGCGGAAAGGTGACAAATCTCCGGCATCTTCACAGTCGGAAATGAAGCTACGGCTTTCACTCAGATACTTGACACTTCGTTCGTCCACGTGCTCTGTCATCTGTCGGATCGTAGCCGCTGCCATGGCATAGTAGGCGTCGATAAGATCGGTCAGACTGCCGTCTTGTGTTGGCGTTGAGCTCGACAGATCTGACATGGCATCCGCAACTTCAGCGAGATGCGAGAATTGCATGCCATCATAGAATGTTGCCCGGCTCATCAGTTTAGTTGACAATGTGAGTATATATCTCCAGCCCTCAATAGACACACGCTTTGTTGTTTTTTGCCTGTGTGCATGGAGCAGTGCCATGATACGCTCTCGTTGAGATCGAGTGAAGGCATCTGTATGAGCACTGCTCAAGCTTCGAATCCAGGTTTGGCTACCTTCTGCAGGCCAGCGCTTCTCCTTTCCGTCCTCTTCCAAGGAGTTGATTAAGCGATCAATGAGATTGCTAGCAACTTTGACACTGTTCATGCTGTTCTCGTTTTCGAGGAGGCAGGCCCAGATATCTCTTAGCTGAGTAGCTTGGCTGCTAGGTAGGGCCAACGCATTCTCCAACGCTTGGGGAAGAGTCGCCTTTGTGCCATAAACGAAACGAGTGAGCCGAGAGCAACCTTGCAGGAACCAAGCCAGGTAATGCTCCGCGGCTGCCTCCTCGAGGAAAGCTGGTGCAGAGCTCTGCTGTAGAAACAAAGATAAATCCTTGCACTTCAAAGACTTTGAAGAGAGAAGTTCTGACGATAGTCGGGTTGTGAAAGCATCTACCAGGCCTGCGGGTTCGGCGATATGGACACCATCGGGGCTCATTGAAATCCAAGCCTGACAGCAGCACTTGAATGCCTCATATGTCTCTCTGGACTCAACAGGGGACTCGGACAAGATCTTGGTTAGTTGCCCCTGTACTGCGGACCAAATCTCAGATCTTGATTCGGCTGTGACCCAGGAAATGGTCTTTGACACAACTCCCCACTTCAAGGCAGTCAAAGCAGACGATGATTTCTTCACGTCGCTGACCAAGTCAAAGAGCTTACTACCAACGGCATCCACGTAAGTTTCGCTTTTAATGCCTTGTGCAATGGAGTCCAGGAAAAGACACAGAGCCCTGGCGTGCAACTTATCGTTTTTAACCCATTCCAGGACGTCAAGCAGCTGCTGTGGTGACATCTCCTTTTCGATCAAAATCTCGAATGAATCATGGCCTTGTTGCACCTGACCGACCTGAAGCCAAGGTGAGGTAATCTTGCTCTTCTGCTTCTCGACCTTGCACAACTGCTGAAACCAAAGCTTCAAGAAATCTCCAAACACTCGTCCAGTTCGGAAAACTTCCGCAATAGCCTTGATAATCTTCGAAACTGATTCATGGTCGTTCTGGGTAAGTTCCTGCGAGGTGCTTCGTTCGCAGACAGTCTCTAATAAACGCGCGCCTTCCTCAGATCGCTGAAGGAAGATATCAGGATCACAGCTGGCGACCACCGCGACCAAGCGCCAGTTTGTGCTCTGTTCCTGTAGGGCATACTCTCGACAGACAGAGCGCAGATCCTCCGTGTCAATCGCCATCGACTTCTCAGCTGCCCGCTCCAGGACGACTTGCACAAGTCGATCTCGATCTTTACGATCCCTAAGTGAGCCTTCCGCGGCCTTGAAAATCTGCTTTGTCCAGTCGACATTCCCTTTTCGCAGCCTTCCTTCGCCAAGCGCATCTGTTACGCTCGATGCCAAAAAGTAAAGCGCAGGAGCTGCCACATCAAGATTGTTGCTGGCAGCTTGAAGTGCTTTTGTGATAGGTTCCAAATCTTGTCGGTTGATAAATGCGGCTCGAGCAGGGAGTATCAAATTGCGGTGCATAAGCTTTTCCAGGTCAATCGTCCACTTCGTTCGCAAAGATTCGCGCACAGCGGTTGTTTGCGATCCTGAGATTCCTTCCAACTTGTCGAGGATAGCCGTGGCCGGAGAAAATAACTGCGTGGCAACTTCCATCATATCGTCGCTCCCCTGGAGGTGTAAATCCCAGATGGATGTTGTCGTCTCGATCCATGTCTCGCGGCCCTCCTGCTCATCGGTACTGGTAAGCGCAACATCGCACAGCTTCAGTGAAAGGGAGGTTAACGACGCAGCGTCGGCTGCAGAGGTACAGAAAAGCGATCGAATATGCTCGGCACCGATCTTGTCGTGAGATGATTGCGTCGCGGAGGAATCGAGGCGGTCCAAGAGTGTCTTCAGAGCGCTAAATAGGGCGTCGCCAGCAATTAGGCATCCTTCGGTGTCCCTTAGAGCGTCCAGGTTGAAACTTTTTGTCGTCGATCTCTTCCTCTTCGAAGGTGTAGATGATGTATCTGTAGTTGGTTGGGAAATATCCTTCAATGTTTGTTGCAAAACAACAATGAACCGTCGGTCAGCGAGTGATTTGGCTAGTGAGAATAAAGGAATGCGCTGAAAGACGCATTCAAGAATTGTCCAGGTCAAAGGCCATCGTCGCAAAGTTTCGGCATCTTTCGACGACCCGTTCATTGACTTTAGCAGCCATCGCAAACTGCTTTCCTCAGCAGCATGGAATTGACCATCTGCAGATACAGTCAAATGTTTCCATAGCTTTTCAAGATTCTTTCCATCCTCTCCCGGACCGCTCTGGTCAAGGCCTCTCACAGTCTTAATCAGGTCCATCTTTTCCTGTAGCACGTGTAAGCATATTCGCGGTTGCGCAAGAGAATGGGAATGAAAACTTACAAGAGTAGAAGAGTTCTCTTCTGACGGACTATCCGCCATTTCCACATCCATGGCGGCCATTTAACGAAAGAATGATTAAAAAAAGTGTTTGAAAAGAAAGCTATAACAAACCTCAATCTTTGAATGCGCCCCGCGACTTTTCCAGCGTCCAGCCAAAATTTCCTAAATTCTGCCACAACGCTAAACCTTTGCCGGCTTCCCGCTCTCACCGCCCACAAGCCGCTCTTGCGTTCCGACTTGTTCCATATTCAAGCTTGACATCACGTCCATTAATACAGCTCCTAGTAGCTCCAGATTTCGCTTGTCACGACCGATTGCACGACTCAAGTATGTCAATTACACTCTTCCAACCAACCTTTTACCATTGAAACTAACAGAATACTGTCAAAGGTCAAGATGGCCGATTCCACTGTTGCCCGCCCTCCTCCCAGCGCCATTTCCAGGCCGCTCAGCGAGTCACTTCTCAACGAGAAGGTAATCATAAACCTCGAAAGATTAACAGTCTACACAAATTTACGGTGCTAATTAATTCTAGTGGGATCGCTGCCTCTCCAACCTCCTCGTCAAGTCGTCTCTCGGTCTCGGTTTCGGTGTCGTTTTCTCTGTCCTTCTATTCAAGCGAAGAGCATGGCCCGCCTTTGTCGGTGTTGGCTTCGGTGCCGGCCGTGCCTACGAGGAGTGCAACTTTAGCCTGAAGCAGGCTGCGCGAGACTTGAAGAAGCAGTCCGCTTAAAGGAATTGCGAACTGGGCGTCGACTAAGCAACGAGGTTTATTTGTACTAGGAACAACACGCCAGCAGCATATGGGGGCGTGTTAAAAAGTGGCAGAGGGAGCTTTGCCGCGGGCTTCAGGGAAAGCCAATGTCAGAATAGGACGTTTTTCTTCAGATTCAATAGAGGTATCATGTACAACAAAGCGCCATTCCCAATCTCCTTCGCCGGTCTCCAAAACAACCAGACCAATAAGCTACTGCAGGGGGGTATCCCACTGATGGATTTGGTCATATCTCGTTGTATTCCCCGTTGAACGAATCAGTCTTCTCTGTGTCCCAGTGTCATCCTCTTCCCTACCTGTCGCTGACAACGGAGAATCCAAGTAGTCGTAACAGCTCTCATAATCTTTAACTAATTCTGAGCTAGTAGAGGGGAAACTGCTCAGTAACTGGTCGATACTCAGTCTTCGGGTTCCATCTGTGTCTGTATTTCCTAGTCGACTTCTCGAGGGGATCTTCAGCAGGGATAGGTTGCGTCTGAGATTGACCAACTCCAATCGGAGCTCCTCGGCCAAAGAATGGCTTCGTCTTCGAACACTCTTGATGAAAGAAGCTTCATTGTCACAGTATGCTCCATCACTCTGATCTGTTGGACTGTGTGAAGTCCAGGGAGTCTGTCGCTGTGCGTTCTCGACGTCCCGCGCTCCCCGTGGAATTCTGAAGCTGACACCCAATAGGATGAAGACCGCGAGAAGCACGACGAGTACAAACACCACAATTGCGATGAGTATGATCTCCAACCTGGCCGAGTCTAGAGACCGGGTACTGTCGGTCATGTTGTTTTGTGTTCTAGTTTCGAGTTGCGCAGGAGTGGCTACACGGCAGGCGATCCAGCTGGAGGCCGTACCGATTTCTTCGGACCTGGCTGCTCTCGAGGGATGCGTTATAGGGTCGGAAGATTCTACTCTTTTTGTCTGTCTATCGAGTGATACAAATGAATGTCGGTGTGAGTGACGAACAGCAGGCGAGGGGCATGGGCAAAGTAGGTATTTGTCTAGGTCAACAAGGACAGGAGTGGATAGGTAGATAACTTTGCTGGCGTCTTGTTTTCCATTATAAGAAATATCCAGTCTAGTGGAACGAAGTCTCGGTATAGATCGGCTCGTTGACAACTCCAAATAAGGTCGCTACAAATTCGGCAAGTAGCAGTTGCAGTCGTACCTACCTACTAAGCGACGACTATCCTCGGGAAGTTACGATACCTGAATAAGGTAGGCGCGTACGAGAGAGCACACAGCATAACGCAGTAGCTCCTTCTGAATGGGTGCTGCGTCAACAAAACACAAGAGCCTCCCAGTAAAACTTCGTCTTGAGTTTTCTGCTCGTCCGGACCAAGTTGCTCGCTTTTCCGGGGAGACCTCTAGGTGCCTATAGTGGCAGAGTGGTCAGTAAACTACATGCCTCTGCGTCCTTACCTACAGCCTAATTACGGATTGAATCACAATCTACATATGAGCTATTTTATCTGAATTACTCATGGCTCGTTATCACTCAATCGGTCGATTCACCTTTACGCCAGTGTTACCACCCTCGTGTACTCAACATCTTCAACTTCACCCCTTGCTTTGGTCTTGTCGCCACAGTATCATATTTACTCCACACTTATCGGCATATTTGGCATGTTTCCTCTTTTCCCGCTGCTTCTGATACCGTTGGGAGACACCAGCATGTTGAGGGCTTTGTGGAAGCCCTACAACGGCACACCGCGTGGTTATCGTTAGGCATGGTGCACACGAGAAACCTGGCTTGAAAGTAACGGTACCGTGTAATTTTCTAATGTCTAAAGCAAACAAATCTCGAAAAAGAACGACTCAGGCCACCGCCCAATTTTAAACTGTTTCCACCACAGCACCCTTTTCTGATCCATATTGCTCCCTTGGGGGTACATTCTTTATCAGCACTTCGCCAGTGCTTCTCAACATTGTGCACAGAGGTATGTCCCTCCTTGCACACCGAAGGAGTCGGAAATTAACGTCCCGAAGCTATGGATTTGTGTTAGTCGACCACCTACTGGGGACACAAGAGTTCTGCAGAAGGAACAACGTTACTGCAGCGAGACCCTGGCACAGCGGAGGATGTCTAACGACATGAATATCGCAGGCCAGTGTCTGATGAACTGTAGCGACATATTCATTGAGAAAATATAGTGGTCTTGACTCACTGGGGTCTATAGGCCAGGTCGGGGGCTTCGGCTTGGGCTTGTCCTGGGAAAGGTTGATACCAGCAGCGGGATTGTTCGAGGCAGACATTGTTACTTTGACGTTTGCTTCTTGGACCGAGTGTTGAACTTGAGTTCAAAAGGATTTGATTCTTAAGAGTGAAGGTAAGAACAAGTTGAGTTGGATCGGACTGCTTTGTTCTGATGCTCCAGGAACTAAATTCACCTAACTGGACAGGACGAGTCCCTACTCTTATACTCGACAATTGTTGGACAAAACTTTCATTGACAAAGTCAGAGCCGCCATAGATTTGCGTGAGCAGTTCGTTTTCGAATCGTCCGTGTCGAGACAACGTAACGCCACAGGCTGTGCGAAGGCTCGGAGCCCCTTCGTGTTGCTCAGCGTTGTTCCTAACTATATTGTCGTCAGCTTCTCAGCCTGACTGAACATATTGAATGCAGCTTACCGTGTACCTAACGGTATGAAAGATGAAATTAGGAAGTCAGTGCTGTAAGTTGATAAGGTCATTGCCTGATATGGCAATATCAACGTTGAACAACTCCCCAGTTCAGCGATCCAACATCTTCTTGTGTTTCTACTGACGTGAGGTGTAGGACAGCTGAGCTTCACACTACTTGCAGTGGAACGTTTTATATCCAGTAATAAACTCGAATGTCTCTCTTCATCGATTGAATCTCGTGTTCGAAGATCACCATCGCCTTAGCACCGAGGCGGACCTGAATTAGAACGACTCAATCTCATTTGGAGTTGAAGCATGTGCGAATACTGGTGTCATCATTCATGGTTTGTTCAACCATGGTTCATTCTTTCACTACCTACGTCAGTAAGGCCGATGGTTGCTCAAACCATGCAGGGAAGTGACAAAGGGATACATATCCCGAGCCAAGGATTGACTGTTAAGGGTCGAGTTCATGAGAAAGAAACAGCCATCTGCTAGGGGGTACGAGAGGTAACCCGAGTCTTAATATGGACCATAATTATGGCAAGGCTTCCAAGATCCATTGGGTCCCAGTGGGCTGGGCCGGCATGAAGTGACTGGAAGTCCAGGCACAACTGACGGAAAGGTACAGCCGTTGAGCTCCCGCCCGTTTACAATCCCGTAATTGATATTCACGCTGGGCCACTCGGCAGGTCGCCTTGAGTTATGGTCTCATTTGGCGCTTGCTAAGTGAAGAACAGATGTATCTAGGTACAGCATCAAGTAATCGATGCTAAAAGCAGCGAGGCACTGGGGACACAGAAGACTGCTAGTGCAGTATGAAATAGCTCCAGTCGAGCCAGCCCCTGAGAGTCCGCAGGATCTAGACACACCATAGTTACAATACACGGCGGCTCCTAGTGCGATAATAGTACAGTGCAGTGTCAAGGTAGAGACAGGCAGAAAAGTAGTCTAGATGGAGCATTGGCATATCGGAACTCCTGCCGGGTCGGCGAGACAATTAAGCATGTCTCTCGACGCAAAGTGTTACAGCAGAAGGTGACCCTGTCAGTCTTGCACTGAATATGACCGACTCCGAGTGAAATACATCGAGGCCGGTTGATTTTATCGTGCGTAAAAAGTGTAAAGAAAAGAGAAAAGAAAAAGTCGAAGCTATCCACAACTGACTTCTGTTGAGGTACGATGTGACACGTGACTTGTGGATCCTGTATCCCCTGCCACCAACCTCTTTAAAAACTCTACCTCTCATCTTTCTCTGCTCATTCTTCAAACCCAAACACAAAACAAAAATAAATCACACAACAACGCCTCTCTTTCCTCGGCTCTTGCCTCTCCCGACAGGCAACTTTTGCCATCTTACGAGGGTCACATCCTCGGCATCTTTTCCTCCATTTTGATTATTCTCCGCTTCCAACGGCAACGCCGATGCAGCTCAACTCTGTTGTGCTCTCTGCTCTGTTCAGAATTCGGACTGGAACAAGCATGCAGTCCTCCCCAATCTTGGAAAGCTGTTAAACGACATGATGACGGAGACACATTCACATTCACATTCTTGTGACAAAATAAACAGTGTCTCGCAGCGTTTGACAGCTTGAAAGAGGCTGCGGTTGAGGTTGCACGCTTTGTCTCAGTTCAAGCAGTGCCGTTCTTTGCTATCCTTGACTTGATTTCTTGCGACTTACCTGAACCTACTACAGCTATTATCTTGTCTATTTCTCTACAAAGTCCGTTTTAAGCGGCACCCACGAAATGCCTACACTCTGCGCTCTCAATGCACATGTGTGTCAACTATTTTTTTATCGTTCGAGTGGGAGATTAAAACCACGGTCTAGACAACCGACCCGCTCCACCCTGATACCATAGACGCAGTGTGGCATCAGGACTAAAATCGGGCAAACATTTCTACAGTAGAATAACTCTTTTGAATGTGAATGAATGTCTCGAATCTGCACAGTCGTGCTGATGACGAATGGGACCCTATGACTCAATTACCGTGTCTGGTGCAGTCCTTGTTTGGTTCTCACCAGCCTAAGCTCAAATCCCTGTATTGTAACTATCGTCGTTGCACAAATGTCTCGCCCGCTATCGACCAATATTGCTGGCAGAATCATGTCATGTTGATACTACACTATAAGAGCATGTTTATGAGACCGCCTTGTTCCTCAGACATTACATCGTTTCATTCAGCCTCATATGCTGCCTGTGTACTCCCTTGCCTTCTCTGTCATATATCATTCAAATACAAAGGTCCAAAAACCTGCTCTGTGGAAGGGTATTCTCTCTTCTTGACCGGCCGTTATACCAAGACATGCCTCGCATACGCCATGTCATCCAAGAAAGCCGTTAAACAGACATACATTCCGCCCTGCTTCAACAGATGTCTCGGACAAATAGTTCTCAACCACTGTCTCCAAATATGGCTCTGTCGTCTTGGAACGACATAAGGAACCTCGCCACGAGGCGTCCAGTGTACAGTGTCTGAGGATTCATTGGGAAAGGATGGCTCGCGTTGTTGTTGAGCCAGTCGTTGGCTGCTAGAAATTGCAACTCTTGCCCTATGTGAGACAGAAGGTGTCAGCGTTTGTGATCGTTCCAGAACAATACGGATACCTGTTAGCCCGTTTGTGAGTAGTCAGGTCGTACGTACAGCTTTCGCCAAACAATAATTCTCTCAGTTGAGCCGAGAACTTGATCGCCGGTCCGTCCAGCTCGTCCTGTTCGGCAAAGCTGCTGTCCAGCAAGGGGTTGAAGCCTTTCGTGTTGGCCTCCTTACTGTGCGTCTGGTAAATCTGGTGGAACTGGTAGGCGAACTGCCTGAAGGGCATGTTCTCAACCTCGGCGCAGGTATTCAGCGCGAGGCTTCTCTCGTACTCGGGTCTTGCGCTCTTCCTCATGTTGATCTCGTTTTGGGAGATCACAAAGATGTCAGCTGCCGTTTCAACCGCCTCCATGAAGAGGCAGAGAACAAGGAAGGCGGCGGTGCATGGCGCCCATTCGCGCCGAGACTTTGGTTTGAGTGACTTGGAGAATAGGTCAAATAGTTGTGTCATTTCGCGCTGCATCAGCTCGTCTACAATTGACTTGATCTGTCGTGCGAGGACTCGAGGAGTAACATAGTTGTCACCCTGGTCGATCATGCCACTCGATCGAAGGACATCAGCAGTCTCTTGAGTTAGGCAGAGTTGCCTTGTCATGATGTAGTGCATGCAATAAATGGACAAAGCACGCTTAACCATAAGGGACTGCGGCATGACTATCAGCTCGGCTAATGATGCGAGTTATCGGGTTTCACTCACCTCGGTCTCGTCAGCATACTGCTTGACGATCCTCAGTACCTTCTGGGGCAAACATGTACTTTGGAAGTTGTCTGTGACCTGATCGACAAAGTATGGCTCCGTAAGAAGGTCCTGTATGTACCTCTTGGTTCGTTTCTTGAGAGTGTCCCTCTCGGCTGTGTTGTCGAGCTCAACGCCGATGTTGGCTGCTCTGTTGCTCTTCAGCTCGACCCTGTTCCCTCCTATATTCTGGAGCTGCCAATGACTCCTGACCTCGTCAGTCTTTGGTGTGAAAAATTTGGCCCGTATTGCCAGGACAGTATTGAACAGTGGACCTGAGAAGAGCTCAATAGAGCAGACTTGCTCAACCCCTTGAACATGAAACCCGGCAATGTTCTCTGAGAAAAACTTGGTCATCTGGTCTTTAGCCAAGTGTCCGCGAATATACTCGGGAAACAAGATCCCCAAGAAGTCGTTGAATCGCCAACAAACAATCTGTGGCACTTGGACTATGATTTTCTTGCAGTTCTTGCAGGGTCGCTCAAGATCGCATTTCACCTTGCGACTATGGCAGCAGAAACATGCGCCGTGTCTTCGAACCTGCAAAGCATTCTCCTTGGTAGCATCCGCCAAAGGTCCCTTACGCCCTCGCTGACTTGTTCGGTTCATAGCCTCGAAGCACTCGAAAGGATTAGGACGACCGGCGTGAGCTGAGATAGAGTTAGGAGTCACGATGACAAACTTGCCAGACTGCTCTGTTTTCTTCGCCTTCTTCTCAACTTTTCCAGTCTTGACCTTACGGATCGGTATCGACGTCGGCGACTTGCTCCCACTGGGGCTCGCTTTTGAGCTGGGGAACGAGGTCTGGGAGTAGTTGCTCGCAGGTGAGGGGGAGTTGTTGAAGTCATCCATGATGAAGACACTCTCGCTACCTCTTGTATGCGTGTGATTCCAAGGTGGAACATTAGGATCTGACTGCATAGGCTGCTGAATGTTAAAGTTCATCTGGGGCACTTGAACCTGACCGTTCACGTCCATCGAGAACATATCGGCCCCGAAGTTTTGCATGAGTGTCATGTCTGCAGCAGCATCAGTACTCTGCGCTGAAGGAGAGGCCTTCCCCCGCTTCTTCAGCATACCATTCAAGCCCTGCGTTTGGAATTGAGTTGTGTCTTGCTGTGAGAAAAGGTACTGTTGGGGTGTTAGGAACCCCTGTGTCTGTCCATATCCTCCATCTGTCGTCGTTGCGAACATATCCGAGTTGGCATTGTCTGAAGGTGCCTGGAAGTTTGCATTGGCCGTGAAGAAGGTCGCTTGATTCATGTCGCCTAGTATTAGGGGGGAAGCTGCTGACGTTGGAGGTGTGTCTCCTGGCATGAATGGTGAAGAACGGTTGTTTGTAGAGGCATATGGCGGAGGAGTGTTACCGGCAGCATAGGAAGGGGAGGTATTGCTTGGCATAAGAGGTGACGGCGTCCCATGGACATTTCCAACCATAGTGAAGCTTCCTAGACTCCCACTAGCAGGATCGGAGAGAAAACTAATAGACGATGGCCCAGAGGTGATTGCTGTATAGTCGATATACTGCCATGATTCGTCGTCGGGGATAGAGTCGAAGTCGTAGGGGGACGATGAGGTTGGTGATGGCCGAGAGTGTATAGACGCCATCTTGATACTCCTTAATTTGTTTCTTGGTGTACAATGTTTGATCTCGAACAGTATATATCGATCCAGGGCTTATATAGATAAGTGAGTTTTTAAGTTAGACTAGGATGAGAACAGCCTGGTGCAGATGATGATTTCCAGTGCTTATATACTAGGATTATGTCCGTGATTGAGATGCCGGTACCGAAAGTCGCTGTTTACAATGCTGATGATGTCGTGCAATGATGCTTGCTGGTAATAAGAGGGTATTCGCAAGTTAGTTAGTCCCCGCGTATTCTTTGGTGTTGTAGTCGTAAGGTTTCAGTCCAGTCTCGCCACAGCATTACTTCTCAGCGCAGGAGAAACGACGACATTTAAATAACTCAACGAAAGTGCACTTTCACATGAGTCCACATTGAAACGAATATAAGAAAGAAAAGTAAGAAAAGCTGTCGCTTGCTTCACTTCCTCCTTCGGTCAACATTCATGGACGGCTCGACGCTAACCCAAACGGCGACCGAAAACTCGGTACTTTGCTTTGTATGCTATCTCCTGCCAAAAGTCAAGTACCTTGGAAGTGCAGGGTAAGCCAATCACAGTCACATATTATGCACATGCTCACTGACGCTATTCCTCTCTGAGTACTATGTCAAGTAACACAATTAGGTGTTTTCTATTCAATTGCCATGAATAATCTTCTTATAAAAGTGCATATTTACAGCCTGATTTCTTATCAAGGATGTCAGGTGCTCAGTTGACTAGGCTATAGCAGAAGCTCGAGCTGTCATTGGCATCGCACAGCATAAACGGTAGCATTATCGATCTGTGTCAGTAGGTATCCGATTGGTGTACGATTTCATGCATCACGCAGCATGGGGGAAGGCCTCAAGTTTTGAAAAACTTAATTCCATACGATGAGTTGTCTTGCAGCCCGGTATACCTATTGTTGGCCTCACGTAATGTGATTTACCTGAATCGCGGGTAGTAGATCTGAAAAACTACCTATCTCTTTGATCACGATCATGACCTACCCTAGGTCCGGTTCGAACTTTAAGGCAAACATACACAATACAATAAATACTTGACGGAGCTACCGGCTGGACCACCTATTGGCTGTTCTTAGTGGAACTTTAAGCATCATATGCCATATACTATTCATCCTTATTTGCTCATAGCTATCGGCAACACTCCGCAGCTAGTCTTCATGATATTGACGGTTGGGCGTCCACTTGGTATCAGCCAGTCTCGGAATCAGTATCCTTGTCCAAATCCTAACTGTCACCAGAACCTAGGTCTCATATGTGCCCAATGATCACCGATGATCACAGTGGTGAGATGCCTGCTCCCGAAAGATCATCATCACGGCTTTCATCCCAAAACTGTAATCCTTGCCAAGCCGACCGACCGATGCCCAACTCGCACCGTCACTCTCGTACCCAATTTCACTAATAGAAAGAAGCGGGCGAAATAATCAGCATACTATGAGTATGCCGTAGGCTCTTTGATTCAACGTGTTAACTAAAACATACAGCGAATGCGTCGTTACCAATACTGTATTGGGGTGCTGTCCGGATCCAGTGATAAAATCATAACAATAAACATGTGCTATACACGAAAGCACGAAACATGACTCGTCAATACTTGAAACATCAAATCAAAACAATTCTTGCCGCACAATAACTCCAACACGCTTTAGACAGAAGCCTCCTAACCAGAAATGATGGCTGCTGAGAAGGAGTGGCGTACACCTGGCACGCCAATCCTCTAGACTCAGGAGAACCTCTGCCCATATATGATAAACATTATCGCTCACAATGTCAAATTGTGCTTGTGGTCCCCATCCTTTGCTCGGGCCACGTCCCTGTTTCTGATCTGTGCCGTTGTCGTCACCGGCAGGTCATGTCTCCTGTTGTAGGAGAGCATATAAACGTATATCATTAGAGTCACTCGAGACTCGTGGTCAAGCTCGATTCTTAAGCTCGGTACCGCGTGGCGGCACGATCCTGGATCTGCTTGTCTGTAGAAACGTATAGTCGGTCTAGGTAGTCCATAGCCGAGGCATCCTTCAAGATTTTGGCCACCTGAATACCGGCCGAGATCAGCTGAAGAATGTTGCGGTCGTCCTTGAGAGGGCGACTTTGGTGCTTCGCAGCATGTCGCATCTCAAGGGAATTCTCCAGAATCGTAACGAACTGCTTGATCTGTCCATTGTAAAGAACTCGCGCTGGGATCCGTCGCTTCGTCGCTAGTCGCTTGAGAAGATAAACCCACTCGGTCCATTCTCGATCCTGTGGTCGCTCAACAGGTCGCATGTCCTGAGTCAAAGGGATTGGAAACTGGTACTTGGCCACAAAGTCGTAGGCGCATTGCGAAAGTCGATCATTGACTTGGCTTAAGACATTGTCCTGCTCCTGAACATGAAGGTTCGTGGGTAAGTGAGGAAGTTCTCGCTCCTGCATGGCAATAACATCCGGGGGCGGTCGCTGCAAGAATTGATGAGGACCGTCGAATTCGTCACGGTTTGATGGTCGTCTTTGTGAGCGACCCTTGCCAGTGGACTTTGTCTTTCCTCCGGGGGCAGCACTGTTCATACCATTCTCCAGAGAGTAGTCAGACAGGTTGGGCGATGCGATGATATCGTCCACCGAGTCGGTAGGCGAGTATCGATCATGGTTCTCCCAAGACTGAGAGGTCGGTGCCTTGTATGAGCCATGTCCAACGGGCTTGCCGTAAGATCCTGATGGAGGACGGGCACCGAAGGAGGGAGCGGCGGCATAGGCCGACTCAGTGCGTGATATGTGACCATTGGTACCGATAGGTAGACCGCCAGCTAAGTTATAGTTGCTGGCAGAGTAGTTGACACTTGAATTGGCCGATGTTACTAAGGATTCCGAGCTGGTGTTGTTCCGATAATCACCATACCTTTGTGATGAGTAAAAGCCATTGTCGAAGCCTCCATGTACCGAAGGATCAGTGAAGGAACTGCCGGTGAGTTAGTCAACCGCACTTATCTCGATTGTAGAGGAGGGAAGCTCAAACTTACTTGCGAGTTGGGTTCCAAGGGCTGTTGGACATTGTGGTCTTGTAAGCATGGTCTTGCTGTGCCATACTGTACTGGCTCATCATTGTGAAAACGGAACCGCGGGGTGTTAATTTTGGTCAGACTTGACGAGACTTGCGGCTGATAAAGAAAGAATCCACAGGCGAAAAGAAGCAGCAGAGGGTCCACGCCTTGGGTTCCAGTTAAAAAAAACGAGACTAAACCGACGGACAGCTTGTACAATATGGGTCCTTGGGCAGTGATCCTGGGTTTTTCCAAAAGGCTGGCTGGCTCCAAATGTCTTCTCCAGGGCATCCACGGTGACTAGGGTTTCCTGAGATGGCGATGAAATTGCCTGGGTCCTTCTGCTGGCGGTTGTAGGCGGTGTGACCTGTGGTCTGTGGTCCAGGCAGATGGATCTATCTGCAAAGGCCAACTCAACTCCTGCTGGATTGGATAAAAAACTGCGCGGGCAATAGTGAAGCACTAAAATAGTAGTGCGATATCCTTGGGGGGTGCTTCTCAACGAACCAGTTGAAGGTAGAACTGGTGGTGAGCGGATCTGAACTGACACAGACAGACAGATAGATAAGACTGGATTATGGAGGAGATCTGGAAGGTTGAAGCTCGGAATAAGGGACGATTTATGTTCGTCCGTGAGGCTGCAAGGGAAAAGGGACGGGTACGCATGTCATGAGCGAAACCCTGGCCTGGCCTGGCTGTTGATGATGGCGATGGGATGGGAAAAAACGATGCCCCATTCACTAGCACGACTTTAGTACCGTAGCGGAGTTGACAGGGACCAGGCGGGAAGCAAGTGATGGCCCAAATGTCTTTTCTGGCAAGATTTGCAAAAGAAATTCGCCCCAGAATCCCTAGAATTAATGTCAGGAGGGTGTCACTTCCTTCCGGGAACTGCGATAGTCCCAGTAACGGCGGTATGCATGGCAGGGTAGGGACTGTACTGTACTCTGTGCTTTGCTGTGCTGTACAGGTAGGTACAGTAGCGTGTGCAGGTACTGCGCTGTACAGTGGAGGGCAGTACTTGACCGGCAGTACTTGACCGGCAGTGCAGTCGAGTAACTAAACGTACTGTTTGTATTGAGTTGATGGCGCAAGCAGCCCAACAAGCGAGCGAATCCACGGAATGGGACCCTGCCTCTGATCTTAAACCAGGGTGGGTAAGCTTAATGATCGAAGACGTTGAAATGTTACTTTTTGTGTATCGTTTCGGGTCATTTTAGTACGACAGACCGCCGCACAGGAACCTCAAGAACTGTTGAGTGCTTGACGTTGCCTGCTGTGTCGCCGGGAGTGGAGAGGTACAGGTATCGTCAGAATAGAATGCAATGCCGAGGCCAGGTCATGCTACCCCAGATGTTCCGCGTAGGGACCTGAGGCTTCGATAAAATTGTGGAAAGTTAGAAGGTCACTCTGCATCGCGGGGCAGCACCGCTATTCCGGTCTTCCAATGCCTCACCCTCGGGCCAGGATAACAAAGCGAGGCAATTCATTGATTGCACCAGTGATTGATTGATTGACTGATTGATCTGATCTCCTGGGCATCATTAGGCGCACGCATTGTTGCCCAAGACGCGTTGGCAGCAGCCAAATCGAGTTGACCTGACCCCAAGAGATGGGATGCTAAGTTTGAGCAGGGGACCGCCCGGAACGTTGAGAAGCGGTCAATGGCGGGACTGCAGAAAAGGTCAGGCACCAAGGCTGTATGTAAGTGCACCCGACAGGGCTTCGTTGATGCCCACTGACCACCTCCATCACGGGACGTCAGGTCAGGTCAGGCCAAGTCTGGTCTGGTCACTGTGCCTGGTGGTTGGGTTTGACATTGTTCGTTCCTTGGTTCAGCAGTCAGAACGGTAACGAAAGCAGAAAAAGCAACAGCTCATCTACTGCCAGCAGTGTACATTAGACGAAGTACGTAGTACTGGACAGCACACCACCTCGGCGAGGCGGCACTAGACAAATCTGGGGATTCATCGTGAAGAAAAAGGCGAATGGTGATTGGCCTTCAGTACTTGGCGACACATTTAACGAAGCCTGACAGCAGTCTGGTGAACTGCAATGACCATAATATTTCATCATTGTAAGATGAGATAAGATGAGCTGTACCATTGCTACACAGCTGCACTGCACTGTGCAGCCAGCGCCATCCATTCCTGCTCGTACTTCTTGCACCCAAAGCTAACATCCCCCAATGTACCCGTAGATTTGATGATATCGTCAACAAAATCGTCCGACGGTTGACGCGATGCAAACAGCCGCTGGCAATGCGATGGTGGCTGGCCTACTCCACTCTGGCCCTGACTTGACCCTTGGAGCTCGTGGCATCTCTCGGCACCTGGGTACGGAATGGAGACGTTAAGTCAAGGGAAAAGGGTCCTTGCTTCGATGCCGCCGTCCTGCATCAGCGCAGCGCCCTGTCATGCCATGCCATGCCGAGTCAATCCATATTGATCTGTCCGCCTTGAACCGGCCGAGTCAGCTTGGTTAACTTTGAGGCGAACGTTTTATGGATGTGGATCTTGGAATTATCGGATGAAATCTTGAATCTTAGATCATTCGCTATGGGAATCGTGAGTTGTCGCTGTCAAAGCTGAGAACAGATGATGGTAGATGACGATTGGGAAGGTAAAGTGAGGAGGTACCTGCCGACCTGCGGCTCCTGCCCAAGCCCAATCTTCGCAGTTGACCGCTTCCTGTCATCCCAAGAATGGAAACGGAAAGTGCGAGGCGGTATCTGCTCACATCAAAATTCCCCATATCAAAACACTTAACCGAAGCAAGGCTGTCCACTTGAAAGACGCCAGATCATTAATTCTCTGAGCATGGGCAAATGCATGTGACCGTTACCGTGACCTTGACCCGATGTACGGAAGCCAACGTTCCGTCCCTTGTTCAATTTGGATTTTGTTTTGCTTTGTTTGACGTGTAAGAGAAGAGAATAGAATGGATGCTGATGATGTGGCACAGTAAACAAAGCCGAGTCGTCAATGCCGCTATTTCATTTCTAAGCCACTTTGGAACTGTGGCCTTTTCTTTTTGAGATATCTCTCAGTCGAACTTTGTCGATTCTCTTTCTCTTTTCCTCCCAGTTTTACCGATGGTTCTCGCTCGGCCTGCTGCAATTGTCAACCCCTATCATGACCACAGACACCGCCATGATCGCGATACACATCCGTTCGCCTGGACGCTGGACCCTCCGTTTGGTCGATCGTTCTCGTTCTCATCTGATCAACTCAATCCCTTTGGCCAACCGGATTGTTTTTTCCCAGTTCTTCTCAGAAACCAAGATCCCGCGCGGACCTTTACTACGATCTTTTCTTGGATACGAAATACTCGAGTCGCTCCTGGATCCAATTTATCCAATTGGCAATGTTTCGTGCCATACCCTGAACTCGACAGGTCGCTTCAAGTGCCCTCAGACTTCAACACGAGGTCCGGCCAGCCTCTTGGATTTCAAGATGCTCAGGTAATTTCACGACACGAGAAGAGATTCCTTGGACTGCGTCATTGTTCCTGTCTTCTGGCCCCCAAGTCCAGGTTAGGGCTGAAATAGGCCGTGTTTCGCATCGCTGCCGCTTACTAGCACGTGGAAGGTTAAGTTAAGTTAAGTTAAGTTAAGTTAAGTTAAGAGCTGATTCAGACTTGAAGGAACACGAGCTGCCACCTCGGTACCAGGCGTTCGTCCTTGCAGATTAGCCCCTGTTGACATCTCGAAAAAGGCCCAAAATAGATATTGGACCCCCACATTTTGAGCACTGACGTCCAGCTATTGATTGACATTCGACAGGAAGCAAAGCAAAACATAGCCGACAACTATTGCTCCGAGAGGCGGGGCCCACGCCGACCGGTGCCCGCTATGACTGGCCGCTCCGTTCCGGAAATGGAACTGGAGAACCGGAGGCCCCTCGGTGTTAGATCGTGAGAACCTCATCCTGTTCATGTCCACTTCTCTTTTTGTGGCACGCGACATGAGCCAAAGACAATCGACTTGTATCGAGAGGGCATTGTCTTCTCTTTGAGCGGACGCCGAGTCGGATTCCGTCTTGTTCCCTTTCTGTTATGCTGCATGCTGACCAAGACATACCTCATGCTCTTTGCTTCTTTCTCTTCTCCTGTTTCTTCGCCGGCAATCTGCTATAACCAAAGAGAGAGCCCCTGTCGCAGATGAGGTTTACCGACTCCTCTGTCTGTTACTATGCATAAGTGACGTAGGAGGTCCCTTGGACCACAGACTCTAGGTCCACCAGGTAGTACGAGACATTAATTCATTCAACCCTAGATGGAACTAGGCGGCCGCTTTTCTCTCAATATGGCCTCACTGATTCCATTACCCCCGGGCAGAACGAAGTCTCTACGGGCTTTTCTGAACAAGCCCCCGCCACCGGGGACTTAGCGAGTCATGGGGCTAAGAGCATCAGTGCTATTTGATTGGATGCAGACCCTGCAGCCTTCGTCTAGGAAAACGAGCTTTTGCTCCCTAGAAATCTATTTGGGGATATCCCGCCAACGGCGTGGATTGCATCGGGCAAAGACTGGTTCTCAATACGAAGAAGAATTCTTGTATGGCATGGCCAGCCTCTCTCTGCCTTGTTCAAAATCGTGTCAGCCGTGTCTCTAGACCACGCTTTCCATGAATTATTTCCTTTCGACCACCCCGGAGTCATTCGTAGCGGCGTCTTAAGATATTCGGTGCCTACATTAGTAGCATATAGACGAAGCCATTGCCGAGCCCATAACATAGACTTGCTGTTCCCAAGAGCTATACCACAATTGCGACAAACACAGGTATGCCCTGACAACAACATGGCACCGCCAAAGGACAAAGAACGCAAGAGGAAGTTTCATCGAAGAAGCAAAAATGGATGCACTCGGTGCAAGGCCAGGCATGTGAGGTGCGACGAGCAAAAACCGCTTTGGTATGTTTAAAGCTCCAACCAAATCTTACTCGTGCAACAAGCGATCGTTTCCCCTCATTACATGTCCATTCGCTGCAAGGCTACGCGCGGCTCAGATGCGGGATAGGCGATAGACGAACTTTGCATAAGGCTCCAACCGCGTCAAATGTCGTTGTAGAACTGACTAACGGATACTGCCAATACAGCACCAACTGTCTCCAAACGGGGAGTGAATGCATCTATCCGACTCCAGAACAGCCTCTACCGTCCAATGAGTCTTCGCCTTCGCCATCTTCATCCAGTAGCAATGTTGTTCTTGGGAGCTTCGGCTCTCAAATGGCACGTAGCGAAGCTCCAGCGCCAGGGATGAGTAATGCTCTCAACAACTACGTTGGAGGTTCGTTTGACGCTCTTCCAGAGCCATCGAAGCGCCTGTTGCGTCATTGTAGGTCTTCAGACACAAACGAGTCTCGCCATGACTAATCCCTGGACCAGTTTCACAGTACACAGTCTGGGGTCAGAGCCCTGTGGCTCGAGAGCAGGAATCTTCGGCGTACAGTAACCCAATACACAAATCACGTTTGACCCATAGAAGCACCTGGCACTGACAGCAGTCTAGAATTCAGAAGTCGTTCGAGAATCCGGGGTACATGCACATGTGTCTCATGCTCTCAGCTTGTCAATGGGCATGGGTCACGGGCTCAATGGACGAGGTTAGGATCCCGTTCCTGTACCATAAAGCAGCAACCTATCAGTTCGCACGGGAACAGCTCCAGAGTCCGGAACTAGCACAGAGCGGAGACACGATGTTGGCCATCTCCGCGTTAGCATTGACAGAGGTATAAATGTCTTGGCGTACGGGCTTTGCTGATTGATACTGACCATTGATGATCTAGGGCGCGATAGGAGAATTGGACGCTTCGTCAAGGCATCTAAAGGGTATTCAGTCAGCGGTAAGGCAATGGAATAGAGCCGCCGATCCTGTGCCAACACTGCCTCAAAGGATGCTGAAGATGTTAGTTGTGCACACGGGACATCGATCCCTTGATCGGACATCTACTGACGAATGTGAATAGGGTAGGAGAAGGACTACGAACCGGGAAAGCAGGCCAGCTCGTCAACGTACCCGAATACCAACCGACATTTATGGCTCTGTTATTTGCGTCGATTTGGGACATCACGGCATTACCACCGCGCGAGGCACCAAGATATGGTTGGTGGGAAGATATCCAAACACCAGCCGCCAGGCTCTGGCAGAACCATACCAGGGATCTCAATCTCAACTATGAGATTTCCAGAGGGTTTAGTGCGGGCCAATACGTACCGCGAATCCTAAACGGCGACCCAAAGAGCAGCCGGACGAGCTTCATCGCTACCTTTTTCTATCTGTGCTCAGAGTTGGGCGACAAATATTTTGATGTGACCATGATTGATTGGCTTCTCGAACAGCTCATTGACGATGTGAATGCTGGTGAAGAGCATCTCAGGATGAGTGAATGGACACAGTCACTCTGGCTGTTCTGTGTACTGTTTGGTGCGTCTATGGCATTCACGGGTCGGGCTAACAACGTGATTGAAGAGAGACAACTCGCCAGATGGCGGGCTGTTTACGGCGACAAGATGAAACTGGCCAGCCGAGAGTTGGGAATCACAAGTTGGCAGTCAGCTCGGGGAATGCTGGCAGCTGTGGTGGGAGAGATAGACGGCGAATTAGAAAAGGGCTTAGAGGAGTTATGGAACGAAGGGATATCTGAAGAGACACTGGCCGATGGCAGCATAAGCCCGTCGGTGGTAGAGCTGACAGAGTCGGACTAGGGCCTCGGATGTGTTGGTCCGTCAGACTGGTTTCTGATAAAGAGCGCAACCAACAAACAATGTATATATGTGAGCTATCATAGTGTGTTGGCGTTGAGTTGAGGCGGCACAATGCTGACAGGAGTTGTTAAATGATGGAAGGGACAGAAATGGGTCGGGTCGGCTGAGCTGACGGTGGATTTTTTTCTTCTTTACAGGCTATAGAAACCATATAGTATAGATTAACAAAACTTAATTTTGAAGTTGAAAAGCAACAAACCTGGATCTTGACGAAAGAGACGTTGGATTGTGATAGTGGAGGTAAAGTTAAAGTGGTTGCGTGCTATCACGTGGAACAACGGCCCGTTGGTCCTTCCATTCGATTGTTCCTTCCAGTTTCCTTCCCGGATAGGAAAAACGGAAAGAGAGAAGGGGGAGGGGAACGGACGGGTACGGAAGGTACGGGAAAGGCTGTCCCGCTCTGCCGCGCCCGCTGTAGACTGAGAGAGTCAGAGCTTGTGTAGTCAGTGCCTGGGGAAGAGGAAACTCAAAACTGCGGGTTTCATCGAATCCATCAATCAGACACCAACAGCATGTCTGTATCATCACATCCTTCCCATATTTGATATCGGTTCAAACATGACGGAAATTACCGCATTCACACAATTTTTATGCGAATCATCATCTTGACTCGTTGTCTCTGTCTCAGAGCGTATTTTCTCGTCTGTTATCGCGCGAACCGCCTGATGCATTTTGCACATTCTTGACCGCAGGTCTGTGTCATAACCATCCCACCAAGCGATACGCTGGCCCATCCTGTAGCCCGCTTGCATTATCGTCAAAAGGCACTTAAAGACCTGCTAAAAACAAACCAAGCCCTACCCCGCCCGTTGCGGTCTACTTGGTGCAATCACAGGACGTAAAGAAACCACCTGGGTGACCAGCGGCAGGCTCGGTGTGCCGTCTGTTGCATATTGGCTCATAGGACGCGGTTTGGTTGGCGATGCTTGCTTTGTTTAACCCACCCATGCTGACTTGGCCGCAGCATGTAGGGGGTTGAAGGAGGGTCATTCATGATAATAGCGCAGCGGGCCATGAAGACGCGACCAGACGCTGACGGAGATGAGGATGGCATGGCTGGCACAGAGGATTTGACAGAGCTTATGCTTCACTTACGACTCGACTCCTGAAAGCATGAGGCTGTGGTCAAAGTGATCGCCAGGAGCCGTTGCCTTTTAAGGACCAATGCGCAAGCCGCTGCGTCCGACACTCCGAGGCTAGCTTTCATAACAGAATTGCGTGGAAGGAGGTTCATGAGGATCAACCTCAATAATGCCCTTTTACATACGACGTAAACGAGATGACGATTTGGATGCAATTTCGGCCAACCTCGTGCTTTTCAGCCCGTCTGCTCTGTTCTCTCTCATCTTTTCGCACCACATCCTCGTCAATAAGCTTGGTTTTGTGCTCACAAGCTGCAGTGATGCGTTGTCCAGCAGCCATCATCCCTTCATTCTCACAGGTTAACGCCAAGTGATAGGATGGAGCCAGGGTCCTATCTCCACTTGTCTCCATCCCAAATCAGGGAAGTCAACCAGTCGCTCGTCGCTATGGCCCATCCCTCGCTTTCTACCCCTGCAATAACCCAACACACCGGTTTCTGCACTCTGAAATCACAAACGCCAGCTCACTCCTGCGACCAGAAAATGGCCGCGTTTTGCGGCAGTTCCATGGTCAGTGGAACCCTGTCCCGGCAGGTCGTCAGGCTTCGATAACAATAAAACCCGCAGGATCCCTCGTTGCCCAACGTCTCCCTTCTGCTCCTCAATTTTCCAGCCCAACTCTCGCCTCTTACTACCCAACCATCACTTCGGTCTGATCCTTCATAGACTACCGAGCCTTTTTACATTTCTTATACACAACCATCAACGCTTCCAATCTTCACCAGGAGTTGAAAGCAACCCAATCAGCCCAAGGATACATCCTGTCGCGCAACAACACCAACAACTCGACAGTATTGCCACTGGTCTGAACTTGCAAGACAACGTCCAACGTTGATCTTTGCTACTTCACGAGCTCAATTTTGCTCTACATTCCGAGGATACAATGACTGTTACTCTTGTGACACAGCCTGCTGCCATGCACGCTTTCAAGAACTCTGACCTCGATGAGGTTCATTCGCTGTCCAGGTACTGTTTTTCTTATTCTTCCCTGGGAGGCTTGCATTTGCTTTTTCTATCATGTTGCGCTCAAATCATGTATTACGACAATCTTGCTTCACTCTGTCCAAGGATATCAAGCCAGGAAACCACATCAATCATTCGCCCCATGGATATTTTCCAGGAACTCTGCCGGATCAAAGGACCATCATGAATCCATGGATAATATCGACATCAAGCCGCTGGATTTCTCACTTTACTGGATGTCCACCCGGACTTCACACAAACAATAATTACTGTACTGGCCATGTGCTTCCTGTGAGTATCGCGTTTTCCAATTCTGAAAACGTCAGCTTCACGATCCGCTCGGATTTCAACCCTGGACTTTCATGGAACACCCAAGGATTTCTCTGTAACATTCAAGGACTCGACCCTAGGACTTGTGGACTCTACTGGACCGTTTTCAGGATGGATCTTTCATACGCGGACATTTCTTTCGACGGGAATGAATACGACCCATGGAATCGCCTGGACTTCTGCTCCTTCTGTACCGTTCTGCGGTGTTAGACTTCAAGGTAGCATCTGGCTGAAAGGCCTAGCAATCCAATATGATTGCCTTTGTGCATCTGCACTTGACATCCGTCAATGGACAGCCATCTTTTCCACTGCTCTTTCTTTTTGCCGGATACACAATGGACCAAGGATCTTTCTGAATGCTTTCCAATCTGGCTTTCTATTCAACTCGACCACCCCATTGCTATACCAACTTGATTTTATGCGGATACTTAGATATACATACGACCTACTCGACTCAGCCCAGCACTGGACCACACCGGATACGATATATGTGACTTGATACTGATGTTGACGACCTTTTTTCTTCTGGCTTACGACCCTTTTACCATGGACATCAAGGAACCCAGACAGGAGTGCAAGATCTAACCTTAGGTTGTACTTGACACTGTCATACTTGGTCTGTAAACAACAAAACCCATCATCTCGTCTAATGCTAACCTATCAACAGATTCAAAGTTGATTCAAGCCATGGCATTTGCCTTGTTTTTATGCTTCTTTCTGTTTTCTTGCTTTCAAATCTGCGCAGAACGGCACACTGACCCTTCCTCAGCGACTTTAGCTTTTCTCAGCCTTCCATGTCTGGACTATTTCCTTTTTCTCAAACAGAACCATCTGCGGACCTGTTGGCAGGTTCGTCGTGGGCCACGACAGTAGAAGGACCACAGAACTTTCAAGATTTCTCAGACAACGGATCCGCCCATTCCGGAGAAGCCGAGGAGTTCATTTTCACATCTGGCCATGCTACACCCCGAGGAACACGGGTACTTTCCCAAGGAAACTGGTCTGCTTCCAGGACTGCCGCTTCAGCGACCCAAGGTGGACAAGCCATGTCCAGGGTCAGCTCTAGCAGGTCTAGCGGCTCATCGCTATCACAATCATCACATCTGTCCAACATGGACTTTTCAGGTAATGCTTCTGCTCTTCAGACTGGAACCCAAACCGGATCCATTCATGGAATTGATACTTGCCTCCTGGACCCTGTCGATGGTATGTCGACTCAGATGTACTGGCCCGGATATGATGCCACCTTCTCTCTTCCTGAGGCTAGCCCTCTGCACGTTGTTCCATCTCACATGCAGCTTGGACCTGATGTCTCTCTTGCCGAGAACTCTCCTCCCAGCCCTTGGGACTGCTTTTCTAGCTCTATCTCCCGCTCATCTTCCCCAAACACTATTGAGGACTTGTGGTTCCCTAACCAGAGCCCCAACTCCTCCCCTCAGATTCAGTGCCAGTCACCAAGGTACGTAATGTCCAACACGGCAGTGACACCCGATTCGGTTTCTTACCATGTCGATTGTTCTAGCCTTGATCGCAACATTCCATTGATCTCCGAGGATGCCAACGGAAAGGCCCTTACAACCCTTGATGATTTCCCCGCTGCTTCTGCCTTCACTGGACCCCGACGTCAGAACAGCGATGGTGAGTCCGCACGGGACCACGACCTCTACAAGAAGGCTGCTCCCTTCGAGGATGGACTCTACCACTGCCCCTGGGAAGGCCAGCCCAGCTGCAACCACCGACCTGAGAAGCTTAAGTGCAACTATGAGTAAGAAAAGACATCGAATCAAACGAATGCCATGTACTGACTGAATTAGCAAATTCGTTGACTCTCACCTGAAGCCCTACCGCTGCAAGGCTGATTCCTGCGAGGGTGCTCGCTTCTCATCCACTGCTTGCCTGCTTCGCCACGAGCGCGAGGCTCATGGACTCCACGGCCATGGTGACAAGCCTTTCCTTTGTGTCTATGAGGGCTGTGAGCGTGCTGTCCACGGAAACGGATTCCCTCGCCAGTGGAACCTGCGTGATCACATGAAGCGTGTCCACAATGACCACGGAAGCTCCAGCGGCTCCCCTACAACTGGATCTGCTCAGCCCGCCAAGGGACGTAAGCGCAAGACTGAGACCTCGGAGACCCAGACTTTCAACAGCCGCAAGGCGGCTGTCAAGTCCATGCCTCCTCCCCCGGAGCCCAAGGAGAACTTGACCCAGCCTCTTATTGACCAATGGATGGAGCACCACAAGGCTGTCCAGAGCCTCATGCGAAATGTTGTCAAGCCTGAGGATGTCCAGAACCTTCAGCACATCGGAACTATCCAGAACCGTCTGAACTCCATGATCAAGCTTACTACCGACCTCAACGCCATCAACAACCCTGGAAACACCCTCGCTGGCACTGGCTGAATGATTTGTAAGTTCCTACTTGACTATCAGAAAGAGCAATACACTAACTCAGAATCCCTAGATATGCGAGTCTTGTCTGCTACCAAAACCACCAAATTGATTTGTGCAAGTGCACAAGAAGAGATAAGAATGTCCGTCTGATATAGAGACACAATTCTGAATCTCCAAGACGTCCCAAGATTCGGGCAAAAATGCCCATCATCTACGGCAGAGGCACCTGTCCCGCCTAGTAGAACAATTCCCAAGGAACGGATGCACTTCATTACCACCGGAATCCATATTATCCAAGGATACGGACATAGTCCCAAGGATTGCGCCACCGCTGCGCCAGGAGGATTACGGAGACCCGTTATGGGAGAAACATAATCGACTTCAGAGTCGATTGAGCTGAGGAAAAGAAGGGGGACGTCGAGGAGGAAGCATTAGATAGACTGATCACTCCGATTTGAGTTTGATCCAGATTTTACAGATAACAACAACAGATGGCCCTTGACTACAGGAAAGGGTAGCAGATTAGACACTTTGTTTGGGAGGGATTTTTGTTATTGGCAGCATCACTGCAGATAGGATTTGGGAGTTCAATCAAATTTTTAGCATCATTTGATCGTTGCTCGCATGAATTGGCCTGTGAAGAATAATCATCCGATAATATGTTTACGAGCTGAATTAATTGGTGGTCTGTATCTCCTGAGGTTCGGATACATGGAAGTTGAGCTAGGGATTTGATATGCCACCAGGTTTGTGACGCTAGGAGCCAATATTCGCTCTTGATACATCGTGTTTAGGACAGCAAATGCTGAAATACCACTCAGGGTCAGCGGTGAAACCTGCAGTCGATCGGAAGAAGCAGGGTCAACTACGTAAGTGAGAGTCCGGGGCAAGATCGTGGAGAAACATAGAGTGCAGCTGTCTTGGACGTAGGTATACCTAGTAGTCTACATTCTAGAGGTACATGTAGCCTCGAAATATTATTTGGGTTTATGCCACCACATCCAGAGGATAAGGTTCTCCCTGTATGAGTCGATAAAGCATGCCCGGACCTTTCAAAGCTCGACTCATGGCACGACAACTGCGGTAAATAGCTCCGAGATATTGTCGGCTCGGGCACGGTCTCGGTGGTTTCAGTTGCATCTTGTAGGTTGGCAGTGGAGAGGCCTATGATGGTTTAGGGTCCTGAAGCCTCCACTATGACGCTGCGCTGAGAGTGCTGTGTGTTGGATCAGCGAAAAAAACGGCAGTGATCCGGGTACCTGAGAGAAGCATCTGGAAGTTTTTGATTGTAAGTTGTCATAACAAACTGCGTTACTGGCTCATGGATGAAGGACATAAATGGAATGATGATGTATCTTTAAGGGTAGTTGAGTTCCGAGCTCTGCCGTAATTGTCGATTTACTGATCGATGTAAGTGATGCTATCCAGGTACAACACCTTCTTGCCTACCAAAATGTCTCGACACAGAATAAAATGGTGCCATGAATGGAATCGATATCATTACTCAGGCCCTTGCGTATCTAAAACTGAACTCATTAATCCATGTCATTATCAATGTCTGTCCATATTTCATGACCTGACTCTGAGCCGCTTCAGCCCGACCCAAATTAAGTATGGGATATCCACCTGTAGAGGTGTGGTACTGGTAACGTACAGCTAAGCTCCAGACCATTTACGTAGTACTTAGCTACCTCTTCCCCATCCCAAACTCAACCTCATCTTTTCATTCTTCTCGTCTTCATCTGCCTCAATTTCTTCATCACCTACACTTAACTCCATAACATTACTATACACTAATTGCCCATCATGGCTCGCAAGTTCTTCGTCGGCGGCAACTTCAAGATGTAAGTTTTTACCCCACCATGACACTGCTCTGTTCTGTTCTGCGCAGCTTTGCTTCCTTGCTGCCCCTCCCCTCCAAAAAAGCAAAAGCAAAAAAAGGCCGCAGCTTTGGTTTGGTGAAGTTATCCAGAAAGCTGACATTGGTTCCCTCTAGGAACGGCTCCAAGTCGTCCATCAAGGAGATTGTCGACAACCTCAACAACGCTGACCTCGACAAGAACGCTGGTACGTCATTGCTTTATCCCCTCCCCCGCGCATCATCCCAGCTCCTCAACAGAACCCCTCATTATCTTTATGTTGGCAACATTCAACTAACATAAGCTCTCAGAGGTCGTTGTCTCTCCTCCTGCCCTCTACCTCCCTCTCGTCCGCGACACTCTCCGCAAGGATATCGAGGTTGCCGCCCAGAACGTCTACGACAAGCCCAACGGTGCTTTCACTGGCGAGATCTCCGTCTCCCAGCTCAAGGACAGTGAGATCAACTGGGCCATCCTCGGCCACTCCGAGCGCCGAACCATCCTCGGCGAGTCTGACGAGGTCATCTCCTCCAAGACCAAGTACGCTACCGAGAACGGCCTCAAGGTCATCTGGTGCTGCGGCGAGTCCCTCGAGACCCGTGAGGCTGGCAAGACCATTGAGTTTGTCTCTGCCCAGATCAAGTCTCTCCAGTCCCAGGTCTCCGACTGGTCCAACATCGTCATCGCCTACGAGCCCATCTGGGCCATTGGCACTGGCAAGGTTGCCACTACTGAGCAGGCCCAGGAGGTCCACAAGGCCATCCGTGACCTCCTCCGCGGCATCAGCGATAAGGTTGCTGACGAGACCCGCATCCTCTACGGCGGCAGTGTCAACGAGAAGAACTGCGGCGAGCTCGCCAAGCAGGCCGACATTGACGGTTTCCTCGTTGGCGGCGCTTCTCTCAAGCCTGCTTGTAAGTTGCTCATGGGATACCCCCTCTTTGAACTATGCTAACATTTTCCAGTCGTCGACATCATCAACGCTACCAAGCAGTAAACTAATTAATTCAAAAGTAAAAGATTTTGTTCCGGCGAGGTGTTGGTACCTGGTATGAGAACAATAGATGATGAATGAAATAAAAAGAATTATACCCTTGGATAATATGAATCGCCTGTGAAAGCATCGAAGTTTGACGCCGCAGTTCCCATAACTAATACCACATCAACTAGAAGTTTAATAAACAAATGACCAGCGATGTTTCGAAGCAATTTCATTCATGCCTCAGTATTTTGGAGATCTTGTTCTAAATCGTACATATTTCCTCGCAACCCAATACTACAATACAAACGACCCTCCAAATTGTTACAAACATTGAAAGGTGCAAAGACAGAAATCAAGCGTGGTAGCCATAAATTTAGACAGGCGTGCCCTTGCCGTGGTATGGAGACCAGACACCACGCACGCTTGGTCTGGTACTGGTAACGGCCTGGTTGTGTCGCTTGAGCTTTTCTCCGCTGGCATCCCGCAGCAACTCGGCCTTCTGAAGAATCTCATATGGTGATAAGTTTCGTACACAGATGGGCTTGTGAAGACCGTTAATGTAGTGGCCGACGATGACGGGGTGCTTGCCAGGTCGGGGCGAAATAGAGAACTCGACTTGGGGGTTGGCGGCGGCGAACTTGGGGAGGAGAGACTTGATGAAGCCGCTATAGCATGGTTAGAATCCATGAATGCATAGAGAAGAGGGGGATTGCATACTTCATGCCCTTGGAGCTGCCGGCCCAGTCACAGTAGTAGAAGTCCAACTTCTTGCACTGCAGAATAAATGCGCCAAGGCCATTCTAGAAAAGTCAGCACTTCTCCCTCGATAGACCGGGAGTTTCGAGAGGGGAACAAACCTGGCCCTTCGCTATTTGTCTTAATGCCTTGACAGTCATTTTTGTGTGGCCGTATCAATCGCTATATTCATGATCCGACAACCAAAGAGAATTTGGCTACGAAGTCATCGCCAGAAAATCGACTCAGGTGCAGCCTACCCCTTACGGTTTAGTGCTGGTCGGCAGAACGCCGGCTATCGGGAAGTCTCAGCCTGCCAGGCACCCTTACTCTTCGAGTCCAGTCTAATTTCAATCCTCGAGCGCGCAACAACTTCAATTAAGCTTGGTGCAGTGTTTGAGCTTTTATCAACCTCACCCCGCGAGCCCAAACGCGCACCTTTTCTGTCGTTTCCCATTCTCTTCGTCTTTTATTTTTCGCCAATTCAAGACGATAAAGCGCAATGACAGACAAGCTTCCCCCCAACCTGCTCGCGCTGTTTGCGGCGCGACCACCCCTGCGATGGGTTGAAGCACCCGACTATGCGCCTCAGAACCGCAAGACAGCACCTATCAGTGGCGTCGCCCAATTCCTTCCCGAGCTTCAAAAATACAAGGAGACCGATGTGTATAATCCCACTGAGAGTTGGTTGCAACGCCGCGATCGCAAGAAGCGAGAGAAGAAGGAGAGGCTGGAGAAGCTCGTCACAGAAGCGCCTGAGCATTGTATGTGTCACCAATACATTCCATAATTGCACAATAGCTAACATACTATACAGACCGACCAGACAAGGACACCAACATCCGGGGCGATGCCTTCAAGACTCTGATTGTTGCGCGTCTAAGCTATGATGCCGACGAGAAGGACTTGGAGAAGGAGTTTGGTCGCTTTGGACCTATCGAGCGCGTTCGTAACACCAGAGAATTTTAAATGAGGATATAAGCTAACGCCATGTCAGATTCGCGTTGTTGCCGACACTCACGCTGACGAGAAGCCCAACAAGAAGAAGAAGCCTCATCGGGGTTACGCTTTCGTCGTTTTTGAACGCGAGAAAGATATGCGAGGTAAATATGGTCCCTTCCCCCCTCTGACTAGCCATTTGTTTTCTTCCCTGGATGTACCTTTTGAGTCGTGGCCCTCAGGCTTGCCCTTCTCTCGAAGTATATGGCGAGACATCAAAGGGCCCTCAAGCTTGCCCGTCTCTGCTTCTTCCTTTTCTTTTGTCAAATTCATTCAGCACACAAGGTACTATTTAGGGTAAGATTGACTGACACCTGCGCCATTCGGCGCAACCATGAGCAGCGGCTTTGGATTCTTGTGATGGCATGCGCATCAAGGATCGACGTATCAAGGTAGATGTTGAACGAGGCAGAACCGTCAAGGGCTGGCGACCACGACGTCTCGGTGGTGGTCTTGGCGGCAGAGGCTACACCAGAGCTATGGCCTCGCGTCCTATGGGCCCTGGTGGCTTTGGCGGTCCTGGAGGTGGTGGCTACCGCGGCGGCCGTGGAGGTTTCGACGGTGGACGTGGACGCGGTGGCTTCCGAGGAGGCGGAGGTTTCGGCGGCCGTGGAGGAGGCTTCCGAAGCGGCGGCGGAGATTTCAGCCGTGGTGGTGACCGAGGCGGATATGGCGCACCTAGTGATGCTCCGTCGGGACCCGGCTTTGATCGCAGGAACGGCGGTTTTGGCGATCGTGACCGAGGTGACCGAAGAGGTGACCGAGGGGGTGATCGAGGCCCCGGTGGGTATGATTCGCGAGGCGGTGGTCGCTCATATGAGGACAGACACGGCGGCGGCCATCGCGATGGTGGCCGATACGGCGGAGATCGTGACCGACGTACCGGAGGCAACAACGAACCCATCGGCCGACGAGAAGGTGGGTATCGCGAACGGGACCGGGACTACGACAGACCTCGTGATGACGACGGCGGCCGTAAGCGCGGCTTTGACGGTGGTTACGAAGACCCTCGAAAGCTGCGACGCTACTGAGGAATCATCGTCTTGGATGCATGTGGTGGGTTGTCGATCTCATCTTTCAGTCATTAATACATTCCCCTTTTTCACCAAGGGTAAGCATGCCGCTTTAACGACAACCACGAAATCTCAAGCAGTCAGGGATTTCGCTACACGCCTCTGTCCAACTTGGATCCGTCAGTTTCTTTCACTTGTTTCGCTGTTTACTTAACCTACCAAGATATGACATTACCCCGCTCGTCTGCGGTAACAGCTTGTGGTCTATTGTGGTAGGCTTTGGTCGACTCAGTGTACCAGGTAACCCTTATATGTAGTCTATTGCTTTTTCGGGAGTCAGAGGCCAAAAAGAAAATGGAGGATGGTTTGATGGCAATTGGCCATGAAATGTTGTATAGGTAAGGTCAGGGTAAGGACTCCTAACCTGTTGACCCTCTGAATGTTGCCCAAGCCGGTCGAGGCCGACTCTGATGTATCACTTAGGAGTTTTCATATTGAATAATAGTTATAAGAAGCACCAAGTCGCGTGAATGTTTTGAAGTACGTATTGTCATTCAGGGGCGGGCCAATTGGTAAAACATGATGCCCTCCATATCCCATGGCCCTCAACGCCGAGATCCCATAAAAATTTCATGCTGGTATCAGTCATTCAAACAGAAGATGTCAAACCCAACGTCTAGCACCGTTTTATGCCTAGTCATAGGCTCTAATTCTCATCCATAGCATTGGGGTTGACTTCTGTCACCTCAGAGTTGGCAGCGTTCCAGTATCTAGAATATGTTAGTGCAAATCCAAACACAAATTGCCAGTTACCACAGGGTGAGAACTTACGCTAGCACCTTGACCTTGAACTCACTCAAGCACACATCAAAGAGCTTGAGCAATCTTGTCTGTCGCGAATCCAAAACATCTCCCTCCTTGCAGACAACATACTCTTCACCCTGGCCAGACTCGTCACCGAGAACGACTCGGCCCTTGACCATGCGAGTAGGAACACCAAGACGTCGCAGCTCAGGCTCGATGGTGTGGGTGAGAGGAACATCGTGCTCGGCGGGAACCTCACCGGCGGTAGCGTAGACGACACCGGTAGGGATGGAGAAGTCGCGGGTGGCAACGGCGCCGGCGCGGGCAAAGTCGACGGGAGCGAGGTTCTCAAAGTAAGAGAGGATTTCTTCGGCGGGACGGTTGGTCAAGATAAGACCGACGGTACCGGTCAAGTATTTGCTGAGGTTCTCGATTCCAGGAGCGATGGCCTCCTCGGGGGTCTGACCAAGAGCCTTGGCCATGAGCTTAGTCTTGCCAAAGAAGAGACTATCCAGAGTTAGTTCGAAAGCCCGCGATCAAAAGGCACACATTGGGAAGAATTACCGGCAGTCAGCGAGCTCACGTCGCACGTCCTTGAGGTGGTTGTTTCGCATGTTATCAACGCTGAAGACGAAGCAGTTCTGGTACTCGGGGACGGAATCGCGGATGTTCTGAAAGAGCTTGTCCTTGTTCTCGCGCGTCTTCTTCTCGACCTGGGTGAGGTGGACGACCTTTGCGCGCCTGGACTTGGGCATTGTGGCGGTTGTTTTCCTTGGTTATTTACTTGTTTGAAAGATTCTAGAGGGTGCCAAGGCAAAGTTGAGGTTTGTTTGGAAGGTAGTTAGGTTGGTTGTGGTATGAATTGAGATCGAGGTTGAGATATCACCCGCTCAGAGATAGTTCAGGTCGGTCGCTGATAAGATTGTGAAATTTTTTGGTTGTTGAACTAAAAAATTCAAGCGGGCGGGCGGTGGACCCCGCGATTGGTTTACACCGAAACCAGGGTCCAAGCCAATCACTCACCATAGACATACAAATCAAGTAAGTGGTTAGCGAATAAGGCAGGAAAACATAGTAATTCAAAGATTTAGTTTTCTATTCTGATCTAGATGACTGCTTCGACATATAAATAAGATATGCCCATAAAAGTATCATAAGTGTAGGCCCGATAACCGAAGAAGCCCTCTCAACACGGCACAGTCGAGTATTTAGAGAGGACAAAAGCTCCAAGATACATTGTTGATGATGTTTTAAGCTAAGGTTTATCGTAGGAGATTGAGACCTAGATATCCGATTTGAGCCAAAGTATAATGATTACGAATTGACCGCAAACATTCATCGTTGTCGACTTCATTGGTCTATATATATATAATGACTTCAGAGAAAATAGAGTCATTGACTACAACATATTGCATGGCTGTTGTGTGTCAGACATGCAACTTGATCATGTCGCAGTAAGTCTGTTCGAAGCTATCCAGAAAAGGTCATACATATCATACCAACTAAGGCAAAGGACTTAGCTTGCAACACTCTATCTTCAGATCCTGCACCAATTGTTTCCCGTGCAATGCTGCAATGACAGGGTTCAATGCTTGAAGGCTACATGATGGTGACGTGAAGATCCCTGAGAGGCTAGACTAGTGATATAGAGACAACAAGATGCTACGTCAAAAACCCCAAGTGCATCAACAAACAGTCTTGGTCTCGATATGCAATTAAATTGGTCTCGAATGATAACAACCGTTTGCAGAACAGTATTATATGAGACATAGACTTGGCAGTTTCGGGAAAACTATGACACTTGCCGTTCCGAGAATCGCCAAGTTGACCTGTGGTTTGTGGAGGTGGCGCACAGACCAACTTCACAACCTAGAGCTTCGAGCAAATAGCAACAGCGAATGCAGCAAAGCAAACCCAGTGGTTTTTCGAGCCCTCCACAATTGAGTTAACCAAACAACAACCCGAACCTGACCACATCATCATCCCGTTCCGACTTCATCCCATCCATCCATTCGAACCCCCAATTCCAGAGACTCGTTAAGAATTCGAATCTTCTGCCTCTCCTCTCGTACTACATAGTATCCATCAGCAACGGCTACTGTACTTCCCTTTTCAGCTTTGCATCCAAACGTACAGGGTTTCTTTCCTTCGACGTCCCATCTCGTCTCCTCTCGACTCTTCGCCCCTCACGTTTCCACATCGTCGCCGCCTCTAACCTGGGAACTCCCCCGGTTCGTCATCAGAACTTGCCTTTTTCTTCTTGCTTCGACACCACTCAATACTTTAGAGTTTGTTTATCAGTCTTCCGCCGAATACGGTTGCCATCTCGAGCTCATTGCCATCACCGGAGCTTCTCTTTTGACATTTTCACGCTTTTGTTTGTCCTGTACCTGCGACACAGAGAGCTCGCCGGTTGCGCACTCGATCTAGTTTTCCCTCCTCCGTTACACTCGGCATTTCAAACTTCACAACAGCCATCATGGCCTCCAACGGTAACTTCGCCCAACAGGACCAGTTCAAAGAATCTGCCGACCAACAACAAACAGCTCCCACCACTTCCGCCGCCGATGGCTCCACTACAGCCGCCGCCTCTGCTAACAGCAACTTGTCCAAGGATGAGGTTGGCTGGTACTTCGTTGAGCAATACTACACCACCTTGAGCAAGTCGCCTGAGAAGCTCCACGTAAGTTTCTTTGATTTCCTGGCATCCATTGATATTTGCTAACTCAACTGTAGCTCTTCTACGGCAAGCGCTCACAATTCGTCTACGGCCGGGAGGCTGAGCTTGTGAACGTCTCGGTTGGTCGACAGGTGTGTACTCATCATCAAAAAGGTTTCGAATATCTTCTAACCATCATTAGGCTATCCAAGAACGAATCAAGGCTCTCGAATTCCAAGACTGCAAGGTCCGTGTGTCTAACGTTGACTCGCAAGCGTCCGCCGAGAACATTGTCATCCAGGTCATCGGCGAGACTTCGAACAAGGGTGCCGAGCCTAGGAAGTTCGTTCAGACCTTTGTTCTCGCTCAGCAGCCCTCCGGTTACTTTGTCCTGAACGATATCCTCCGATATATCGACGAAGAGACCGAGAACGAGGCTACCGCTGCCACCGAGGAGGCCCCTGAGGAGGCTGCTGCTCCTGCCACCGAGGAGGCTGCTCCTGCCACCGAGGCTGTGGCTGCTGAGCCTGCTGCTCCTGCTGAGGAGACCAAGGAGGAGACTGCGACCCCCTCCCTCGACCCCGAGGTTGTCGACCAGAAGCTCGAGGAGGTTTCTACTTCTAAGGACGGTGTAACTCCTAACGGCAGCACCGCCGAGGCTTCATCCGACGAGGTTAAGGCCCCCGAGACCAAGCCCGAAGCTCCTGCCGAGACTGCGGACGAGGCCGCTAAGGAGCTGGCTGAGGAAGATGTTAAGGAGGCCGAGAAGCCCAAGGACCCCAGCCCTACGCCCGTTTCCAAGCCCGTCGCCGCTCCTCCTGCTGCTCCAGAGAAGCCCGCCGGTCCCCCTAAGCCAATGACCTGGGCCAGCCGAGCTGCCGCCGCTGCTGCTCCTAAACCCGTTTTCCCTCTCGCCAAGTCCCCTACCCCTCCTGTGAACCAGAGCCGTGCTCCTGCTCCTGCCACTTCTGCTCCAACTTCTCAGCCCGCTGCCGCCCCTGTTTCTACTGCTAATGCCCCTGCTACCGAGGCCGCTTCTAAGGAGACAGCTGGATGGCAGACAGCTGGCGGCGATTCTAAGCGACAGAACCGACCTCAGTCTGTGTCCGGACCTCCTGCTAACGAGAAGGAGGGTACTCTTGGATACGTCAAGTTCGTGACAGAGAAAGTCCAGGACGCTGATCTTAAGAACGCTCTTGCTGCTTTCGGCGAGCTCACTTACTTCGACATTAACCGTTCTAAGGTATGTTGACCTTACAATGACTGCGTTACACAAGCTAATTTGATGTAGAACTGTGCCTTCGTTGAATTCAAGACCCCCGAAGGTTACTCAAATGCTTTTGCTGCCAACCCTCACACTGTCAACGGTGAGACCATTCAGCTTGAAGCCCGCCGCCCCAAAACCAACGCCATCGGCGGTAACAACTACGGCGGTCGAGGTCCCGCTCCCGGACGTGGCCGCGGAGGTGCTGATGGTGGTCGATCTGGTGGTCAGGGCTCTCGTGGCAACTTCTCTGGTCAGAACCGTGGCCGAGGTGGTGCTGCTCGCGGTCGCGGTGGTGCCCAGTCTCAGAACGCTTAAGCCCCAGCGATTGGTACATATAATGCAGCAAGTACGAGGTTGGCATAGGGGTCCTTCTCGGTGTTTGTTTGCCAATGGAACAGCATGGTCACTATAGCTTCAAGGTATAGTTACCTCTCTGCGTCTACATGGCATGTCTAAACGACGTCAAAGTCTCATATCAGGGGAAGACAGCGGAAGGCAATTTCAGCAGACAGGTGGCACGGTAAGGGGAGGCGGAGTTCGGTATTCCCTTTTGGAGGAAGGATGGAGTTGGGACTCTGGAGTCAGGATTGTTCGTTTTTCAGTTTCGGTGGTTTGCGCGCTGCATCTGCATCTGATCCTTCCAGCCGGTGATTGGGTTACGCGTTTCAGCGAAAAACGGAGAAAAGGTCCATGGCTGGGAGCTTTGATTTGGCATCATTATTTTCTAATGACCGTGTATATTCTTACAAAAGCGAATGGACGGGGCGATAGAGACTGCGCTCAGATGGGCAGAGGAATATTGATGGGTATCATGAAGAGACAGTGATAGGAGGTCAGGGAAGGGTGTCTAAGCCTAAGATGAAAAGGCTTGACAGGGACCATGTTCTGTACTTTTTACTGTGCAAGTAATGATTAGTACCTTTTGGTTTCTAACGTCCGAGCCAAGCTGCCAGATGAAGCAAGTGAATGCAAAGTTTTCCCACACGAGCGAGTGAAGCCGGTGCTGTCATGCCAAGTAACGTAACATAAGACAAGCCCAGCAAGACCATCTATGGCTTGGCGATGACATACGATATCGATCAATGAAGCCAAACCATAGATGAAATAAGAATCACATCCGAAAATAAGCTTGTTGAGCCTCGTGGGTCAAGACTGTCGGCACTCCTCAAGGTTCTTTTGTAACAGGGAGGGCATTGACAAAAGGTCAAGCGAGTTACTGGGGGACTTTTGAAGACAAAGAGGATACTCAGTTGTAATAGTTATTACACAGTCCCTGTTGGTGAACTGAACTTGCACGTGTGGTCTTGACACTCAGACGCAGATCGGTTGTTCGGGCGTTAGTATCTCCCGACAATATCCAGGTCTAGCCAGAGCAGGGCGTGTTGTTCGTTTTCTTCCGGAGACGCCGTGTATGAGGAAACAAGAATGGTCGTTACCTGTTCGCCCGCTTATTTACTTTACGACCTTCTGAAAGCAGACTGTTTCTCTAATTTAGTCAAAGGGAAAGGGGAAAGCAGCCAATATCATGTGAGCGGTAATCGCTTGAAGTATTGCATGCACGTCCATGGGATGATGTGAGTTTCAGTGCCGAGAGATCCGGGGAGTATATTGGGCGATCAGCGATATATGAGACAGTGGCTGGGGATATCACATTTCTTGTTTGGATTTCTTCAAACGCCGAGAGTAGGTTGCAGCCAAGACGGGAGAGGATCACCACTATGAGCTTAACCCATTGACTTGGACGGCTTGGCTTATGTCCAGGCAAGTCATGTACCTGACGTAAACTTAACTGTATGCTTTATTGAAACTCGAATTGAAGAATGGGGGGTTTCTTTTTTGTCAGGGATAATAGGATTTGCAGTGAGAAGCAGCAATGATCAGCACACAACATGAGTTGTCTTTCCATGGCCCAAGATGCTTACATGCAACTCGGAGGAATAATTACCGTGTGAGATTTGCATGATCGCCTTGGAGCAGTTCGACTACCGACATTGGAAAGTAATCAAATACCCTCCGCTGAGTCGTGCGTATATACATATGATTCACTGAGACTGAACTGAGACTGATTATCTTGATCATCAGTGTCCACTCAACTACGTATTCTCCCCCGCGACACTAATGCACAATGGAGATTGGAATCGGCCCTGCTCTGACTCTTGTGTTTAGCAGTGTATCGTTAGAGAAACTGAATGGACGGTAAGACGGGGAGGTTTCAACGGGGACAGCCCGGAAATGTTGTACCCTACGAATTGTCTTCCAATTAGAGAAGAGGGGGTCTTCAGGCTATTTGTTTTCCCTTTGACTAGGTATTTCACGATAGGTGAATGTGCGATCTTGCAGCAGAATGCCAGTACTGTATGTGCAATGCAAGTCGGTTCAGGAACGCATGATTACCTAGTTGACTACATGTGCATGAAACTTGGAGGGAAGTCATGTCACAATGGCTGACAATGTATAACAGAAACAACACAACACGAAAGATCTATACATAGATGTTGATTATTGGTGGAGCCCAAGAATTCGATCCAAAAAGAGACGCCGAGCAGAGAAGCCTGACCCCAGACACAGGGAGGGGCCCGCTATCAAAGGTGCCAATGGCGGCACCAAAAGTTCCTTTGTTGTGCACAGAGAACACTGAGCAAAGTCTCAAAGAGATGAGGTAAGCAGAAGAGGTACGTATATTCATCTCCCAGGAGTCTGGGTCGCCTGTAATGAACGAATCAAGTGCTGGCTTTGACACTTTTCTGTCGAAACGGTAAAATGGCACTTTTGTCTAGCACCAAGATCCTTTCAACGTATGTATCCGTAGCGTTTGTTGGTTGCAAGTTTTTCCTTTCTGCAAATTGTCATTTTCTCTGCGGCGTTTCGGATTGATGAAATCGAAGCCGAAAAGATCTCGTCTGTTTAAGAACTTTTGTGCGATTGGGCGTGTAACCTGCCAATTGCTTGCAGGACTCGTGCTGCTGTACCGTACTGTACTGCACTCCGTCCGTACTGCAGCGACAAGCTCCGGACATGACAGTCGAGACCCGGCCGAGATGTCAAACGTGGCTTATGTACGTTGTTTTCAACGTAACAAGGGAGGCTTGAACTCTATCGTAGATTTGATTTCCTCTACTACGGTACTGTACTGTATACGGGACTGAACGCGGCAATTGATATCGCCATGGCCAGGACTATAGTCGGGCAATTATAAGGTGTCGAGGCATAAAGTTAATGACAATCAATCATAGTCACTGAAACATATAATTCGAGGTTACAATACAGCGTATATCTGCATTGGTAGTGGATAGAAAGCATCGCGCAACCAAGTATTCGTGTACGCCAAGAAACATTTCTGTCGTTCCTTCCTTGTGCCGATATCCGTTCTGAAGAAGGTACCTACCCGTTCTTTACTAGCGTCGCTGGCTGAGGACGGTGGGGCCGTGTGCTGCAACTTCCTCGTGCGGTTTTGTGGGCTCGTGAGACCCCAGTCGCGCGGGACCTTTTGGAGAGAAGGTGGTCCTTTTGAACCTGCAACATAAGGGTACGCTGCCATTGATTGATTGATGGGCCAGAGAGGTCAAAGGTCAGAGCCAGGCGCAGGCGCAGGCCAGAGCCAAACCCAGGTCCCTTTGAAAGCAAGCCATACCATGTGTCGTGCTGCTTTGCTTTGCTTTACTTGTCTGGGGTCTGCCTTTAACGATCAAGGTGCTCCTTCCCCGACCCATGAGCCAAAGTCACACTCAAAGCCAAGCAATTGAGGAAAGAAGAGGAGAAGCAGAACCCTGGACTTGGCACCACCAACGACATCTCATCTTAGACTCTTCATCAATTTCAACACCCCATATCAAAGACGAGATATAAACATATTTTCCCCTGCAAGACAAAAAGAACGCAGAGCCCTACGCCGAACTCAGCAGGAACCTCCACTCAGACAGGCGAGATCGGCAGTCAGCGCGCGGAAATTCGGCGCATTTGATACTCGCATTCAAAAGTGCAGATCGCATCACAACCGCTCCCACAACCCGGCCGAGACAAGAGGCCAATCAAGACGCTGTCGCATCAGATCCTAAATGTGATTGACCTGATTGTTCGATTTAGGCGAAATCGCTTTCTTCGAAAACATTTCAGTAGCGTCCAATACTGCAGCCTCATCTCGCCACTCTCTTCCGGCGCTCTCAATATCCTTCCCATCCCACACCCTCACGTTTCGACAGCTTCCGCTCCACTCTCATCTGAAATCGTCCTCTAAGCTCGCTTCAACGTGGGCCCCTTTGAAACGGCTGACGTCGCTCTGCGCTGGATTGTGTCGTCTTTGCCCTGACTTTTCGATCCTAGGCCTAGTCACCCAGAACAAAAGAGCCGCCGCATTTCCATTCCCCTTCCATACCCCGTCAAAGCCGGACGGAGGCACGTCTGGTTTGGGCCCTACCGATATCCCGTCAACCCCGTCTTCCAGCTCAGCTCACACCCCCCTCGATCCACGATCCTCATCACGACCCCTGCATGCGACCTTCTTCCACAGATGCTTCTCTTCGTGGATCCGTGCTGACTATTCTGATCCTCTCAACTACCTTCTGTTGGTTCACTCCAGTCTTTTCTTCCAACTCTCTCCACATAACTTCAGAGCGGGTCGGAATGATCAACCTCCTCAGCCTATCGTTCTCTATGGAGACTCCTACGGTCAATGCTCGTTGAGATTCACGCCCCTAGAGCAGAGAGTCACCTCGTGCGCCCTTCCCGTTCCGTAACGGCCGGTCGTGGGCCCTCTCCGACTTCATATAAGTCCCGTCTCCCTCCAATGGACCTCCGCAGGGTCACGGCCGAGGACGATGGATCATCCACGATCACTCCCAACTCGCCGCCCCTCAGGCGGCGTGTCTCGATGGAGGAGGACCTTCACTACCAGCGTGTTATGACGAACCAGCCTCGACCCTCCCAGCCGCCTCCGTACCAGCAAGAGCGAGATCCACCGTCAACGTCGAACGTCTCACAGCATGGAGATCTTTTGGGGAAGGGGAAGGAGCTCACGACTGGCGGGGGCGGCGAAACTCAACTTCATCCAGATACAGGAAAAGAAAAACTTCCCGACTACAAGAACTCAATATGCTTGGAAGGCGTCTTTGATAAGAAACACGAAATCGAAAATCTGATAAAGAGAGCCGAAGATCGACAATGGTATCCCGTATATGTCTGCCTGAATGGCACCGCGCTCAACATCTATGGTACCAAGAAGGCTTGGAAATGGGGTCGGACACGCGACGATGGACCGTCCGTCAACCCTGACAACCCTCCATGGGTAAAGAAGGGTAAGCTTGAGAAGACGTATAGTCTCTTATATGCGGATGTTGGTATCGCCGCCGACTATAAGAAGTAAGCTTTCCAGTCTGATAACTACGAGGTGTGGGGCATCAGTTGCTAATATCATCAAGGCGACGATATACCATCCGCGTTCGAGCCGAAACCGATCAATTTCTCTTGTGCTGCGTGGAACTGAGCACGTTCAACAAATGGCTCGAGGGCATGTTCGCAGCCATCGATATCGCCCTACCCTTGGAAGACCGAGACTTTCCCCGCGATATGTCTATACCACGAATACAACGAATTCGCTGGTTTCACGGCCAATCCCCTACCGCCACAGCCATCGACTTGTCGGAGCTAGGTATTGAAGGAGGCTCTGAAGAAATATCAGCGACAACAAGTGAGAGTCGTTCATCTGCGCCGCCTTTGCCATTGGCACCAGAATCCCAAACCCGTCTTGAACCTGAAATTCAGGTTGAAGGTGATGAAGAAGAGGTGACAGAGCCTCCTCCACGGATAGACCTTGCCCGCCGGCTTAGCACAACGTCATATAACAATATGGGTATTGACCCTGTCGACGGAAAATGGATACCAGAACATCAGTGGTCGACTGCTCATGACCTGCTGTATGCCAAGCTGTGTTATAGCAACCTACTTTTCCGAAGTCCCCGCAAGACGCCATACATCATCAACAAGGGCAAAAAGTTCTATGTTGATTGGACGACTGGCCGTATGGTCAGGGTCCTACCGCCAGCCTATGGTGAGATCGACTACTTTGGTGCTTGGCAAACGGTTCATACCGAAAATAGACTCATCTAAAGTCTTGGCCCTACGGATATATGATATAAACGTCTTACTATTCCTCCATGACACTACTTATTACCGAGACGCCCATCATCCCCTCATCCTCTTACAGACAGCACCACCAGGACCAGACATATCCCATCTGATATCATATAACCTTACCTTCAATGGTTTATCCTATACTATATACAATCTAGACCATCCATTACATGGATTCACATACGAACACGGAGGGCCTGTACCTCGTATCTTGTCTTTTTACGACCGTACATATGTACTTTGCATATCTGGCGCAGGAAAGGCTACGAATTGCATCAGTCAATGGTGACGATTGCTTACGATCATGGAACGGAGTTTACATTTGGTTTGTTGTGTACTGGTTAGACAAGCTCTTTGGGGCTTCCTGTGGAGAGGCGTATTGCACGGTGGTCCATAAGGACACCATTAGCCCGACTCATTTCTTGCATATATACATAGCCTGCGAAAGCAGGCTCTCACATATAAGTTCATACATATACGTTTTACGAGCGGTGTCGCCTCTAAATAGAAGCATTTGCATGAGAATTATACGAATGATAACCACTGTGAACTGTGTGATCGTTGGTGAACATTGCTTCATAAATGCTTATATACAAGACAATGGCTGGTATCATACCCCTACAATAGAAATGCCCGCTCCTTAACTCCAAGATTGATATGACTTGGCTTTAAACAGCCTTTTCGCCTATACTTTTACCCCTCATGTTGTTGCTCCAGGCTGTCCTTGCCCACCACCACTCGCAGCATCAACCGCCGCAATTCCCTGTCTCGTCTCGGCAGCAACATCGTCTACAATAGGGCGCAGCGCATCATTTGCGCCCTGAACGTCGGCAACGACAGCCTCAAGGGCATCCAACAGCGCTCGGATTTCCTCTCTCTGGCGCTGCACTTCGTCGTGTAATAGGGCGTTTTGCGATTGTGTCGTTTGCAGGCGTGCATTGAGTTGCGATTGGTGAGCTGTGAGTGTAGGTGAGAGATGGGCTGCGAGGATGGTTGATGGAGGGAGCATATGTGGTCTATGTTTGTTTTAGCATAGAAACAATGTAGAGTCGAGAGGGGGACGTACGGTGTCGGTGGTTCTGTGGTTGATTCTGCGCGCCGATGCGAAGCATCGCTAATGAGACTCTCGAGATCGTTCAGCTTGGGAACGACCTGTCTCGAAACCATAATATTCTCAAATTCTTTCTGTAGCACCATCATGTCAGCATGTCTTTAAACTCGTCAATCCTTTGCACGTACTTCGCACTTCTCGCCCAGCTTGTCTACCATCTGTCCCTGAACCTGTTTCAGCACACCCTCTGCCCTCTTCGCAACAGTTGGATAGCACCCGGCGACATTTTCCCATCCAATCTTTCCCAAGGTCTTTTTTAGCGATCGGGCATAGAGCTCTTGGAGACGCGCAGCTCGGGGACCGGGGGATACGGCTGTATGGCGTTGGGGAAGGGGAGGGCTCGCTGGTGGTTCTTGTTCGGTTTGTTGCTCTGTGCCTTCTTGTTGTTGCTGGGGTGCCTCTTGGGCCGCCTCGGCTTGTGCGGGAGGTTCGGCTTGCGGTTCGGGTGCCATTGGTACGGAGGCTTGTGGAATAAGTGGTGATGTTGGAGATTCTAGTCTTGGTGGTTGACGCGACGGGTTGACGCGTGGGGTAAATTATTACATCAATTTAGCACGTGCTACCTATTCAGTCACACCGGAACATAAAGCATTTGGTTCTTATAATGTATGAAAACCAGAATCAATCTGGCTGTTTACAATCAGAAAGTCTATATGCGTCTATGAAATTGGCTTGTCAAAGCCAGTTGTATGCCGTGTATGTTATGTATATATATACATCCCTAACCAATTCCATCATGGTCAAGGCTCTCATTCATCAGCCCCTGCAACTCCCTCAGAGTTACCATGATAGCCTTCCTTTTGTGACAAGAGCCCGTTTTACTCTTCAAGTATAAGATCTATAGGGGTATCGGTTATAAAAAGTCCCAAGGAAAAGTGTTTGTCGCATGTGCGGTGTAATTCTCGCCTCCACAGTTCTTCTTCTCTCTCGTACACCTACTTAGTTGGCGGCCAGAATCGCTGCTGCATCAGCATCTATCGTGCGATCCTGTTTTCCGCCGTTCCGTCTCTTTTCTTCCTCCTCTTTCTTAATGCGATCCACTTCTCTCTGTCGTTCGTGGCTCACGTATGTGGCATATCTTAGGGTTCCCAGAGTTAGGACTGCCATGAAGAGTATGCCCAGGACAGAGCGACGGATGAGAATCCAGCGCACAGCCTCAATCTCAGACTTTGCATCGCTACTAAGAACAATGCTGATTTTGTAATTGATTTGTTGGACCTGAAAGAGATTGTCAGTGAACTAGTCCCGCCGATATCGGAAAGGGGATTCTTACAGCACTCTCGACGACTTTCTGCTCTTCTCTGACAGCCATCTTTCGATCGTTGAACGAGCCTCGCACATTGTCGTTCAACGTGTGAAGCTCCTGGTTCAGTGACTGTGCCAAAATATCGACTTCGTGCTGCAGGTGTGTACGCTGTTGTCGTAATTGTTCTTCTTCGAGTCTTCGGTTGTTTTTTATCTCGGTGCTTAATTCTGAACAGGCTGCCGTAAAGAGATACGTTTCCTGGTGAGCATGGTTAGCTCTCATACCATGTTGGCTCGTTATAATAAGGTCATCTCACATTTTCAACATCGCTCTTGCTGACCAGAGTAGATTGCGCAATCTCCAAATTCTCTGCAAGCAATGTTCGAATGGCCTTCATTGACGTTGTAGCTTGCTCCTGCGAATAACCCCCTTCCTGCAAGTGCTTTACAAGCGAGTAGCTGTCGAAATGGTGCACGTAGGGTGGCGGGCACATGGCCGGACCAGGCCTTGTTGTCGTCGTCTTGGTCTTCGTCTCGGGTGGTTGCATATGTAGGACGGCCTCTAGGGGCCCGCTCTGCTTGGCTTCTTCTCGAGCCATTCTGGCTTGTTCTTCCTTAGATGTCTCATTTTCCTTTTCCTTATCAACCTCGGGTTTACTATTCGTCGATACCGAGGCTTGCTGTGTCTCGTTTGTCGAGACTGATTTATCGGGCGTGGACTGCGAGTCCTCTTGCGTTGTTGTCTCGGGCTCGGGGCGTGTAGCGATATCGCTGATAAGAGGGTGCGAGGCATTAAGTTTCAGTTCGGTATCTGCTTTTAGAGGTTGAGGCTCGATTGCCTTCCCTCTCCTTCGTGCAAAAGTGCCCCTATGCCTGGCAAACCCGGCTGCAGAACGAGGCGTCACGCGTATTCCACGTAACACCTGGGGGCTCAAGAAGGTCAATCGGGCGGCGGCCGTCATGTCGGTAACGTTGAAGAAAGAGTACAGACAGTATGGATGGATGAATGGATAGGTATAGGTAGGCGTCGGTCGGCGATGACTACCGAGTCTCGAATGGTTCAATCATGAAAACAAATATCTACCGTCTTGTTGTTCTTGGTCAAAGGAAAGTTGCTAAGTTAATTTAATTAAGATAAGAATATCGGAGCGGGAATCGGGATTGCCCTCGCCTGGCCCTGAGTGACCTGGCATTTGGCTTGGCAGTCTTAGTCCTGACTTCTCCCATCTGCACTGCACGTGGCGGCGTCATAGCTATCGCCCAAATCAGTTAGCTTCAAGGATTACTAGGGTCCCCTTATCCCTTAACTACCGATGTTAGCCGCAGGGGTAATTGACCATACATATCACAGCAATAGCAAGCATAGTTATAGAGTATGGAGCAATAAACTTGATATACAAATGCTAAAACCGCTACTCGGTCGCTTTGTCTGTGGTTATCTAGCTAGTTAAGAGTTCCAGACTGTTCATCATTTTCCAGTCGATTGAATGTATTTCCCTTCCCTCAACTCCTACTCCTTTTAGTCAATGCCGTGGCCCCCAACTCGAACAAATGATCACTTTGACTCAACAGTCATAAAGTGACCCCATTCCATCTGTATGTAGGTAGGCATCTCCGTTCATGATCCCAGTACAAGCCTGACCATGGTCCAGTGAGTCCAAAACCATAAGCAAGACATAACAAGAAAAAAAAGACATAAAAAGACAACCCAAATCATGAACCCGTCCCCCATTAGAAAACACCTGTCGCCTTCGTAAGTTTTCCGTTGTAACGAGCGGTTTATATCCGTCCAGTCGTTCGCTGTAAGTACCACCCCAGCCCCTGGTTGTATTAAACGCTTTGGACGATGGTATATGTCCATGAACAGGTACCCGAGCTGTTCTCAAGCTCGTAGTACTCTCAGTTTGTAGTGGTGTATCCCAAGACTTCCCGATCTATTTGTAATACAAGGTGCAGTGCAAGTGCGTCCAGACATGAGCGATTCCGTTACCGCTGTACATGAGTGATGCACAACTAGTCCTCATCATCATGGACTCGCAGGGTTTCCTCGGTGCCCTTTGTGTTGGCAGATGGAACCTCGATGGCGCTAGTGTTGGCGCTTGGAAGACTGTCGCTCTGAGGACTGTTGGTTTCGTTGGTCAACATCGGAGTTGGTCCGGCTGAGTCGACTTCGACCTGGAGGCCGTTCCTGGTAGTGACAACCCTCTCGTTCTCTTCTCTCTCTTCTCTCTCCGTGTCATCCTTGAAAACGTCGTCGATTGACTTTAAGCATCTCGTGTTCGAGCCTGACGTCTTGGTTCTGTGGTATTCACGAACGACGTCTGCTTTGAACTGCTTTCGCTCTTCAGTTCCCCACTCGAGGTGCTTGAGCATACTCGCTGTCTTGTGTTAGTCGCTTACTTGAGAACCACTGACGATAGAGATACTTACCAATCACGTAATTTCCGTACGGGTCCTTTAGCGTAAGATACAGCGTGTCCTGTGTATCACTTGAACAAATTTGTTGAATGATCCGAGTACGTTGTGCAGGCGAACCAAATTCGATGCATTTCTCAACCACATGGGATGCAAGCTTGTTCCTGCAGAATTCTGAGAGCTTCTTCATGATCAGTTCGAAGATGGGGTCCCGATCCTCAGGGCCTCTGTGTTCGATGATGTGTCCAGCGACGTAGTTTCCCCAAGGATCGGTAATGAGTTTGTCCATGAATTGGTGGAGCTGTTTCAGAAGTATTCTCTTGTCTGTCTCCTCCGCCCTCTCGAGCACTCGCTGCACAACCCGGCAACTGTGCATATCCATTGAAAGCTCTCTCGCGTTGTTCTGGCAAAATTCGGTAATGAACTTGAACGTGTCAGGGGGCATGGTTGCGACAGTCTTTTGGATAACGTGGTTTCCTTGTGTGTCTTGCATGAGCTCTTTGAGCTGTGCGGGGTTCCTGATCTCTTTGAGAAGTTCAGCAACCTGGTCGACGAGGCAGCCTTCCACAATCTTCTGCACCACACGGCAGCCGAAGGTATTTCTGGACAGTGTAAGCACATGTGTCTTCGCTGCCTCGACCACACGCGCTTTCTGGGCCTGGCTACCATGCTCAATCAACTTTTGGATGACATAGTTTCCGTACACATCCATCATTAAAGGAACCATGTTCGGACCAATCTCGTCAAAGATTACGTCCTTCTCGTCGCTCCTTGCAGTTGACAGTTTGTTCTGGATGAACCTTGACGCGTCTTGCTCTCCACTGGCCTCGACAACATGGCCGAATACGGCGCTTATGCCGAGGCTTTGTTTCCTTTCGTGGTTTTTCAGAGACTCGCAGAAGGTTGTCAGCCATGGTGACTTGTTTGAGGTCTGGGTTCGGTGAACGTTCGGCGCTGTATGCTCATAGCCGCCCGGCTGAGAAGGATGTGGGAGTGTGGCGGGCCCGCGGGTGTTATACAACTCAGCATTATTAAATGCAGCGAGCTGACTGGTATACTGGGCCATTTGTTGCTGTATGTCATAAGGCGAAATTGAGAAGTGTTGTGGGAGAGCCTGGGGCAGGTTGAGTGCACGGCGGTCACTTCCGTGCGGCCGAAAGCTAGAATCCGCAGAAGCCCATGCACTTGAGCCGGGTGTGAAGGGGGCGTAGTTAACGCCTTGCTCCGGACGGCTTGGGGTGAAGCGGTTCGATGAAGAAGAATAGGCATGGCTAGCACGGCCTGCATTTGCCAAATCGATGCTGTTACTGCTGGCATGATTCCTGGCATTGTGATCATTCCAAGTTCGAGAAGTGGGGTTGAACTGGAACTCATTGGTGCCAGGGGGGAAATACTGGCTCGTTGGTCGTGTCCGTTCGTCCAGACCTATGCTGTTGTTGTTGGAAGTGAAGGCATTCTGGTTAGTAGCCTGGTGGTTCGCAATTTGGTTCTGGTTCTGACTCTGGTATGGCATTGAGTAGTTGCTCATCCGCTGAGAGTGCGCAGAATTGCTTGGGGTGTGGGCAAAGGGCGGCGACGATCGAGAGGGTGTAGCTTGTGTAAGGTTGAGATTGTTCATCGAATTTGCAAGGTGCTCGGCGTTTCCACGAGCAAGACCGTACGCAAGAGGGAAGAGATCCGAAACGTCGTTTGTTCGCGGCTGACGAAATGCACTGTTTATCGCATCCATTTGGTTGTTTTCGCCTCCAGCTCTTGTTCGATTCGGAGATGAGCTGGGTGATCGAGAACCAGTAGGCCACGCGGCACTGCTCGGTGGGTTGCGATTGAAGGAACCATTTGGTCGGTCGCCGTTTTCTGAAGTTCCGGTGTAAGCATGTGTTTCTCGGCCAGGAGAGATATATGGCATTGCCGTACCTCGAGTAGGGGTGTTGTTCCAGATACCACTGCTGTGGTCTGTGAAAGGCATGGCAGCGGAGTGATGATTGCTCTGAGGGAAAGTGCGTCCCAGCGTCCTGCGCTATAATGAATAATATTAGTATGTTCGTAGTAAGGTCAGAAATAATGATTTGAACAGAATGTTTTGAAGCTGTGTGGTTTGTATGGGGTTTGGTTTGGAGTGCATAAGTTAAGTTAAGGTATAAATAAGGCAGGGGCCAACAAAGCCATTGTCATTTTTTTTTTAACCAGGTTCAGTGCAGGTGCAGTCCAGAATTGGTAGGGAGGGAAGGTGGCAGCAAGTCAACTCCGGGCGTGTACTCAACACTAAGCCCAGACAGACTAGAGCTTGACTCTGACATTGACTGGCTCTTGCTCTAACTCTGATGCATTTGGTCGAGACTTCCATTGTCTACAGCACACGAGCATCTCTGACGTCGCACTCCCTGGACCAGGTGAAGCGAGGCCGACCGGCCAGACAAAGATGGGGAAGGGAGGCAGAGCAGGGAGGGGAGGGGAGGGGACGAGGGAGAGACCGCCAGGGTATCAGAAAATAAGTTAGACACTCCATGCCAGCTTAGACTAGCATGTAGGCTATTTTATTTTGGTACTCCAGGCCTTGAAGATATCGCTAACAGCCCGGCCTACTAAGCTACCACCCACCTAAGGTTGGTCGCTTGGAAGGCAATCGCGGGGTAGATTTGTACTGAGAATAGAACGAGAAGGGCAGGGTAGTGCAGAATAGAATAGAACGTACGTTGAGGCTTGGTTCACTGACGTCTTCAGGTTTTCTCGTCATCCTGAATGTCGATGATTTTTGGATGACGACTGGAAATGTGTTTAAACTTTGAAACGTGTCGTCTGGGCTGCTGGTTAATGCTGTCCAGGGTTTGTGTAGAGTATGTTTAAGAATGTAACAGGATCCTTGATAGTATGGAGTTATGTCCAGGGGCGGTAAAGATCTGTACAGTTCAAATCGGGGCAGTAGGGCCAAGTCGGATATAAATAGTCGAAGAAAAAAATTAAACTTCTTTTAATTCTTTTCTTTTTGTCGTCGGTACGCAGAGTTCAAGAACAAACTCTAGGTAAGACGTCTGTCGAAAAGGTTGAAGTTATCAGTGTCGTTTATTTTTTGGTCTTTTGTGCGGGTATATTGTAAAGTTTGTTCGGTAACAAGACGAAAACCCAAAACGTGATGGGAAAGTAAAGGCAAATTAAGGTATTAAGAGTTTGTTGGACGAATGAAAGGTTGAAGTGAGGTCAAGGTTAAGTGTCAAGAAGAAAATGTAATAAGAGAGAGCAAGGAGAGAGACAGCTCGAGATACGCGGGCGTAGAGCGGTTTTACATGAAATGTCGTCTCCCGCGAGTCTTGGCTAGGTTGCCTTGTCCTTTCTGGATAGGATCAAGGGCAAAGGGCAGACCTGAGGTCGTACGCCGGCGTCGGAATGTACGGGCCTGAGTGAGTTTAGTTGAGTTGAACCGAGTTGGTGAGAGGTGAGAAGTGAGAACCAACCGGCTTTGGTGTTCCTCGATCCTCCTTGAACGAAGGGGAAAAGGGAGAGGGAGGGTGAGGGTCCTTGTGTACTGTACTCTGCTGTATGGTACGGTGAGTATAGGATAGGAATGATGGGGAATGACGGCCGAGACAAGCGTACCTCTCTCTGTATCTGTAGACCCTGTCTGATTATAGACAGTATATTGATTGTGGAGTAGGGAGGATAGGGAGGATAGGGAATTGTGTAAAGAAGGCTGTAGACTACTAAGCTAGTTTTTGAGCCGTCTTTATGAGCAGGGAGGATAGGATATGATGATCGTATACAGGATAGCTTTCCTATACTATGCTGCGGGTGAAATGGCGATCAGGGAGGTGTACGGTTGCTCAATACCTAGCAAATGAAATGAGTTTCATACACTTAATAGCAGTGTCAATAGACGTGATGGTAATACCTCAGTAGCCTACGGTTAGATCGTATACTTGAGTGTTTTTGGGCTCAGTCGTGCTTGATTAATTCTTGTACTGTACGGAGAACTTGTCCTGCGAATAACTTGCCATGATAGAAGGAGAAAACAAAAGACTTGGATTCAGAGGAAGAGCTGGATTTTATACTCGTCAATGGCCCAGATCATATTAGTTTGTTGACCGTCAATTATCACGATGCTCGGCTCAAAACCATCAACGTCCAAGCCATCTGCCAGCCATTTGAACGATACCATGTAGGTTGATTGGGAGATCTGTTTTACACATCGTCATGGACAGCGCCATTCTTCACTGTTGTCGGTGTATCGTCCAAACGGCCCGTCTGTTAGAGCGTCATGTATTATCTTGAAGACATTCTGTCGGGTTTGTACAAGGCAACCTATCAGCCGCTTTTTTGACATACAACCAGTTCACCGTTGTGTCAAATCTTCTTGTCCATTGTTCAACCCGAGGCCGGGCTGTAACCGCACATGAACAGCGTCAGTGTTTGGCTGGTTGGCCGCTATCTCTTGTGTTGCCTCGCTACTTGGTACAATGAGGGGGGCTTGCATCTCCCGAATGTCGTACAAGCTGTCTTTTTGCTTTGCTTTGCTTTGCTTTGCTTTGCTTTGCTTTGCTTTGCTACTATGTATCGTGATGGTAACAATGAGTTGAGTACCCTGAAGAAGCATTTCCTCATCTCCGTCACCTACATCAATAGTATTTCATTCTTTCACCACTCGACGTGAATATGGTCTGATGATGATAGCAACCTTCTGTCACTTCTCCTGCGACCGTTTAGTATTGATAGGATAGGATGGGCTGCTGGTTGCTATCTGTTGACTATTCAAGCCTCAAGGTTCCGGCTAGAATAGCAGACGCTCCGATTAGAAGCCAAGGCGGGCGGCCCCTTGGCTAAACCCAGATGGTTCTAACAGGCCGGAACGCCAGTCCCAAATGGGTTAAGGTTTACCATCACCCGCATAAACACATCCTAATCAGGGAGGAAGCTTTTATAGAGCTCCAGAGCTTCTCATAGATTCTCTCGTCAAAGCTTCCCCCCTGTGCCAATAATAACCCTTTATATGGGCAATGGTTCATCAATTACAAGTCAAGTCTCCTTTATGCACGTGTGATCCAGTATACAATGCGTCACACAATCACCACATGACAGCTACCTACAAAGTATGTAGAAAAGGACATGGTTCATGGAACATTGCATCAAGGTTCAAGCCGAGCATAGACCAGACTGTAAACATAGGGTATGTACATATGTGTGTAACGATGCGGTGAGATCCATATCGAATTTCACGACAACTCGGGACGGCAACTAGCTTGTCCAATACTAATAGAACAAGACATCAGATTGTCTCTCTCTGACTCGCTTCTTCGGCTGTTGACCCTGCCATATACCTACCTGGTAATTATAATTAAGGGTCCGAAGCAGTGACCTCCTTTCTCTCGTTAATATTCGCTTTTCCTGCAGACCCAGAGACCCTATTAAATGACCCGCTGTTGAGTAGAATTTACGATGCACGTCCCTGACTTGTCTCAACAGACTCAAAAAAGCAAAAGGGTCCGAGACGAGATGATTTGACAGACGGACAGATAGACCAAAGGCCCGAGCAACCATCCGGGGAAAGCTTGTAGTGGTCATCTATCAACCTGAAGTTGCGCCAGTGCAGCCTCAATATTCCATACTTCATATCACGCACCAAGCATCATTGAGTAGAGTAAATGTTATCATGTGAAGGCAAACAGCCTCCCGGTCACCGAGAAAAATCCCAACCGATAAGAAAAGTCAGGATTGACTCATAGCTCCTGGATGTAAGGGATAGTTTGTATCAAAGCAATCGTGGGCCCTTCTCAGTGGTGCAACGTCCCTTGAAGTTGAGCTGAAGTGGACTGGAATTGGAGTATATTATCATCACGAGTTCTTCCCGTGGCGAATATGCGACGGTAATCATTCTGTTTGAACACATGTAGGTTTAATGAATTCTACTCACTTCTCTTCTCCTCTTTAGTAAGTTTCCTGCCGCCAGCACATGAGCATGACGCATCTGTCCCAATGACCACATAGACCTCGATGTGTCCAAAGATTATCTCTTGTCGTTGGCTCGTTGGCACACCATTTTTTGCTTTGATGCCGACATGTCTCACCTCATGTTCTGGGCACCTGGTGATGGCCTCAGCACTGCATTCCGTCAAATAAGCATACCTGTACGGGACATGTCTTCCCTTTCATATGACCAGGCAACCGCCCCTCTTACTCGAGACTGATGAACAGACCATGAGTTTTCAGATGATAGGATTGGTCAATGCGTCGTCCCTACTCATGCTGTAAGTGGTGACGACTGTGGTGTCCATGAAATTTCTCCGTGCTGAAATCTCAGTCAGAACTGTCAAGGGTGATATGTATTGTTCAATGCGAACTTCTACCAACAGTGAAACCATCGTTGTAGAAGACTGTCCAGTTGACCTCCGATAAGATACTTGGTAAATGACAGTGTCTGCGCTACGGCTTTGGCACAATAGCCCTCTTGTAGCCAGAACTTCTGGAACCCATCGATTATGGTATGCAGGTTCTGGTATAACCCGTCTGTGGATCTGGCAACTTCTTCCCGGGGCCAACCCACAGAGCCTTAAGATCGAGAGAATAGTCTCAGATGGTAACTTACCCGGCCCCTAGCGAAGAAGCTAACAGAGTCAAGCAGTGAGGCTGTCCGGACGATTTAAATTGCCCGCCCTCATTGGCCCTTTTTGAACGTGACGACTCTGGCAGAGGAGGATGCCGCACAGCTATTGATTGCCAGGTCAGTAACAGAAGAAATGCCCTCTAATGCTTAGGCTACTAGAATAAAGTAGCCTAAGTGCTAATCTAAGCTGACATAAAATGACTAAATTATTTCGTCTTTTATGGTCTTCGCGGCCAACTCTTCTGATGTCCTGAGGATTGCATCTGTCTGGGTAGACTGATTCAAGGCAGATTCCTTCCTGCAATATCACTCGGAAAGAAAATGTATTTGCTTATGGCATCAGGGTACTGGGATGACGTTGCCACTGCGCGGTATTGTTTTGTTTACTTAGAATAAGTAGGTGATTTTATTCAGCTGACTAGACCGAGTCGAATGTCAGGATGAGTGATTCCGAACTTCCGAAGACCCAGTCGTGACAGTCCAAGCTTTTGAGGTAAAATGACAAGTCCGCGAGAAAGGGGAGTCGCCTATATGTCTCCTGATCGAGTCAAATATCGTTGATAAAAAGCGCAGTTATTAGGAACACGCTAAATGAAGCCGGATGAGCGACTAAGGAGACGAAATAATACAAGGAACGACCGATTGCGTGCCCGTCCTCACACCAAGCATGGATCAAGCTTGTAGTCAAAGACATGGACCGCAACTTTACCTTTTCCGATCGTCTACCTAGACCAGGAATAGAAGCAGTGCATCGTCGAACGCGTGTGCTGCATGCTTATGTCCGTGTCCATCCAAGATCGATTTCTTTCTTGCTTTCTGTTTGAAGCAGGGACGGACGAACAAAAGAAGGGCGGACGTCTGGATAGCATCACCAGGCGCATCCGGCTAAGGCGTTTCGCTTTCATTCGAGGTAATCCGGGGTCTCAATCCCCAAGTTGCTTTTTCATCTTCGCAAGCGTCGTGGCGCCGACTTAGCTTGTGTTGGTCTTGGAGACTTGTCCCTTTTTATGTGATAACCGTTCGTACCTTGCATTGGCGTCGAAATTTGGAGCCCTTCTGCTTGCCTCGCCACAGTCGCGTGGATTCCTAGGCCCTTTTCAGTCCTGTTTAAGATGAGCACAAAGAAATTCGGTCCAATCCAAGTAGCAACCTCGACTCGTTATCGATAAAGGCCTCTGTTACAGTTGACCTGGTTCTTTGTTGTCGTTGTCTTCGTCCAGTGAGAAGACTAGACCCATGGCTTGGCAGGGGAAGCGGGGATGACAGTAACGGTCCGGACCAATCAAGCGCGCGCCTACAGGGGACATGTGAGTGCTGAAGGCAACGAATCCCAGTGAGTATCCAGTCTGTGAAAAAAGCCAAGTTGACCAACGGGTCAGCGGACAAGGAAGAGAGAGGAGAGGAGCAGAGGGCAAGAATCTAGAGCCAACACTGTTTTCCATCTCCTGTCCAAAGTGACATTGAATGCTCGAAGCGGGACTCTAGCGACATGTCTTATTGGTTGTTCCTGCTCAGCCGACTGCGGTGAGGCCCCGCTCCTTCTACCTTCACAAGGAAAGTGCCCCCCAAGCTCACCAGAGAAGGTGCCCCTGCACAACCACCATCGGTTGGATTAGCGGCCAATTGCAGCGACTGTGCCCCTGGAGGAACCAAGGAAACAGTGGCCCTAGTGCCTGTCCAGCGCCTTTTCGGCGCCTAGTGCCCTTGCATCCTGGCTCGGTCATTTCGCTCCCCTGTCGATATGGCATGGAATGATCAACTCTCCCCCCAGCTAAAACCGTTCGTTCCTCTCTCCCGCTTTGTTTCTTTTTCTTTTCCAACCCCAATCCTCGCGGGCCAGTTTTTGTGAATATCGTCTACGGCATCGTTTTGTACTGTACATCTCGTTCTCAGCACTTTCTTGGATCTTCAGCTTCACTCTTTCAGCTGATATCCGTCCGGTCTTTCCAACCCCCTCTATCCCTTCGTTCTACCCACTATCTAGGCCCTTAACCAGCCACCTTGGTTTCGATTCCCGCCAGGCATTCACCAACCGAACTATTGGCGATATCCTCTCCCTGGCGTACGTTTTCTGTCCCATCTGACCCTCCACCTGCCACCTCCATTTCTCGAGTTCCTGTGCGTTTGGGTCGGCCGTTGGTTTCTGCAGCACACGTCATGGCATGCATTGAATTGGTGGCATCGCCGTGACCTCGAATTGGTCAAATGTCGACCGTCACCGTCGATGGGCTCTTCCGGCCTTGATACGGAATGGCGGTTGGCTACAATATTGGAGCCTGCGTTGCAGATAGACTTGACGACCGCCACAGAACGACTCAATCGCTTTCCCCGGTGGCAGCGGTTCTTTTGCTACGACATAGTTCGCTAACATTGTGATGAATAGACGTAATCGGCCTGACATTCGTTCTCTTTGTACACGGAGCATTCATCGTTATCACGAACTCAGAACACTCGTTGCTGTACCCACGTAGCACTCAACCTTAAAACTTTATTCACAATGCCTTCAATTCTCAACCTCGTTACCCGATCCGACATGCCTGTGGATTCTGATGGCTCAGACGACAGCATGATCAACCTGATGCTTGGCCTTCTCGGCCTTGTCTTCCTCGGTCTCATTTTGGTTGCCATCCTCTTCCTCTTCCGCCGCGCTCGTCTCCAGAAGCAGCAGCAGATCAAGTCCGAGGAGGACGGCCTGCCTTCATACTACGATAGCGACAGCAAGCGCTTTGCCAACCACCGCGGCCTCACCATCGAGACAACACACAACGGTCGCTCCAGTGTTTTCGTCATCAACCAGGACGGTCGCCCTATGCTTGCCAACCCCAACTCTCCTCCCTACTCCCCCGACAACGTCCCGGAGATCCACATCACCTTCCCCGATGAACAGGACGACCAAGGCCGACAGCAGAACGGCCGCGTCCTTGTTGTCCGTGTTGGCGACAATTCGGCTGTTGGTCTGGAGCCCATGAACGACGAGCAGCTCCCTGCTTACGAGAAGGAGGCTAAGGGTCAATTCTACTCGATCGACATGGACCATATTGGCGGTCTTAAGGAGAAGGACCGTACTCAATTCCAATAAAGAGATGCATTCCTCTTGATTCTCTTTCTTTTCGAACGTCGCCGGCGATGCATCTTTGACCCGTCTGGGCGACCTTGTCACGACAAAGCTTTGAATACGATTCTTCTTTTTGGGATCTTTCATCCCACACCAAAACTAGCGAACTAACCCGCCTTTCATGGCTCGACCTTGCCATCCAGCAACCGGAGAGTCAACGGCACTTTTCATGACCCGTTACTATATACCCGTTTACGCTGCGGTCTAATATTCGCGATGCTACCTATCAGTGGCCATCCCTCCCCCATATACTTTTGCATATCTCGATTTCCCTTTAGCCGACTTGTCCAGTCACGACAACACTGCCATGGTCCAAGGTCTTAGAGAAGGGTTTAATGAGTTATTGGAAAGAGTCGGAGAGGGGTGGCAGTGCACCTCAAGGAGAGGCCTTGGATCACTCTGGCAGTTGATGGGTAACATGGGCCAAAGCAAAACACTACATTTAGCAATTCTCATATTCCATGGGGTTGAGCCTTGGGACACAATACATGGCGCACCTTGGAGTAGCAACCCTCTATATCTATATCTATCTCTAACTTAAGTCTAGTTGATAGTCCATAGTGTATAATTTCTTATCCTACTATATCCTCTGATCCTTTGATATTGCAGTGACTGGATCCGTTGAAATTGCAAGCCATGTAGGCTTACGTCTTGAAAAGGGAGGTTGGATTGGCATTTAGCCGTATCGTAATACGACACCACTCCATTCGTAGGGTTGCCTTTTTCATCGAGTGTTTCAATCAATAGGCCTATTGATTGGTCGTTTCATAAGCAGGGAGTCTTCTGGTCCTTGGCAGCAATCCCGTTGTTTCAATGGTATCGGGCTGGATATATTCAAGTCATGAGTAGCAGACATAACACTGAAAAGACTAACAACTTGGGCAATTTCGGCATCGTCGTCTTTCTCGCTATCACAAATAAATCGCAAGGTTAGAGAATGAGGCTGGTCTAGCCGATTCAACATTCACTTAACGAAATGGCACTCATTTATAGTATTGGCAAAGGAAAGCTTGTTATTAGCTGATAATCATTTCATTCCTTCAGGGCCTCCCAGAGGACACTCATCGTTTGTTCATTTCCGTTTCCCTCAGAAATCATGCTTTGCTATCCCGCCCATAAACCAAGACCTGGGAGATATTACACCAATAAGTAAGACTAAAAGCACACGTTGCAAGCTGTCAAAGCGCAATTGTAACATCCCCGTTGAAGTTATCCATCCTTAGTTCAGGTATCGTTTAGTTTTCGGTCTCCTGAGCGCCCACGTTCCTCGTCAGGGTCGGCGCACCGCTAGGGCACTGGACCTTGGGGCACATGCAAGTCTGGTCTGCGTCCTCAGGGCGTACCTCGCAGACGATAGCTTGGTCAGCCAAGCTACAGCAGCAGCATGGGGCTCCATCAGGAATGGGAACACTTGTGACGGCTTCCTCGCGCTTTTCGACGGCAGCTGTGGAGGTGGGAGCAGAAGTGGTAGTTGATGTAGCAGTCTTGGTAGGTGTAGCGGTAGCAGGCCAGTAGGTAGGAGCGCCGACGGGGCAGACGACAGCGGCGCAGATACAGTCTTGGGGCTTGACGTCCTTTTCGCAGACAAAGGCGGGCTGGGAAATGTCGCAGCAACAGCAGTCTTTGTTCTGTTCTTGAGCGGGCGCTGCGAGAGCGATGCTGCTGAGGAGGAGAGCGGCGGCAGCGAAGAAGCGCATGATGAAAGGTTGATTTGAGGAAGGCTTTGTTTGAGGGATACCTTTTGTGAGGAAGAGTTGATTTAGGACAAGGTAGAGAGTTAGGTGAGAAAGAGAGTATATATGAGTATAGTAAGAGGAGAGAGTGTTGTGAATAGTAGTAGAGTTTGTTCTTGAATCACTTAGAAGATTTGGCGGGACAGAGCAGTGGTATATGGGAACTACCTTCCTCGAACAATAAGGTTCTTTAAGTACCTGGGCATGTACCTCCTGCTCCCTCCCGTCATTTCCATATCACCCAAGAACAGAACAAAACAAACCGGGAAGGCAGTGACCACCGGCTGATGAAACGGTCCCGTCCCTCCCTTCCTTCGATTCTCCCTGGTCGACGATCAATTTACTTCGGGAAACTGCACGTCTGACAATAGGAACAACCCCAGTTCGTCCCTCTTCTAAAAACTCAAAACCTTTCTCTGCAAACCAGAAATGGCCTTGGCAGATTACAGGATTGATGGACAAAATGTTGGTGAAACTATTTCCTCTCAATCCTTTACTGCCAAAGCTCGCCTTCTACACCAAAGCAAGAGCTACGGCCGAGGCTCTGGACGCGGATTACATCAACAAGGACTAGATCATCATCTACCTGAGACTTTCTGGAGCCTCTCTTAAGCGCATGTTCTTTCTTTAGCAGAACATGTCCATCTGCAGAAGGCCCCGTGCGTTGAGATTCCATCATCTATTTCGCCCGGGTCGTTTCAGATACTACGCTTTGGGCTGACGTTGGAGTCTCCCGATTAGGCCGTAGACGAGAGAAGTGATTGGAGAAAAGGAAGTTGCCGCTTTTTCAGGCTGTATACGAGAGTTAATACGACTTTAACTTTAATGATGTTGCATCAGCGAAGGATCAAATCTACTGCCGGTTTAATGGTTAAGTCAACATTTCCACGCATCGTGGTGCTTCTTTACCCACAGACTCAGCCCATTTGCTTGAAACAACCAGCATCACGAGATACGCTAAAACACCATAGGCAAAACATCTTAGGCAAAGCACAGCAGGCAAAATCCCATGAAAGTAAGCCCCGTCATAGGCAAAAAAAGATGCGTTATGCAATATGATCCAACTATAGGCATTGCAAGCTGTCGTCGATAAATAGCCTACGAATCCAGTCTAGCCCTTCCCAAGTGACGTTTCGTTTCACTGGCGGTCTCGAAAAGATCGACATTACATGCCCCTTGTTGGCTGCATGTTGCGAGATCGCTGCTTCAGCTTCAGCTTCAACTCTCAGCCTCGGAGCGCACGGGACTCTTTCTGCAGCGATCGTCTTGAGCTGGAATGATGTGATGCTCATTCGGAGAATATTTCTTGAACAATCTTAGTACTCAATCGGAAAGTCTATGTGTCTGTGGATGCAGGTACACTGTGTCTCCCGTTCGCAGCTCCTGATAGTAGGCATATTCTGCATGTCCTGTTCTCAGGTATCTTGGCGATGCTTCAGATTGATTACTCTGTATCATGAACTGCATTTTTACATGACATCAGCTATGATAATGATGATGCACTATAATCACATTGTACTTGGAACGCGAAGCAAGATGATTTGATACACTTTTTTGAATGTGTATTTGGCAGATAACTCAGAATCTCAGCTATCGTGACGTAAAACCTAGACACCTTTTCCCTATAATTCATAATCCGTCGTATTGACAACAAGAGTGTATGTGCGGCAATTACCGACAAAAAGAATAAGCCGTGATATAAGAAGAGAAAAGACTTCGGACTATTGTTCATGACATTGAACCTGTTCAGATCCGACAAAAAACCATTGCTTTGTTTTCAAGAAACCCCAAACCTGGGTCCAAGCATCATATCAACATGAGAAGCCCGCAAAGAACATATGCTGCATCGCCCTGACGCAACAGACAAAGAGGGATGATATTGTACACGCACAGCCAAGCCAGCAGCTGAACCGAAGAGCAACCTAAGAGCCAGGCATGCGAAGAATGGGGTACAAAGACGAACCCTCACGAGGAGTGCCCAGATCCCGAGCATGAGGCTGAGGGCTCTTGGGGTCAACATCCATGGCATCGGCGTGGCTTGGTCGAGGAGCCTCGTGCTCATCAACAAACTCCTTGCGCTCAAGACGTCCGCGCACGTACTCACGGAGAGTCTCGATAACGCGCATGTTCTCGAGCCAGCGGTCGTACTGCTCCTCACGCTCGCGGGCAGCATCACTGACATCAGACTCAGAAGAGGGAGAGCCGACAGAGAGGGCAGACTCGCTAGCCTTGGGGGTAGAAGCACCGCTGGTGTCCTCACGAGGAAGGGGAAGAGGGCCACGAGCACGCTGGAGCATACCACCAGAGTAGCGGCGGCGCTCGCTTCCATCAAAGCTGGGGCCAAGAGTGGTTGTGGCAGAGTGGCCGAAACCCTGGCTGACAGCGGGAAGACTTGTGGGGAGAGTAGGGTACATGACAGAGGCGGTTGAGCCGTGGCGGGACTGAGGAGACATGGCGGAGGAAGATGGGCTTGGCGAGTGACCGGATGTGTAAGACATAGAGCTGGATGGCGGTGTAACAGCAGGAGTACCGGTAGATGAGATGGCTGTCAGAGGCGAAGCCATGCTAGCGGCAGACACAGGGTGGTATCCATCAGTCGAGACGTGCATGCCAGCAGGAGACCTGTGTGAAGTAGGGGGCGAAGGAGTGTTACGGTAACCGTTGAAACCACCATCGCCTTGGTGAATGTGAACGCCAGCAGTAGCATGGTTGGAGTTCTCATAGATGGTGTTTTGCATCTCGCCGAGGATGTGATCGATGTGAATGAGGTCTTTCTGGGTGCGCGCGCTGGGCATGGGGAGGTAATATTGCTGAGCGAGGGGGTTCTGGCCAGGTGATGGGCCGGCGTGAACAGGAGCCGGAGCAGGCTGAGGCATGTACTGCTCAGTAGCAGCCATAGGGCCGTTGGGGACGGTAAGGTTGCCGTGAAGGGGCATCAACGAGCGGCCAATCTGGGCATAGGACGAAGGGTCAATCTGGCGGCGCTTGGCGCTGCCGAAGAAGTCATCAACCATATCGTAGGTGCGCTTACGATCATAACCGCCAGCAGCGGCGCTATAGCCAAGGTGCTCAGTACGGGCATTGTTGATGGGTGGTTGGTTGAAGTAAAGACCATAGTTGGTAGAAGGCTGAGGAGCATAGTAACCACCACTGGGATGGGCCTGGTGTCCAAAAGCAGCGGCGTTGGTGCGCATCTGGCCGGTATGGTCGTAGTAACTGGAAGGTCCTGGAGGGGAGTTAGAGTCGAGAGAAGGGAAGCCGGTAGACCACAGCCGTGGACTAGAATCGTGCAAAGACATACCCTTGGGAGGCTGTGGCCTGTAGTTGAGTCCACCTTGGGGATCCTGGGATGGCCGGACGAGCACAGAGTCATCGGCATGAGTCTGTTGCGTGTTAGTTTGATATACGGATGAATGAGGCTGGTGAGTTTTCTTACCTTGACATGCTTCTTCAAGTCCTGGGGACGCTTGAAAGACTTGCCACAGAACTCACACTTGTGAGGCTTGAGAGGAACGTGAACACGGATGTGAGAGGTGATGTGGTCTCGCTTGACTGTAGTAGTTCGGCAAGAGTTCCACTGGCAAGTCAAGTTGAGGTTGTTTGTGCTCTTACGGCCAACATGGCGCTCACAGATGTGCTCCTGCGAGAGGTCAGTTTCAGTTCATTGTTGAATCACTCAAAAGTACTTACGTAGAGAGCCTCGGGAGCAGGGAACTTTTGGTTGCAAGCATTCCATCGGCAGATAAGGTTGTCATCGTTTGATGTTGATGCAGCACCGCTGCTCTGAGAAGTGTTTGAGGTGGCGCTGGGAGCAGGCGTCACAGACTTGGAGTCGTTGCTAGCACTGCCAGAGGACGAATCTCCTGATGGTGTCTGTTGCTGCTGTGGTTGTTGAGTTTGTTGTTGAAGCTGAGGCTTCTGCTCAGGAACTGGAGGAGACATGATGGGCGGGAATATGGATTATCTGATCAACGCAGAAGCGCTTATGCCCGATGGCAAGGTACAGTAAAAAAAAGACTGACTGACTGACTGAGACTAGTCAGGCAGGTACAACAGAGCTAAGCAGGTCTCTTGAGATAAGGATCAACCAAGCTTGTTACAGAAGGAACAAGACCAAAGTCGATTGGTATAGAGATGAAGAATACAGTTGAATGAGTTTGAGATGTTCATGGAGAATTCATCATTAATAAAAGAGTTACGGGGGGAATGCGCTCCCTTTACATTTACGCAAAGTCTGGGCAAGAGGGTGAGAACGAGCGGAAAGTCTTGGCGGCCTTGGCGAATCTTGGCGAGAATTACGATGTACTACTAGTCTCAAGATACTTGACTGGCCCCTACCATTCATGGATGTCTCAAGTACCTCTGCCCAGAGATACGCATCTCTGTGAAGCGGAGGGAACAATGCCAAGACCGCCAAGCCTTGGCAGTCTGGGCACCGCCCCTCATCGCGTCGTTGCTATTGGCCTTGGCTATATTGGGCCTCACACAAGCTGGCCACCTACTGCGTCAAGTGTTTTGTCGCCCGTCACCTGAGCCCATAGGGATTTCGGCCCTGACCTGACACCTGTTTCCGGTCACCTCACATTGCCTGTTTTTTACCGTGCAGTCAGTAAGTCTCTGGTTTCAAGGGGGGAAGCCAGATCTGGAGAGCGAAGAGAGAGTGAGGAGTAAGAGTAGCGCTGCTGCATGCAGAAGTGGCTGATGAATAATTGATAACAAACAATGGACGCAAAAAAAGAAAGACAGCAAGGAAGGTTTCGGATCTATCGGGGAACTGGTAACCCCCGTAGACAAGGTACAGTAGCTTAATTAAAACTGTATAGAGACAATACAGTATCTACTAACAAAAGTGGTGATTGATTCTGCCGGAATAGGACAGGTTCTTGCTATTTCCTGGTTATTGAATACTTACTTTTAGTCGTCTTGGCTTGACCGATGCCGAGACCAGATTAAGCACGCAAGTTTAATTAAGCAGCAGGTGATGATACCGGCCAGTTCGCTGCAATGCCCAACAAATGTCATGAATAAGGAGTCTGATTGAAAACGTTTTAGTTAACTGTTCAACTGTTTAGCATAAAAGTTACGGACTGTCCAATTAGAATCCACGGTCCTGGGTTACTCCGACGAGTGACGTTGAGCCAAGCCGGGCACCCACACACTCAAGCTTTCCTTCCCTTTTTTCTCCGTGCATTCTCCGCAAGAGTCGACGTCTTCTTTCATTTGTCCTTGGCACTGTTCGCCCAGACTTTTTTCTTTCTCGCCAAGACCTCCTGCTCCCCAATCTTAATCAAGGCTGCCAAGAGGACTTGGCGTCTCCAACAAACTCCATCAGCCAAGACTTTAAAGACTTCTTGTTTTTTTTTTTTACCTTCTTGGTCTGCCAAGCATTCAATAGAGCCAAGTCCACGTTTTCCCCTTGTTGATGAGATTCTTATACTTATGCTTCTTTTCAACAGCCACCTAATTAATCTCTACTACTGAGTAACCTAATCGGATAATGGTGCAGTCAAGAGTCAGGTCATGCAATATAGACTCCCCAAGTGCAACCAACACTGGATGCAACAAAACATCATGCTCATCATCTTCTCCAGATACTGATACTTACCAACCGTGCGCATCTGACCTGCATCCGGGCCTCTTTCCCGACAGGTATTATTGATAAGTTACCCCATATTTACACGCGCGTTCAACAAGACAGCAGTAACATATATGTGGCCATTACTATTCCAGAGGCCACTTATGTTTCGTCCAGTAACAATCGAGCACCCAAAGATATACATACTGGACAAGACATGTATCCTTGCTTATTTTCCCAAATAGCCTCCTTTCTAGGCGCGCCGAGAAACAAGATGCACGCCGAGCACCTAAAACTATCGTTACCACAACGGGGGATCGCACATGAGGCTTCGAAGCCTTGTGCCCTTCTCTGCAGCACGGCAGAATGCCCAGAGAATATGATGCAGCCTCGAAGGCACTTACAAGTTTTGTTCTTTAAACGTCGTCATACAATTAACCAGTTTCGCCGAGTTGTCTTCCGTAGAACCACTGCTCATTTCACGATATCAACTTCAACTCACCGAATAGCCTGACGGCTCAAGATATTAGCCAAGCAAGGCTCTATTATCAATAACCCTTTTCCCCTCTTCAATTCCTTCGCCTCATGTGGACAATGTACCTTTTGTTCCTCCCCTCCCCTCCATGCTGATCCTTTACCCCAGGCCAAGAATCATGATACCGTATCTCTCAGCCAAGCAAAGCCAAGAAACCGCCCAGCAATATAAGAACTCCACCCCTTCTACGCCAAGGTCTTGGGGATGACGACAAACGTGGCAGTGCAAAGCCAAGCAGTGCTTGTCTTGTGATAGCAGCGAGTGCCAGCGTTCTCTCTTACATTGTTGTTGGCCCGTGTCAGTGCGGACAATGTCTATGGTCCTCAAGCTTTGTAGCCAAGACTGATAACCATTTCCTCGTACGACAAGAACGCCAAGATAGCGGACGCTTGAAGAACAGGCGGCTATTGTCCACTCTTGTCACCTTGGCATGATTTCATTGTCTTGTCTTGCGATCGATGGAACTGATTCCGACTGGTGAGATATATCGCTCGGCGAAATAAGCTGTCAGTGAACCTGACGCTCTCCCCGCTGACCTTAGCTAAGATATTGTCCACGCGCTCAACTGTCAGGACTGTATCTGCCGTTGTGAACCCGTCTCTTGCCGTGAAACAGGTGAGGATCGCTACAGGTGCAGTATGTATGTGCATGTTTATGCGCGGGCAATGCACCAGTAACTACTACTAGTAATAAGGCAAGATGTCCCCAAGGCATAAATAAACATGGCTACTAGTAGACACTTTATAGTTGACCGGTTCCTTAGTATGAGATGCTTTCCTGACTGGACTTGTCCTGAAAACCGAGGAAACGGGTTAGAGTACAGGGTAGCTTGTTTACAAGGGCATATATCTTTATGACTGCATGTATCCCATATACAGCACTCTCATCAGCAACCCCCTACAAAACTAAACAAAGAAAAACGGACAATCTATTTCGAACTCACAAGTTCCTAAAGGAAGGAGTGGGCGTACGGGTGAGAGTTTTAGGATTTTAGGTTCGGATGGAGAGAGAGAGAGAGTGCTAGGATGGATACCGCTGCACCACTCTTCCCGGAGGTAAACAGAGTTAATCTGATATTCAAAGTATGCCAGGCAGTTATCCTTAGGGTGCTGCTCGGAAAAAATACCTCGTTCACATAAGCCCAATCTCGTGGTTTAGAATCCGAGGCTTTAGTCGTCGCTCATGATCATGCTCATGCTCATGCCCACGGCAAACAACGTATGTCATCTCCGAAACACGGGCCTTGTATTAGCACCATCATAAGGAAGAAGAACTTCAAAAGAGATCGAAAATACAGTCGAGATTTCCGTCAATACCGGAGCATATTGCAGAGTGAATCTGCTCTCAAGATTGGACAAGTTGTCAATACAGCATCAACTAATCCGGAGTAGTTGGCTCAGTTCCTCAGTGCCAATGACATGGAAGCATACAGTATGATAAACATAGAAAAGGATCAGTAGTCCAGTGATAGCGGAACATATAGAGGACGGATGCAAAAGAGTTATCGATAGATGTCACGATAAGATCAAGCAGAACCATATCAATTACACCGACGCATATCACGTGACGACGATCTGATGACTTCACTTCTCCTCAATTACTCACTTTAAATGCAAACTCTGTCAGTTCGCAACTGTATCACTTCAACTTGTGAGATGGAACATCACCAATGGAACCCACTTGCTTGATCATGTCGATTTCATTCCAAAGTCTTCCATTGTCTTTACACCGCATAATCGTACACATGCTTGTTTCACTCTAGTCTCTCAACAACAACCACGAACTTGTTTCCCAATCGATGTCGAGTCTTCATGCAACGCAGCATACTCCACACCGAGTCTCACCGACAAACCCCTTCGTTCTTCACGACATTCACGCAGGCAATGTTATCGACATTCGTGTGGAAAGGAAAGATTAAAACTTCCATTGGTAAAGCTCGCTAGGCTTTATGCACTGACGACCAGGAAGCTATGTAAATCCCTCGCTGACCATTATGATTTTACTCCTTTTTTCAGTCTTTGTGCCCTCGGCAAACAAAAGACGAGGGCGAGCATAGAGTTCGAGCCCATTTGGTTCCAAGCATGATATTCATATCCCATTGAGGTGTCAAGGATCCATCCAAGATGTCCCTTCTCAGCCATTTCCTCCTCTCTATTTGATGTTGATGCGTACCCCGCCCGCCTCAAATGCCCATGAAAAAAAAGTTGATTAAACAAAGAATCGAGAAGGTTGCAAAACGAGGCCCAAAAAACCTGACAGCAACTGCCCACAAATGGTATAAAAATAATCGTCGTCATGATCCACCACATGGTGTTGAAGTGGTAAGATGCGTTCATGTATAATGCAAAGCCAAAACTTGGGTTGACTGGGTATTGTAAAACAAATACCCCAAGGAGACGACTCAACATCGGAAACCAGCCCTTCCCGTCAAGGGTGTTGTCGTGTCGCTCAGGAGCCAAAGCTCCCGGCATAAGTATGCGCCTTGGGGCTAAGAATCGAATAGCCCCCATGGAGCGACAGGAATATCAAGTGACAGAAGGCAACGCCCCGACAACTTGTGTCCCCTCAATAAAAAGAAATAAGACCCGAGTATTGGAGAACACCAGTGATGTGCACATCCGAAAAGTTTCCATGTGTGCGCATCCTGGACTGTTGCCCGCGTGCTGACTTTCCACAGTCGACGACGATTCATCTGTCCCGTAGACAAGATGCCGCCGAGTACCAAGACGCCAAAAAACCGAGCCCATATTAAGAGAGCGTATAGCCCGAATAAGTACGTGAAGCCGTGTCATCGTGAGAGTAATAATGATCCAGAGGTCGCCGCCTCGGTCAGGGATGTGGGCCGACACGGCCTCCCTTAAGCCAACCAGCCCGAAACCGACAGCTTCCAGAAATACGGAAAGCTTAAAAAACGAAAAACGCCATGCATGCAGATATTATACAGAGCCGAGCTGCAGAAGAGCCTCGACGGCTTCCCGCTCCTGTGCGGCGGAAGGACCCGCCAACACCGAGAAGTCCATGTTGAAAGTTTGCGGTGTGCGCGCCATGCCGGAGTTGGCAGAGAACGAACGAAGCGCACCTGGTGTGTACGCCGAAGAGGGTTGGAAGCCATGCTCAATTTGAGCCGCTGGGCTGGGATAGGATTCAGCTCGGAGAGCAGCAGCTCCCATCGTGGCCCAATCTTCATCATCTGTCGCATCTTCAGGGTCATCGTTCATAACGACATCATCATCCGGCGCCTCGGAGCACGAAGCAGACCCAGAACCATCCATGGACATTTTATCGGCCTCATGTTCCATCATGTAGATGTCGTGGTCCTCATGAGAAAACTGAACTGAGTCACCGTTGCTCGAAGCAGTGCTTTGTCTGAAGCGGTCCTGACCCCGACCGCCATTCTTGGTGATGGGAATACCCGCCCCATACGAGGATGGAGGAGTTCCTTGTCGGTGTCGCGAAGGCTCCCCTCGCTTACGAGCATCCCAGCGGCCCCATCCCACCTTTTCAAATTCCACCTCTCCATCCAGTCCACCGCCTTCTCCTCCTCGACCTTCCAAAGCTCCCACGACTAGTCTCCGCGCCTTTGTTGGAGGGATTCCTGAGAACCCGGGTACCGAAGTGGTTAGGTACCCCATAATATGTCTGATAGCCAAGGGACCGTGGTTGAGCAGGATCTCTGGCAAGTGGTATTTGGCGAGGAGAGAGCCGGTGATGGCACCCGATGCCTCGAGGGCAGGCGAGATCGATCGTCGTCGATCCGAAGGCTCGTGAAGGTCCAGGTCTGAGTCGATAGGGTCAAGCTTGGCCTTCTGGAGGTGCGCCTTAAGCCCATGGGGCGGCAGGTTGGGAGAAATGGAGTTGGGGGGAGTAGGGAGGGGTTGTTGAGATCGTGTCACAGTCGCAGGGACACTTCGAGCCGCTACAGCAGTTAAGTTGTCTCGGCTCGAGGAGGCCTGGGAGATATCACGAGCAGCCGCTGCCATGGTAGCCATGATTACCGATGTCGGTCTTTGGTATGCGCTTCCGAACGAGCAAGTCTAAAGATGCAAGACTATGGTCAGCGAGTTTGATCTTTGAGAAAGAGCTTTGTTTGCGATGCGATCATCGCCACGCTTTGCTTGACGAGTTGTGACCATGAAGAATAATATCATAGTTGAGTCACAACAGTCGTCGCGCTGCGTCAGATATGGTACGTACCTATTCAGAAGCCGGATGTAAGGAGGGCTGGCAAGACAAGTTGCTGGCACAAATATGGCGATGTATGGCAGGCCTGGGCAGAGCTGGCGCGATGATCTGGACTGTGACAAGAGACTCTAATACGAATCTTGGTGTTCCTTTCGTGGTGTTGTTGTTGTTTGGGGAGGAAAGGGAACCAGACAGGAGGGAAGCCTGGAAGGATATATGACCACCAACTTACAAGCCAAGGGCAGGTGAACCCGTGTGAGGTGTGAGTCGTAGCCAGCCAGAGCCAGGCCCGGTCCCGTCCTGTCCTGGGTAGAGGTGTCAGGTACGTACTCGACTTGCACTTGCACTTTGTATTGGCGGTATGATATTGTATCGCGAAAGAGCACCGACGCACGCACCTGTAGTAGGGCGGTGCGGTGCGTGTGCGTGTGCTGAGCGATAGGCGCAGGCTACCTGGAAACAGGGGGGGCGAATGGATGCTGTACTGTACTGTAAGCAGGAGTGGGAGTGTATCTTAGGGCGGCCGGGTGTAAATTTGGCACTCCAGCTATCAAAGGATTGGGCAGACAGTGCCAACGCCTTGGTTACTACAAACACACCTAACAAACCATTCAATCCAACACTCAAACCCAGCCCAAACGGGCCAGGCGTCAATTATTGAGTGTCACCCCCATGTTTCGGTCCAGTGTTGTAGGCTGTGGCTGTTCAGCCAACATCTCTCGTCTGATAAGGTTGATTGGGGAATGTTGGATGATTGTACCGTACCGTACAGTACTGTAGACGATAGGCAGTGAGTGATATCTTGTTTCTACCGCATTTGAGACAACCATCCCATGGAAACCATAGTCTAAAAGGAATGGAAGAGCCCTAGAACCCAACAAACTTCCTTTCCCTCCCAAAATATGCAGTGCTACGTATTCTTTCAGTTTCCACCGCACTTCTTTCTTCCATGCTAATAGTAAATAAAAAGTGGCACTTTTCTTTGTTTTTGCTGGTCCATGTGAAATTGTTTTTGTGGTATTTTCATTTGATTCAATTCCCAAGCAGCTGGTAGTCTAGGGAAACGAGAGGATCCGAGCCACAGCGGTAAACGGGGAAGCGAGCCGGACAAGGCCAAACGAAATGGACTGCCGTTTTACGCCCCAGCAAGCTCCAACGCAACGTTCACGATCTGGCTCGGGCGCCTCGCTATTGACTCCTCTTCCAGAGTTCCGCGAGTGGTCCTGTCAAGCGTCAGGCTGCTTTACAGCAGAATGTCTCCAAATGTCGGCTGAAGTTCCGCTATTACTCCATCGACTAGTAATAACAGACGAAAAACGAAGCAAGCAAGAAGCTGCTCAGAATCAGATGGATGACAATCCAGGGTCCGGGTCCTGTTCCCTGCCTTAGTTCCTGACTGTCGGAGGGTTACGGTGTGTTGTACGGTAAAGCGATGAGACACAATTGAGCACACCGCGATCTGCCAAGTTAGTCCCATCATGTGCAGCATCTTGAACGGTCAACGGAGCCTGAACACTGGAAGCGGAGGGAGTCGGGCGATTTAGGCCTTCCAAAGATCCGGGACGGCGCGTTTAACTAACGCGGCACCAGTATCGATCGTCATCGTACTGTGCTGGACAGTATGGTATTTCAGCTTGAAGCAGGCCGGCGACAGAGCTCGTGTCAGTAATGGCTGGTCCTGATCTCTCGGCAAGTCTCCAATTTTCGTAGAGTCTGGGGATCAATTAGTTAGTCGCAGCTCTGTTACTGTCCCGGTGTCATTCTTAGCGTGTAAGATACGCGGCACCATGTTCCCTTTCGGCCAACGCCTTGGGCCCCGTGGCCCAGGAGATTGGGGTAAGGTTGTTGGAGCTTAATGCGTGGCTGTTTGCGATTCAACAACCTTCACCAGATGAAAGTGACCAGCATTCCACCCACTCATCGCAATGGCAGGAATAGATTCCCAAATCAAATCCCCAGCCCCTGATTTGGAACCGCTCAAATTGATGGCTGATTCATTGAAATGATGACTTTAACCCAAGCAGAAAGTCATGGGCGTCATGACAGTCGGCTTCTTACTCAAGGAAACGTGGCCGTCATGACATGCATCGCAGGGACATCCATGGAAGCACCGCGGATCGTTTAAAATACCTGCATCTATCCGTCTCATGCAAGAATAATGCAGGCACATTTTGCTATGAGCCAGCCATGAAAGTATGCAAGTCTTTATGTCAATGGTCGTTCTTTGTATGGGTTTCTTTGACTCCTTACCCGGAAATCAGCGGACCCATTTAGTTTTCATCGACAGGGGTAAGGGGTCCCTCCTTGACTGGGAATATCAGAGTCATGGCCAGCTTCTGATCCGCCAGTAACGGCCCAATCTCCAACATTATGCCCTAATCTCGTCCGGCCTGTTGTTAGTGAGCCCTTTCGAAAAGGAGACCTCAAGCAAGGAATGAGATCCGAATTCTAGAAAATTATTGTGTGCGTTCCTGCGTATTTCCAAACCCTTTGTTCGCGAATGTGTAGGGCTAGAAGCATGCAGAGGCACGCACCCGATGAACTCAAGCCTCCCGTGTCCAAACTGTGGCATCCCGTGCTCTGTATCGCGATGGGGGCGTGTGATTATAAAGCCGTATTCAAGTCATGGGCACACTTCTAGTTCCCGTCATACTGTTTTCGATGCTTTGCTCATACAGTCCATTCTTTGGCTTGGCCTTTTGTGTAATCGCTTCATATCAAGTCACTGTTCTCTTGTGATCCAGCGGGCGTTGTTGAAGCGAATAACCCTAATGCTCGGTTCCAAAGATAGGACACCACCTTGATATTCGTTCGCCGGCCTGGCCGAATATGCTGGCCAGAATGATATTGGAATTCGAAAGCCTATCCCACTCTGTTCGTGTCTCATGCAAAGTGATTCCTGGCTAATCCAACGTAATCATTGCCATTTTCGGAGCATTCGTATTGTCGATGATGGCTAAGTCAAAGTTCGGGGAGGCATTCGGCTATCTTCTTCTTTGTAAAATGTGATTGGTTGTGCAAGATATCCTGTTATTGGAATACTAACACATATCCTAGAGAAGCTATCCTTGATGTGTGGCCATCACGTTGTTAAGGTCCTTCTTCATGATTGGGCTCTTGACGCCGTCAGTATTACCGACATTACTTCGTCACCTGTTTCCAGATGCCGGTTTTATCGCCCAGCAGTAAGTCCGCGTCGGTGGTGGAGGCATCGGCCGGTGGCCGGCTTTGAAATATCCCCTCTCCACGCTTCATGAAACCAAGGACATTCGTCCTTCACGTACATGTGGCCTATCGTCCACGGATAAACCCCACGTTTGACATGCTGCGCCGTGGACGCCTCATGGAAAAGGCGCTTCCCCGCGCATCGAAAAGGAAGAACGGAAGAGAGACGGACTCACTCTATCAATCCCGTTGCCCCGCGCTCTTGAAGTCCGAGGCTACGATATCGCGTCGTGCGGGGGATTGGTATCCAGTGTGGCCCCCGTGCCGTGGACAGTCCCGGTCTCTTCCGTTCCGGATCCTCCGCATAGAAAGACCTCAGCCATCCGTTCCCAGCTAGGTGGTTGACGCATGATAGCTCTTCCCTGCCTCACCTGTCTGTTGCCGAGTTTAGTAGTCTCGTCACTGCCATGCTTACACCACTGACTTTTTGGGACATGGTTACAGCTGCGTCAACCCCGCCGCCAAGGTATCCCAACTGAGGGGTGGTTTAATATACGCCGCCGTGTTTCGAGGCCATCGTTGACGATACTCAAATCACATCATTCAAACCGTACGTGTGAATGATCCACCGGCTGATAGGCTCCAAGTCAGGTTGAACCTCGCCAGTTTCGCGATCCACAAATGGGATGGGGTGTGGTCACTTTCGTCATATCGTCAACTTCCAAAGTTAGCAACTCAACCCCTAGATATCTTGAAGATTGCTTGTGAATGTGGCATCGACTAAGGGTTCATGTGCCCTGAATGCCGAGATACCGAAGCCTCACGAAGCAAAGACGAATTCGCGGCAAGCCTGGATGAGGGTCAGTAATACGATACGTCGAGTTTGTGTTGCAATCAGGCACATACCCTTCGCAGAACCCCTAACTGCTGTTGGGATTGCTCGAACACAAGCTTGTATTGGGCGAGACTTTCTCGCAGGACGGTTTCCTTGTTTGTGTGACCGTCACAGATAGCCTTCATCTTGATTTCCATCTCCTTCCGTAGAAATGGCTTGCCGAGACTGGTCTCAAAGTTCATTCGATCGAATCCCAAGATCAGGGCTACACCAAGCTGTGTAGGGACGAAGACCTTTATCCCGCCACGACCTCCTGACGCGGATGCGCCTCCGCGTCCGCCTCTGCTTCCTCTACCGCCACGGCCACGGCCGCGCCCTCTTGTGGACGGACCAGTGTCCGAATCTTCATCATCTGCCGGTGCTTGGCCTGATTGATTTATCGTAGCAGCGTACTCTCTGTCTTGAATCTTTTGAATATGCTCAGCCATGGTAGCATCTGTGCCGATCCCGTTGGCATCCATGAGAGCAATCAGATCAGCCTCGGTGAGATAGCCTGGAGCTGTAGTTTTGCCTTCCGTCATCAAGGCTTCAGTCGGCTGGAATCGCTCTCCTTCTGTGAACTTCGGTAGCTCCACTGTGTTATTCCATTTCTCATAGACAAACACGTCAAGGTAATTTCTCTCAAGAACAATGACTCCATGAGCATTGAAACACTCCTCTCCAAATTCAACCTCAACATCAGTTGCCATGCCCTTGGCATCATCTGAGCAACAGGCAAGAAAGCGGCGAACAACATACTCGTATAACCGACCTTCATCACGGTTCAAGACAGAGGGAGAAGCATATGTAATAGGATGGATAGGGGGGTGCGCTTTATCGTCGTGTCTTCCCTCCCTTGGCTGTTGAAAAGCACCATTGACGAGGTTCTGTGCGAATGGGCCCCATCTTTGGTCGGGTGTCTGTTTATCGACCAAGGTCCGGAGATTCATCCCTCGGTCAAAGCGATCAGTCTCAGTTCTGGGGTAGCTGATAAATCCTTTGTTGTAGAGTCCTTCGGCGATGGTCATGGCCTGTTGTCCACTCATGTGCAATAACCTCGTCGCAGCCTTTTGTAGCTCAACGGTTGTCAGAGGCAGTGGTTTAAATTTGCGAGTAGGCTTCTGTTGAACCTTCGTGACAGTTGCCATTTTTGCTGCAAGGCACCTTTCATACAATATAACCGTGGACATCCGGTCGAAAAGCCTATTCCGTAACCAAGAAAAGTTCACCTTTTTGCCCTCTCGGTTGTGCATCAGCTTTATGCTCCAGAACGGTTCCGGGACGAAGTTCTTGACACGAAAGTAGCGGTCAACAACGAAGCCAAGCGTTGGAAATTGACATGATCCTGAACAATCAGCAAAAATAAGCAGACAGACTTGGACACGGGTTACAAACCATAGCTGAGAGTCAGCTTTTCCAGTGGTCCCCCAAGCTGTCGTAGGTTATTCGTAAGGAAGCGAGTGAACGCATATCCAATGCGCAAATCGAGCTCTATTCTTGTAGCTACGGCATGGACTTGCCTTTCGTCCAAAGTTGCCAGGTTCCTGGCTGCTGTTATAACATGCCTGGTAGGGTTAGGTTCTGTAAGGCGTAGGAACAAAATAGGGGTACGCACGCTCTTTCGACATTGCTAAATCTTGCTCGCAGTACCCGTATACCTGGCTTGCCTTTTCGAGCAGCTTCGACGATTTCATTACCGATATGTTCGCCTTCACGATCGCAATCGGTCCAGATTATTAGAGTTTGTGCATATCTCGCTTGAGACTCCAAGTTTTGGGCGATCGTCTTCTTATCCTTCAAGTTGTTAGTGACGGATGGTGTCTAAGGAAAACGAGGAGCTTTACTTCGCTAATATTTGTAACGATTGGGGCACTGAACAGAGACTCTGGAGGAGGCGAGTACCAGTTTTTGTTTGCGGGTGTAAAGTCGACACTGGTTAAGTGCCCAGTGACACAAGTCATAGTGACAGAGCATTGACCCAATTGTTGACCAAAGTCAAAATCGAACCCGTAGTTTTTGATGTACTTGTTCCTCGTATTGTGCTACAAATCCTGAGTTAGTACGCAACGCAAATCGTCGCAGGAGTAGATGCTCGTACCGTTTCAACACGGCCTCCAGCAAGATGGGTAGCTACAGCCTTGGAGATAGATGGCTTCTCAGCCACACAGAGGACCTTCATTCTGGATCAGTTGGCTGTCTTCTCGGAGAAGAGTCGCCTGTTACTCGGCTGAAGAGTGTTTAGTCGGTGAAATGATTACGAGAGCGAGTGGAACGTTGCCTCAGGTTTCATGCAAAGATGAAGTTTTGCGCTGAGGCAAGCACGATTCAGAGAGAGCAGAGGGTTTGCCAAACACGCGGATGCAGTGGGAAAGAGCTGCTGCCATATCCTTATAGGACTATTCTTTGCTTGAATTGAAGCCTTCTTTGACTGCTCGGTCCAGTTGATTTCTCGTTCTGAGAAACGCGCTGTAATCTTAATTTGACCACCACAATGTAGCTCCCTCGTGATATTCACGATGCAGCTGGATGAGAAAAAGAGTGAAGGCGGGTCACTGACGTTGAAAATTTAAGCCTCTTTCAGTAGCTCTCTCACTAGCCACAGCGGCTGCTTCCGAATCTTACAGGGAGTTGTTCCCTAAGCTTTAGCGACCCCACACAGAAGACAGAACAGAACCAAGGCAACAAGGAAATGGACCTTCCCTTGCGGCGTAGCGTATTCAGGCGTATAACCCAGAATAGAAATAGCGTGTGTCATCCACTTCATTAGGTCAGGTCGTCTATGACGCGGGCTTGTCTTTGGTGTATCATACGGTCTCGTACCTATTAAAACACCTTAAAACACCACCAAGAAAGTCGAGATTTGGAGCATCAATCATATTGTTCTTCTCTGATTAAACCACCATGGCTCTTCCATATCTCAAGTCCCTTGAGGACTGCGGCGAGTACGCAAAAGCCGTCGAGCCGTATATTCCTCAGCTCTATGCTCTGCCTCAGCAGGTTCTCGACAACATCGCCAGCCCAGATGGACTAAGGCAGTTGTATGTTGACACAAACCCGCTGATTTCAGGTTTCGCGATCTCTCTCGCCCTTGGGGTTCCCTTCCTCATTGTCTCGGAGATCAACAAAAACTACTCTCAGGTTGACCGCATGTGGTCTATTCTTCCCAACCTCTATGTTGTTCATCTTTCAATCTGGGCGCGTCTTGCTGGCTTCAACTCTTCCCGAGTGGACCTTATTTCTCTTGCTACTACTCTTTGGAGTGTGAGTTTCTTTACATGCCATTCGTCAAAGCCGTTGCTGATTCGTGTTACAGTGCCGTTTGACCTATAACTACTGGCGTAAGGGTGGCTACAACAAGGGATCTGAAGATTATCGATGGTAAGCTAATCGCTGACTGAGATTCATTCATTCGCTTACAATAGACAGGGCCATCCTTCAAAAATATGTGCCGAGATTCATCTGGTTCATCTTCAACGTCACTTTCATCTCTTTCTATCAGAGTGTCCTGCTCTTCAGTTTCTCATGCGTTCCCGCTTATGCCATCCTACTCTCCACCAAATTTGAGGAAAATGTGACTCCTGCCGACGTCTTCTTCTTTCTCACTATGGTCGGTTTGGTGTATAGCGAGTGGGTTAGTGATGGCCAGCAATGGGGTGAGTATCCTATCTGACTTTGAGGTGAACAAGACTAACCCTCCTAGATTACCACGAGGCCAAGCACAAGTATCAGGCCGAGGCCAAGGTCCCCAAGGAGTTCAAATATACTCAAGCTGATCTTGACCGAGGATTCAACACCTCTGGACTCTGGGCTTACAGCAGACACCCCAATTTTGCCGCTGAGCAGCTTGTCTGGCTTGTCCTGTACCAGTGGAGTTGCTATGCAACCAAGAATCTTTACAGCTACACACTTGCTGGCTCTGCTGCTCTGGTTATGCTCTTCCAAGGATCGACTTGGCTCACTGAGCTTATCACTGTTGGCAAGTACTCTGAGTATCCTAAGTACCAGAAGCAGGTTGGCATGTTCTTGCCCAAGTCTCTTCGACCGTACAAGACCCCTCCTCCAAAGGTCATCCGAACTAGCGACCTTGCCAAGCAGAATGAGGGCAAGAAAGAACTTTGAGCAGACTGCTTATCCACAGAACATGGCGTTCCAGGTATAGATGCCTAAGACGTCTGCTTTAAGCTAGTATGCGGGCTAAACACTAGATACCAATGAGGGTGAAAGTATAGGGGTCGTAGATGCCTAGTTACTCTATAATACATCTTGTCTATATGATGGGTCTATAACTTCTATTCCTTGGCCATTCTCAGATCACTGAACTTGTCGGCGTAGTACGAAGGCACGGCAATAGCATCTTCCTTCTCCCAGTCTTCCTTCTTGTTCACGCCAGTTAGAACATGCAGTGTTCCGCCGAGCTTGCCCTCAATGCCGAACTTGATATCAGTGTTAAGTCGGTCACCAACCATACATGTGCGGGCTCGGTCAAGCTGGAACTTGCCCTCTACAGCATCCATCATTGCCTGGCTAGGCTTACCGAGCGCCAAAGGTTGCTGTCCTGTAGCGTGAACAACGGGGATGTGACAGGAACCAGCACCGAGGAAGAAGTTGTGGTGCATTGGCAATGTCGAATCGACGTTGGTAGCGAGGAATGTAGCTCCGCGCTTGATGTAGTGCATGGCATGGGCGTACTTGAGGTAGTTGACATGGTAGTCAAGACCACAGAGAACAACTCCCACCTCGGGGTCGAGCAATGAACCATCAGCGATACCCTTGAAGTCGTCGTTTGTGATATCCCGTCGGAAGGCCTCATCAGTGCCTCCAATATGAGGAACACCTTCAGAATCAAGTTCCTGCTCAATTCCCGACTCTCCGATAATGAAGACTTTGCGCTTACCCTCGGGCAGCTTCAAGATACGGGCGATGTAGATCGCAGCAGAGTAGCTGGAACCAAAGACATCATCCTTCTCGCTTGGGATGCCAAGCCCTGTGAGTTTCTTGAGATACTCATCACGGGATTTTGTGGAGTTGTTGGTGACGAAGACGACCCTCTTTCCTACATCGATGTGAGTTCCTGGTTCAGATCGTGAGCACAGTAAGCTAACCTTTTGATCTCAAGAAGTTGATGGTCTCTGGGACTCCCTCGTAAACGTGATCACCAGACCACAAGACACCTATATGAGTCAGTCACTGTGCTGAGTATTTTGTTCACTTGATTCACCATCGCAGTCAAGGAGGAATACCTATAGATTAATGTCAGTAACATAGTCAAAGCCAAAGTATAAATGACTCACGTCGAATTTGTCAATGAACTCATTGATCGCAGCAACATCGTTGCTGATGTACTTTGGTGTAGATGCCATTTTGCCTACGGACACAATCTGAGACGACACGGTATGATATCGTGAATATGATCGGCAAGAGTTTCAGTTCGTCCAACTTGAACTTGGATCGTCGATAACCTTAGCGGACTGACTCGGTGGATTGTGCTTAGTCAGAGATAATGAGAATGACATTGCCGGTGATGTAACGACGTTGGATAATCGGTGATCAATGGGGCTACTATAAAAAGACATTTCAAATATTACAGTCAGATGAGATAGTCCTTGTGATGGTATTTTGTGAATTGTTTGGTGACACAAGATGTGAAGTTAATGATATAGGGTAATCCACGAGCTGCCAGTACTGATGAGGATATACAACAACTATGACTCGTTGTGTATCAATGTGCAGTACTTACAGCACGTACCTGTGCATGCAAATGATAACGACCCTGCATCTTGATAGGCAATCTTTTAGTGCAATGACAACATGTTCCGATCCATGCATGTCGCGAAGTAAATACCGAAAACGAATCATTGGCCCGAGGTACGATCTTGAAGCCGTGAACCCTTCCCGCGTGGCGAAGAATCTCAAAGTCTAAAAATCCAAATCTTCAGAGTTCTGAGTCCCTTACAGTATTGTAACAGCTTTAGTTGATGACGCTGTATCATTGGCTCGTCAACTCCGCCCTACGAGTAATGGGTCAACCATCTTCGTCATCGGTGGGTTTCTAGAATCCCACGTTTTTTCTCCTCGGAACATATTTTCTCTTGTCTCTCTGTATTAGTGATAACTTATTGCTGAGATAAGAGGCTACAAACGTGAAAACTCTTTGCTCTCGCTTACATCCGAGGCGAGGCCCGATATCAACAGACCGACATATACACACAGACAAGGCAGATACAAAGTACAATTCACCGCTCTGGCTTATTCCGTATCAAGAGTGGTACCGTGGGGACCCTGAAGCTAAAGTTCGTCAGGGTCTCCACGGCCAGGGATCCATTTTCACGATCAGCTAAAGGGGTTTCCACTTGGTAGAGCAACTAACAGTACAGTAAGAAGTTTTAAAACCGACACAGCTGGAGACCTACGTAATTATAAATATCTGAAGAGACCGCATGGAGTTGAGTTGTTTGTTTCCTTGATTCTGTTAAAACTTTTCTTCTTAATCTATATATTCTGCTCTTTATCGTTAGCGAAACAAGCGCAAAGCAGAGAACCCTACACGACTATTACAGTTTGTTCATATAAAGGAAACACCCCGAGGACCACTCGAAAACAACCAAATCTTAACCACTTCTCTCTCAACACAATCAATCAACATGCCTACCGCTCCCACCAGTGTCGCTGCTGCCCCCAGCAACGCCAACCACTACTTCAGCGAAGTGCACAAGACTCAGTCGACTGCCACCACCCCAGTCACTACCCCCGGATTCAAGGCCGAAGAGGGTGAAATCAACACACGTCGACCTACGGTCCTCAGCAGCGACTTCCCCAAGCCTAGCGACGAGATTGATCTCGATTCCATGCTTGACCGCCAGCCTGGTCGCTGGACAATCAAGGGACAGATGGCGGCCAACCAGCGCCGTCAACAGAAGTCTCCCAGCGAGGAAGAATCCAAAGCACAGCGCCAGCGAGACTTCGAAAAGGCCAAGGAGGACCTCCGTGCTTCATTCCGAATCTGAAACACATGCGCTTGTCTTGCACTACCGGACTCTTGTATGAGAGCTATACCGGTTCACATATTATGACAAACCATTTGGCGCAATGTTTTCAAGACTATACCCAAGACTTCAACGAATTACGACACAACGAATAGACATACTTTAGATTTCGCTATTGTACGATGGAAACGGAGGCTAGGCTATGGAGAAGAATGTTTGCATCATTAGCATTTTAGTACATGAATAAGATTGTCATCTTGATCATCGAATCGTTTAGGCAAGGTCTGCAACAGACAGAACGCGACCTCCAAGAGTGAACCCGTATCCGATAGCAGCCACAAACGTAGCCAGGTTGAGCAGAGATGAGATGCCGTGAAGCATGCCGAACTTTCTGTTCAGAGTCTTCATCTCGTCTGAGTGAGGACCCTCAGCATACCACTCCTTACCATCTCGCTTGACTGTCAATTGGTTAGAAATATCGAAATGTAATGCGTGTTTACTTGACATACCTTGTCCACGTCGCTTCTTCATAACCTCAACAGTCATAGGCAGGAGAACAGTCAGGTTGATAGCACCGGTGATAGCCATGGCACTAATGGGCAACAGGGAGTGCCAGCGGGCAAATTCCGACACCAAACCAGCGGGACCATTTGCGAGACCAATGAGAGTGTTTCCAGGGAATGTTAGAGCGAGTACACCGGGTAGAACAGTCTGAAGGCCGAAGTAGATGGGGAAGAGCTTTTGCTGGATGGCGGAGAAGCTGGCACGGTCAACGGCCTTGAACATTACGATGCCATTGATGAAAGACTGTCAAGCTGTCAGAACTGAAATAAAAAGAGACTCAGTATCATATGCATACGTGAAAGAACGTCGTTCCCAAGAGTGTTCCATAGCTGTCATTGAGTTAGCTCATCGTTGAATACACTGTATCTGGTAAGAAACTTACGTGATGATATGGTAGGGAGCCGGGGAAAAGGCCACGGCCTTTGCTGTGCTTGCCATTGTTGCTGTTACTTTCAATTGTGAGTGAAAGTTGATGAAAACAGATGAGGTTTCAACTCAGCCGAGGTGGTTCTCTTAGCTGGTTAGACAGGTCATCGACCCCAGTCTATGATATAATGGAGACCCACGTGACTGATGTGCATTCCATTGCTGTGTAGCAGCTCCTTCTTAATACAATGGAAGTATACAGAACACGAACCCGACATAATGGAAATCGTATCTATTTGTGCTCGCTCAAATCATTTGTAGTGTGGATTGTCATGTTTGTTGCTTAGCTACGAACCAGAACGAAGGCAGCGATCGCGGATATACAACATGTATTCTTACTCGGTATTGCCAACGAATTGGCCTAAGTATGACTTCGGGCTCCCAAAGAAAGGTAGTATTGCACTGATCGAATTTGGACATGGAGATTAGGTATCTTGATGATTCTCGTGATGTTGAGTTGGGATTTGCACCTGCCATTTCAATTAACATGGCACCACGAACACGTGACTACGTGTTTCACGCGTCCAATAATCCAGCTCAGCTCAGCTGCAGGCATCGCGCCCCACGTCTTCCATCTTAGACAGCTCTGAGCTAGAGCTTAGGAGCCTTCTGCCTAAACAATACCAGGGTTCACCATTGAGAAGCTTTGTGCGACTGCCATTCATTTAAAAGTGCGACTTCACCTACAAAGGTTCAGATCGCATCTTCGTTCATTTGAAATATTTCTTGATTATCGCTCGTATTAACCTTCATCATGGCTGAAAAAGAGGCAACCATCTTTATTCTCGATCTGGGCTCGACTATGGCCCAGACCCATAGTGGGAGATCCCAGTCGGATTTGGACTGGAGCATGCAGTATGTATGGGACAAGATCACGGATATCGTCGCTGCAAACCGCAAAACGCTATGTGTTGGCGTCGTGGGTCTTAGAACAGACGAGACCGATAACAAGCTACAAGACGATGATGGATATGAGAATATCTCAGTGCTGCAGGAGATGGGACCTATGACTATGTCATCCTTAAGAGATCTCCAATCACTTGTGAAACCAAGCAACACATGGGCTGGAGATGCTGTTTCGGCCATTGTTATCGCTGTTGATATGATGGACACCTTCACCAAGAAGCTCAAATGGAATCGAAAGATCTTTCTGATTACTGATGGCCAGGGGCCAATCGATGCGGATGATCTGAGCGATATTTCTAAGAAGATGAACGACTCGAATATCCAACTCACCATCCTGTAAGTTGGCTACCCCCTTTATGCCAACAAGTCTAACCGGTTACAGCGGCGTGGACTTTGATGATCCGGATTATGGCTTTAAGGAAGAAGATAAGCCGGGCACAAAGGTCAGCAGAAACACCCAACGGCCCAAAGCGCATCACTAAATTCTTGCAGGAGGATAATGAAAAGGCTTTGAGGTCACTTGTAAACGACTGCAAAGACGGCGTTTTCGCAAATATCGCCGAAGCTATCGATGAGCTTGACACCCCTCGAATCAAAGGAGTCAAGCCGTACAAGACTTATGACGGCCCTCTTACTCTTGGAGACCCCGAAACATTCCCTGCTGCAATGAGTATCAACGTCGAAAGATATTTCAAGACACATTTGGCACGCCCCTTGACAGCAAGCACAGTAGTTATCAAGTCTGAAGGTGCACCAGATGCTGAGCCTACCCAAGCAACTCAAGGTGAAGAGATGGAGGGTGTCGAGTTCTCTGCAGTCAAACAAGCTCGTTCATACAAGGTGAATGATCCAGATGCTCCAGGAGGAAAGCGAGACGTCGAGTTCGATGATCTTGCTAAGGGCTACGAATACGGCCGAACAGCAGTGCACATCAGCGAGTCAGAGCACAACATCACCAAGATCGATACACAAAAGAGCTTCTCGATTGTCGGTTTCATCCCGTGCGCAAAGGTATGTCTCATGTGAGCCCTCGGTTCATCGCTTATACTCATGCTTTTCAGTACGAGCCATTTCTCAACCTTGGCGAGACTTGCGTGACGATAGCAAGCAAGTTCGATGCCAAATCCGCCCTCGCCCTTTCATCGCTCGTATGGGCGCTCTCGGAGCTGGAGTCTTACGCCATTGCCCGGATTGTGACAAAAGATGGCAAGGACCCGCTGTTGGTGCTACTGGCACCTGGCGTTGAACCAGACATGGAGTGTCTCTACGACATTCCACTGCCATTTGCAGAAGACATTCGAAGCTATCAGTTCCCTCCTTTGGATAGAGTGGTCACGGTTACTGGCCAAACCATTACAAAGCACCGACTGTTACCTACGGATGAATTGAATGATGCTATGAGCGATTATGTTGACGCAATGGACTTATCGGCATATGGTATGGATGATGAAGGGTATGTCTGAACTTGTCCTTGCCTTACAGATTTCTAACTCCTGCAGTGAACCGGCTGAATATGTGCCCATTGATGATACGTTCAACCCTACGATCCACCGAGTGAATCATGCAGTCAAATCACGAGCAGTTTATCCTGAAAAGCCAGTCCCAGAGACTCCTTCTATATTACTTCGGTTCGCACAGCCACCACAAGATCTGATTGAGAAGGTCCAGAGCAAAGCGGATGCCCTCATTGAAGCAGCGGATGTCAAGAACGGTTTGTATCCTTCCTCGGAATATTGCGAACACCAGCTAACTAGCAAAAAAGTACCACCAAAGGTCAAGGGCAAACGTGGCAGGGAAACTGTCAAGCCCATTTCAGGCCTTGATGTTGATGCACTCTTGGGTGGAGAAGAGAAGGGCGAGATCAGTCCCGACAATGCAGTGCCAGAATTCAAGCAGGTGCTTGCTGCCACAGAGGAGGTTTCAGAGATCGAGGACGCAGCAAAGCAAATGGGTACGATTATAACAACCTTTGTCACGGAAAGCTTTGGCGATGACAAGTACCAACGCGCTCTGGAATGTCTGGGCGTGATGAGGGAAGAGCTTATCAACCTCGAGGAGCCCGCATTCTACAATACCTTTATGGAAGGCATGAAGAAGAAGCTCCTTTCAGGGGATATGGGAGGTGACCGACGAGACTTCTGGTTCAAGGTGCGATGGGGTCGTCTTGGTCTCATTGACAATAAGCAGTCTGAGGTGTCTGATGTCACTCCAGAACAAGCTGATGAGGTATGTTTCGCAATCAGAACTGCCGGTCGTTTGCTAACTAGAAACAGTTCTACAAGTCCAAATAGGATGTATAATTAAGTTTGCTGTTTGTCAAGGGTGGATTGTGTATATCAACGCAAGACTTAGCTTGCCCGGCTTACAGTCAGCTAGAGCCAGCGCGAACAGCGCATTGTAAGCTTGCTATTGAGAACCGAGGAATTAAGCACATGAGGCAGATTAACGAATCAAATACTGGCTCGATTTATTACATACTCTAGGAGAGGACTTTACAAAATATAATTTTGGTAAAAACACGGGTTATAAAATTAAAGGGCGTTTTCATGCACCCAGCCATATCATAGGTGGAGGCCCGCCACTTGGTGACTTGCAAACTATTGGCAGGTCGTGTCAGTGGTCGAGCACTTCCGTTTGACATGTATTTCCAGGCAATCCTGCCTGTTTGCTTTCCTCTTCTAAAAAGCGGATGACGATGGCAGTGAATCATCTGGGTGACAAATAAGCAAAAAAGACGAGGTCTCTCATCTGCCCTTTTTTTCCCTCCCTCACAGGCACCATTCGTGGTATATCTTACCTACTCCACGAAGGCTTCTAGCCTCAGACCTTCCACTGCCTTTCATCCACCAACATAAGCTTTCGTTTCTTCTCTTCATTGGCTTTAATTCAGCAACAGTTCTCCGATATCCGTTTTAATTTTTATTTCCTTGCGACCGTCGTTTTTCTTCTTCAGAGCAGATCGCGGTGATGACGGATCTCGAAAGTCGCCTGGAGAAGCTACAAGAGCTTCTAGGCAATGGCGTCAAGCTTGCTGAAAGCCCACACGAAGACAGCGACACAGCACATGAACCTTGCGGAAACAGCTTTGGAATGGTGATGGATGATGAGTACATTCGAAATGAGGAACGATGGATGATCAGAGAGCAGGTCTCTCCGGAACAGCTACGGGCGGAAGCTGCTGCTGCCAGAAAAGAACTGTTCGAGAGCAACAAGAAGAAAGCTTTCGACAACTCTGATTTTCGTATCGGACAAAATGTTGATGAAGAATTCTTGTTCTGCCCGTTCAAGGTCGTCGTATCGTATCCCGAACGCTTCGTTGGCAAAGCCAACAAGCCTCGTGTATGTGCTGCTCTGTGCAAACTTGCTCTTCCCTTGCTAATTTTGCGACAGACGAAGCCATTTTTCACTGAAATTCTCAAAGATCGGACTTGGGACTTGTAAGAGGCTTCTTTGTTACTGTGTTGTTATTACTAACTTTGCAAGCTTCTATCTTCACAATCCACTAGAGCCAGCCAGAGACCCTTACCTTTTGGTTCCGTCTGCCCAGTTCGAAGTCTTCCTTGAAGAAATCAACCTCATACTGGGTACTTTTCTCAGAATTCCCGCTGGTAGCATGAACAAGGACAAATTCTACCTCAAATTTGGTGAAGGCGGCACTCCACGTCCCCGGTATCTGAGACGATCTCTGGAATCGACCTCCCTTGACATTCGACCATGGCCCGCCATCGACCCCGATGACATCGAAGCTTTTAAGGCAGCAAGCCCTCGGGAACAGCTTGTTTGGAGGTCCAAAATGCGAGTCGTTAAGACCGGCTTCGCTGCCAAGAGAATGGCAGACCCGGACAAGGCTGCCAGGAAGAAGGGACACAGGGACCAAATGCTTCGCAACACACTGAGCTATCTTGGTCTTCTGGGAGACCCCGATGGCCACGATATCGTTTTCGTCTGCGTTGATGTCGAAGCGATCGAACGAAAGCCAAACCCCATTTCTGAAGTTGGGATTGCTATCCTGGATACACGGGACATCAAAGGCGTTGACCCTAAGGACGTTGGTCGTGGTTGGTGGCCCGAGATCAAGACTCATCACCTCCGAGTGCATGAATATGCTGGTTTACGAAACTACCAGTTTGTCAAAGGGTGTCCCGACTCCTTTGACTTTGGGTGAGCATAACTTCGTTTGTGATCTTGTCTATAACTAACTGTTCGATAGGACAAGCACCTTCCCACAGAAAGCCGTCCTTCAAGAGGCTATCATGAACATCTTCAATCCTTACGTTATCAGTGAACGAGAGATCATTGTGGTTGGGCATGATGTGCGACAAGATATTACTTACTTCAACGAGATGGGCATAGATCTCAGAGCCCTTGCAGGATTGAAAGAGCCGGTCGACACCCAGCATATCCACCAGGCTTGGTGCGGTGCATCCAATGGGCGAGGTCTCGTCGCTGTACTCAACGATCTGGGTATTCCCAACAAGCACCTGCACAATGCTGGTAATGATGCTCACTATACGCTCTGTGCTATGCTTGGAATTGCGGTGCAAGAAGTGCGTGGCAACGAGCAGCAGAGCAACGACTTACTTAACAAGATGGATTGAAGAGAGAAGCCTCGGGCGCTATTATGCCAGACAGAAGGCGCATAATATGGTAATATTCTTTTCAGGAGGGCAAAACAGATGAGAAGAGAACGGGTCTGTTGGCCCTGTATTCATAGTTATACAAGATGCAGCCCAGGTAGCTTTTAACGACGGCATATCCATCCCATCACCTAGCTCTTCCTCTTAAACCCAACAAACGCCATCGCTATGTAAACAAGTAGTGTACACTATACACACGCGGCCATACGCCCACGCCAGACCTCAGTCGTTGGATTACGTCTTCGTAAGACTCATAAATCGATTCTGATAGATCCCAATTCGGTCATCGAGGACTTGAACGAGCAATTCGAGATCGTGTCGATTTAACCGTTCTTGTCCAGGAACTCCTTGGCTTCGTTCACCTTTGTCGCAAGGTAAGGGCTACCGCCTCTATCGGGGTGGTTGAGAAGCATGAGGGTTCGGTGGGCCTTGCGGACCTTGTCCTTGGTGACGGCTCGCTCGCTGAGTGGGATGTTAGTGCGCTGCGGGCATAGAGGTAGAGTTGACGAAAACATACTTGAGCGAAAGGATCAGGGTAGCCTCCTTCTTGGTCATCTTGGTCTCAAATCCGCCCTTGTAGAAAGCCTTGCCCATGGCTCCAACGCCGCCTCGTGAACGTCTCCATGCGACCAGACCAGCTCGACCCTGCAAAAAGCCATTAGTGCCTGGAATTAAATGTCGATTTTTCTTTCGTTGCATACCAAAAATGCCGCGACGGCAGCGCCGGCGCCCCAAGCCATAACAGAAGCCATTTTGAAGAGTGTATTTCGGTCTTGACAGACGTAGTTTGGGTGAGGCAGATGGAGATGCTCGGGATCCGGAGGGCAAATCGGGGAAAGTTTTCAAGAGTCTCCGGCGTGGACCGGCGAGAGCCGGGTTCACGTTTGTCCGGGGTGTGAGTTTGTTATCGATAAGCGTTGATGGCGGCTGGGAACAAAAAAATCTTTAGAGCGAAAAAAAGTTCGGGATACCTCAAACCGTGGGGTGGGAAGCTGAATTTGAAGTTGTTTTGGTCTTGTAGACCACCACCCATACAAAATGAGGTAAGTTTTTACTGACGGAAGGGATCTATACAGGATGTTTGTCTTGAAGGATGGTACACTTGTCAGGTTTATCCTGCCTGGGATCGAGCATTCATGATATAGAGACCTGGACTCTACCTTGAACTGTCGCTAACCAAGTGCTTCAGAATCGAAACTTGTTACTTTTGCAGTCGCCCTGCTTACCCCAGCAAGGGCATTACCTTCGTGCGAAACGATGCCCGAGTCTTTCGTTTCTGTCGCAGCAAGTGCCACAAGAACGTACGTCTACAACATTGCGACCTGCCTCAAACTTACACCGCTAACACTCCTACCTCTACAGTTCAAGATGAAGCGTAACCCTCGCAAGCTCAAGTGGACAAAGGCTTTCCGCAAGGCCGCCGGCAAGGAGATGACGGTCGACTCTACTCTGCAGTTCGCCGCCCGCCGCAACGTGCCCGTCCGCTACAACCGAGACCTTATGGCCAAGACCATCAAGGCCATGGAGCGTGTTTCCGAGATCCGTCAACGTCGCGAGCGCGTCTTCTACAAGAAGCGCATGGCTGGTAAGCGTGAGCGTGAGCTTGCCACTGCTCGCAAGCTGGTCGCCGAGAACGAGCATCTCCTGCCCCGCATGCGCGGCAGCGAGAAGAAGCGTCTACGCGAGTTGGGCATGACCGATGAGGACATCCAGGAGATGGAGGACAAGGAGGAGCGTGTGCAGTCCAAGGCTTTCGGTGGCGAGAAGAAGAGAGTCGCCATTGCTCTTGAGAATGACGACGACGAGGACGATGATGAGGAGGACGAGAGCGCCATGTTCGACGATGAAGACGACGAAGATGACGACGACGAGGACGGCGAGGATGATGATGTCGACATGGACGCCGACTGAACGATTTAGGTTATTGAAGTAAGCGTCTGAAAAGAGAAAAGCTGGTACATGTCTACGCAGTCAAAGAGACAAGGAAGAAAGAGAGCGAGCGAGAAGGCAAAAAGGTCTACGAGACAAGACAAGGGCGTTACGGGTGTTTTTGATTCGAAGGCATACCACGGCGTTGGGATACTATAGAGAGAAACCATTTTTTCTTCGTCATGCAGCGCACAACCAAACCAACTCACGACAAGTTGGATGTGATGTGATCTTTTTGGCGGAATGAATTTGTGTATTCCCAGTATCCCAGCAATTCGGTTGACCTTTCATTCCGGAGCTTTCAGTACGGGAAGATTCGAATGATTGGATGGGCTCTTTTCGATACTACATGAAAAAGTCTACTTAATAAAATACCAAGGTTGACCCTATTAAAAATGTATCTGTCCGAGTAAGCGGGGGAATCCTGTCCGTGCTGTAGACTATTGCTGTGCCTAAGTAGAGTTAGAACGACGATCCAAGAGAAGGATCCCATGACTCGACGCTGAATGTGAATGTGAATGTGAATCCTTCCCCCAGACTGGAATAGGCAATTGGAATCAAGTGCTACGTGATAGGACGACGTAATCTTGCCTCTAAAGCGTCGTCTTACCGTCAAATTGGGGATACATATCGGCAGCCCAGCTGAAAAAAGAACGTCTTAGTGTTGGAGAACAGGATTGACTTTACCGGCTGGAGGATCCTAGGGATCTTATGTTGATCAATCATTCGTTCCTTGGCTGCTGATCTGGCTTATCATCCCGTCCTGCATGTCTTAGGCAAAAGCTAGTGATTCGTAAGATGGATATTGCAGATACCAGGGTTCAATTCCATTCTTCTTCTTCTTTCTGGTCCCTTTTTATCTCTATCTCATGTTTTTCAGTTTTCTTATCATCTGCAGTTCGTGATTTTGAGTGGCAATCTGGTCTATTCAATCTCTCATCATGAATGAAAAGGCACCAGAGGCAACGCCTCTACTAAGAGGCCATCTTCAGCAGCGCCCGCGTAAATCCAACATCTCAACTGTACTGGGCCTTTTAGCCGCTGTTTGTATCATTGGCTTCTTTCACCACCGCCCTTATCCTGAATCAAAGAGTACTGAGGAACCTACGAAGAAGCCATGGACTTGGAACGATGTGAGAATTAATGAACTATATCAAAAGCGAGACTCTAACGGAGCCTAGATCAAACCAAGCCGGGAACTGCATTGGGAGTCGTGCTATGACAAGTTCGAATGCGCAAGGCTTGATGTGAGTATATCTTTCCTCGGCCCTCATGATCAGTGTTAATAGTGTGTATAGGTTCCAATGGATTGGCTAAAGCCTTCTGATCATAAGCGAGTGGTGCTTGGAGTTATCAAGCTACCAGCCAAGAACAAGAGCAACCCAGTGTCTCCGCTCTTCGTTAACCCCGGCGTATGTTATATGTTTACCTATATGACCAGGAAAAATACTGATTTGATAATGTTAGGGTCCCGGAGGATCAGGTATAGCCTTTGTGAAGCGAGAAGGTCATATCCTCCAAGCCGTTGTGGGTGACAACCATGTAAGTCTATTCGAGGCTAAGAATCAGGATTGTACTCACTATCTTAGGACGTTATCAGCTTTGATCCTCGAGGAGGTGAGTAAATCTTGAACAAACTATTCGATTGCTGCATCAACTGACCATCCTCAGTCGGCGTTTCTACACCCCGTGTCGAATGTTGGGGTTCTTCCCAAAGACGACGACTCTGGAACATGCAAGAAACTCCAGTTGCTGATGAACATCCCGGTCTCATTTACGATTCCTATGCTCGAGCCGCAGCCTATTCAGGCGCTTGTGAGGCAGCAATGGAAGATATTGGTCTTATGCAGTTCCTTGGAAGCGCATCCATTGCCAGGGACATGCTGGAGATTCTTGACAAGACAGGCAATGAGAAACTCCGTTACTGGGGTTTCAGCTACGGTACTATCCTCGGTGGTGTTTTTGCTGGTCTGTACCCTGAGCGGGTAGAGAGACTGGTCAGCGATGGTGAGTCTCCAAATTCTTGGGCAATCTTAAACAACATGGGATTAACTTGAGGTATAGGCAACGTCGACTACCATGACTGGTTCAATTTCGACCATGGCAACTTTGTTTCTGATACAGACAAGATCTTCGATGCCTTTGATATAGCATGCCACAAAGTCGGACCTCTCAAGTGCGCCTTCTACGCCGAATCTCCCAAGGCCATCGAGAAACGTCGAGGCGATCTCCTCGCCCACCTTAAGAAGTCACCAGTTCTGCTACCTGCGTGGTCCCAAGAGTCAGGGCCAGAGCTACCCGTTCTCATCTCCTACTCCCACCTTCAACGCCTCATCCAAACCTCCATCTATGCCCCAATTGTTAAATTTCCCCAGCTAGCTCGAGTATTCGCCGCTCTGGAGAAGCGTGACGGAGTGCTATTCTATGAAATGGTGCTTTCGATGAGCAAAAACATGGCATTTGAGGGGGACATGTGTGAGCTCGGAGATACTCCTGCTACAACACCCTTTGAGACGCCAATGGAACTTGATGCTTTCCCTGCGATTATGTGCTCCGACTCAAAGCCTGTGGAAGATTCTCCACAGGAAGTTGCGGAGTTCTTTGATAGAATCACACACAAGAGTCGCTGGGCTGGTGCAGCCAATGCCAACTTCCACGTCTCTTGTGTTGGAAGAAAGACGAGACCGAAGTGGAAGTTCACAGATGGTGAGTTATTCTTGTCGCAGAATAGAAGTATAGGATGGCAATGCTAACACGATGAACAGCTGACTTTAGGGGCGACACTGCGCATCCTATTCTTTACATCGGCAACATAGCTGATAATGTCACACCTCTTCAAAGTGCCTTCAACAACTCAGCCAAGTTCCCAAGCTCAGTTGTTCTTACACAGAACTCATACGGAGTAAGTCATCTTCAATCTCTTAGCGTGTTATATCAACTAACCTCTTCAGCACTGCTCCTCCGCAGCGCCTTCGACATGTTCAATGCGTTATGTGAGAGAGTATTTCCAGAACGGGACTCTTCCAGCTGCCGGAACCATATGTGATCAAGATTTTGAGCTTTTTGAATTGCCTGGACTGGAAGAGGATGTGACAGGTCTGGATGAGCTTAGCTCGATTGCTCTTATGCTGGCTAGAGAAGCAGAGATTCCGAGGCCCTTTTGAGAGCATTCCATAGGAAACAGATATGTGTGTAGATGAATTATGAATTATATATGATTTGATATGGAATTGTGTAGTTGAATGGAACAAGATCGTGAGACATGACTTCAGATTCATGATGATTCATCAGTAATTCAATTAACTTATATATCCATATCGTACATCCGTTACCCATGGCCCAATACAATCACTTATTATGCTTAATATGCGCAGGTCCATGATGCACCTTCTCGGGCATCCTCAAGCCCTTGTCAACAGTCTCCTTCACCTTCCTCTCCAATGCTTCTCCCCTCGATCTCTCTTCCTCCCTCATCCTTTCCTCCTCCTCAAACGAAATAGCATGCTTCCAGTTACCCGCTCCTCCTCTGCCGCCCAAGCCTCCTCCAGGATTCTTCCTGAGACTCGCGTTCACCGCCGCGGCTGTCTTCCTGGCCATCTCATCCTGCTCGCGCGCATCGGGCAGGTCTGATGGGCTGACATAGTTTCCTGAGCCGCCGCGTCCAGCTCGAGCTGGGGCGTTGGCTGTGGTGCGGTCTGGAGGGGGGACTTCGTCGGTTGCTAGGTCTTGAGCTTCGAGATCCTGAGTTGAATGTTAGATTATGAATAGAGATTGATATTGTAGTGTTGTGGGCTTACTTTATCGGCTTCATCAGCCTTGCTTTTGACGACGTAATTGCCAGCTCCACCTCTTCCAGTCTTGCGATATACGTCTTGATCAGTCGTCATGTTGTATTGTTGTTGTGGTTGCTAATAGTCGATACGTGTTATTGAAGTATAGATAACGTAGCTATTATTGCCAGGGTCGATAGTTATGATGGGTATATGTGGTTAATAGTTGTGATTGTAGATAAAGCAACCTCCAAAATATCTCAAAAAGAAGATGAGATGAAAAAGTAACGAAAGTTGGTCTTTAAAGGTATCACAAAATCCTCAAATGATCAAGCCACCGACAGAATGGAAACGTGGGGGGGCCTGTAGACTACTTGTCCGACGTGATGAGTTTCATATGAGTATTGCCTCCATCTCTCCCAGACTCATCATAGTTTCCATTGAATACCCCTAGCTAACTACCACTATCTTTTGACTTGGCTTGCGGTCTTTTTCGTTTGTCAACGGATTTGGACATGGAAAATGGCCAGCGCCCGCTGTAAATCGAAACTAAAATAAGAACAGTTCTAATCCGCGGGGTACATGAACTAGTTGAGTTGTACTGTAGATCTTGATGGGCCGCTACCGAATATTTCGTTGTTACTGGTTGCTCTATGAGCGATTTGCTTCTCTTTCACATGCATTTGTTGATCTAAATTATTTAAATAGTTTCAAGACAGTAGAGTCAGTCAGTTATCAACAGGAAATGCCTTTCAAGAAAGAAAGTCTCTGTTTCTGTCGTGGCTTGGATTGAAAGTTGATGTCATGGTTGATGATCGACATTGTTGTTCAAGAAAAACTTCAGCTTACCAAAAAAAAAAAAAAAAAAA